AACCAGGGGTGGTTTTCTATGCCTTTTCTTGCACTAGCATCTGCTAGTGCAAACTAGCGCACTGCTAAGCGGCTTTAAATTGGCAAATTTGCCTCAGTCCTTTGAGCCAATCTCCAGCTCTGTGTTTGGTCCATCCATTTGCCCAGTTCATCCTGTATCCAGATGATGGGCAAGCTTCCCACCCCTCTGAATCCCAAATCAGTTGGCTTGGAACGAAACCAAGCTGTTGCTTCTAGAATTGAGAAACAGCTTATTTGCAAGCCGGTCCGCATTCAGACTGAGCTCCCCACTCTTTGGAACTCATCCCCCAACACGTCATCCAAGCCTCTTCCCCATCCCTCCCTCCTTCACTTACCTGGTTGGTGCTGATGTTTGCTAAAGTCAGGAGGGATATATCTACCTCCTAGTGCCTGGTGTGCAGCGACCAGGATGTGTAATTTTCTCCAAGGGCTGTTATAATATCAGCAGTCAGATAAATAGGATTTGGGGGGGGGGGGAGGGATATTGGAGGATTAATGGGTGAGTAAAAAGGAGATGAATTTGAGAAAGGTCAGCTTTGATTAAAATCTGAGCCTGAGAAGAATTCAGGAGTTCTGTACATTCAGGTCCTTGAATACAAGTCTGGGCAACGTCACTATTTTTCTAAACAAGCTTACACATTCCTGTGTTGAGAGTGTGCGTTCTCTGACTTTAGAGAGTAACTGGAGGTCCTTCCAACCATCTTAATTTTCTTTTCTAGGTGGCTTTGAGTCACGACCCCTGGTGCGCGGTGTTCAAGGCAGGAGCATCAGCCTGAAAGCTTCTCCCAGTAAGGCCAAACTTGGAGCCCCCAAGCCAGTGCCCTTACGATGGTCCTTCATGTCCAAAGAATGGCCAGCAGAGCCTTCTGGGGAACTTGTGGAATACCTGGAGTCTGGCCGTAGACCGCGGTTCACGAATGAGTCCATTGTCCCCCTCATGACCAAGGAAGGGGAGGACAGTGGGCCTTCGGTCACCAAAGCAAAGCTCACAGGCGTGGGCACCACAGAGAGCACTGGCAAAGTGCCCACCAGCGTGGAGAACACAAGCAGCATGAAAAGAGCTGGGAAGCCAAAGGAGGATGTAGGCGAGCAGCCCCGGACTCCAAAGAAACTGGTGCTCTCTCTCAGCACAGTACCTCCAATGAAAGATGAGGAGCCCATGGGCAAAGTGAACATCAATGGGACCTTGCGCACTGGGACAAACCTTCCCCCATCCAACTATCAGCCCAAGAGCAGAGGAGCCCAGGATCAAAAGCCCATGCCCTGTGTTGGGGAGAGGGACACTGAGGGCGAGAAGCAGCCAGAAGGGAAGCTGGCTGTCTTCAGAGTTGGCTTCCTGCGAAGGGACCCCAAGAGGCACAGTGAGTCTGAGAGACATGGTGTTGCGCCACCAGCCATGGCATCTTCCCGGTCATCTCTCTCCAATGGTACATTGAGTTCCATCACGGGCAGCAGAGCAGTTGGCTCCACCCTGGGCCGCAGCTCCACGGAGGGGCTGCCCAATGGGCGGATCTGCCGTTCTGAGTTGGACATCAAACGTGCTCAAAGCTCCTGCAGCAGCAAGGGAAAGAGTGACTGGTTGCTGAGCAGGTCAACCTCCTTCGGCAAGGCAAACAACAATGTCTCCTTGCAGGGTTACACACCACCGCTAACCCTAGAGGGGGTTTCTTGTGGCACTTTCCAGCGGGCAAGATACCACACAGCATCTCTGGGCAGGAGACTAGCTGTACCCGAATCCAGCTTCTGAACTAGCCCGTGATTTCATGTGGAAGTACTGAAAGAGTGCCAACCCTGGGTGCTCTGGAGGTGCCAGGGCCTTTGGAAAGATCTGTAGATTGCTGGAAAGTTTCGCTGGTGCTTGGTGCTTGTTTCACGGGGAGTTTCTCAAGGGGTGCTGAGTGACACCATTGCCTTGCCTGGGAAGGAAGATGCAACAGGGATATTGTGAACCTTGGGGTTAGAAGGGGGGCTGGGAGAGAGGGATAGATCAGATGTCAGAATCTTAGCGTTAAAAGTATTTATTCTGTACTGAGAGATAGCTTTAATGATGCTAGTGAGAGGATGTGCTGTTTTGTGACGGCATTTATTTTGGTACCAGGTAATGGGGAAGAGAAAAATATGGGGAGAATCTAGACATTGCCCTATGCAATAATACCAGCTTTTCTATTTTCTGCAGGCCTTTGGGTTTTACAGATCTATTTGTTATTAAAAATGTCTCAAATGCGTGATGAGCCTCAATGGTTTGGGGGATCAGTGGTGGACCTGAGTGGCTTAATCCAGAGGTTGTCTGTTCACTTGGATGTTCTGGCAACGGGGAGGGGTAATTTTGGTTTTTGTGTTCCAATCGGCTGGAAATGGGTTCTGAAGCATTCTTCTCGAAGCCTTTAAATGTATAAAGTTCACAGTATAAAATGGACTCTGGGGGCAACTCTGTGCATTTCCTGGAGCTCCTTCCTACACACTAGAATGATCAAACTAGAGTTGTCTTAGATGTGAAATGTTTGATGTGGCTGCTGGAATCCGAGTTCCTGCTATTAAGTTGCCTTGCTTGTGGCTCCACTTCATACGGGATTCTTACCTCAAGCAACCAGATATGCCTGCATATTCTTGCCTCCAAAAGGTCCATGTACTTCTGAGTCTACTCTTAGTGTGAGACAATGATGAAATAATCAGACAGATAGTTAGCATTGTGGGGTGGAATGATGGGAGAAGGCTTTGGATTAGAGAGGTAGAGCTGGGAAGCCATCAGTATAGGGGTAATACTCAAAGCCATGTGATCTGACAGAGACTTCCAGGAGGCAGTGTGTAGAGAAATGATAGAGGCAATAATAATAATAATAATAATAATAATAATAATAATAATAATTCAAACCCCCCCCCCCCGCCAGGGACCCCAATGGAGGGGTGTGTGTGGAAGCAGAAAAACAAACCACCCCATAGAAAGGTTGGGTGAGTGTAGGCAGGGAAGAGCACAAGACGAGGCCGGTCGCTGAAACCTAGGGCATGGGAGGAATTGAGTAGGAGTACGTGATCCGCTGTCCACAAAGGGGTTAAGGAGAATTAGGACAGAGATCTTTGGATTTGTCAACGTCTAAGGTGGTTGGTGATTTTGGAGAGTTCCGCTTCAATGGAGTGCAGAGAGCAGAACCCAGACTGCCGGGAGACGAGAGAGAGAGAGCAAAAGAGGGATGCGTCAGAAGTGTGTCATTATGGTGCTTGTGCAAGCAGCGCAGCCTGCGGAATCCAATTTATACTTCTGGTGTGGGGCCCTCGCTGCACAGTCCTTTCTAGAGCTACAAAGCAAGCTGCTGCGCAGACGTTCTTTCAGAGGGTGTTGGCATTCTTAGGCTTTCATTGCTTCTGCCTAGTGTGTTTCTATCTATCTATCCCCAACATCTGTGAAGAAAAAGCTGTACACCTGAATGACAGCCCTAGTTTCCCAGACTCCCTGGAAAATGTTCTTAAGCGTGCAGGAGAGCATGACTTTGGACTCATTAACTTGCTGGCACAACCGTGTCTCTGGCCGAATGTAAGCGTCCCCTTACCAGGCTGCTGCAGGCTGAGCTTTGTTGACATGGGGGATGGAGTGAGCCATCTCCCACTCCCTGGGGGCTCTTTTGTTAAGCCATTGCCTAGCAACTTCAGCAGGAGCACAGTGAGCTATGGCGTCCTCCCAGGCAGCCAGCAGCTTTTTATACCACACGGATGATTTCACCTTTGAAGAGAGGACTTCAATGTATCAGTTGCGGCTGGAGAGGCAGAGAGTGGATGGGAAGGTTTGTGCCTGGGATGAGCGGGAGAAATACTTCCAGGGGTCCTCCAGCCCCATATTCACCAAACTCCCTGTGGGAGCCTAAGGACCCCTTAACTTGTGAGGGAGCTTTAAATAGGGCTAGCTATAAAACCCTTTTGGCTGTTTGAAAAAAGGGGGAATTCAGACAAGTTTATTTAACTGAAGTCATGGATGTTCTTAGATGATGGAATGTTCTGCACTTCCTCTTGACGTAGGAAGCAAATTCTTATGAAATCTTGGGTGCCAAATGTAGGTTTCACTGTTTTCCAGCCCCCAGAGCTGCATACACTGTCATGTAGCACCTCTGTTTTTCCAGCACCTACACTGGAAACCAGGTAAGTTTTGTGAGGCTTTGCAAATAAGTGCACACCCACTTTTGTCACAAAGTCCATAGTTTGTGAGCAGTCTCTGTAAGAAGTCATGGTTTCTGTTTTGTTTTGTTTTGTTTTGTTTTTTAAAAAACCAACTTGTGTACATGGCTGAGTGAGCAAAAATTGGAGACATTTGGAGCAATTAAGTGAATATATATGATTGTTTGTTTGTTCATTTTGGGGAAAAGACTGTGAATGACCCTCAAATATTTTGATGGAGTACATCTAAAGATCTGTACTTTCTTGGGAGACAGTGGCAAAAGGATGCTTATGTACACACATGAAAGAATCCTTAGCACTTGGGTGTGTCTCTGGCCAGTGCATTGAAATGTGACTGTGTGTCATTAGAGAATCCCAACTTCTGATTGGCCAGCAAACAGAAACCACTCTTGAAAATTTCTAGTCACAGATTGGCTGCTTCATGTTACCATTTAGATTTGCATTTCTGTGCCAAAAATAATTGATACGTACATTATAATTCCATGGCTGAAATTTGCCACTGTTGGCACAAATATGTCTTCTCTCCCTGTTAATGCTGCTGTAGATGAACTTAGTAAAAAAACGGATCTCAGGTAACAGCCCAACTTCTACTCCCCAAAGTGTAGCTCCTGCCTGCCCATAAGTTTTGAAATGTCACCACAAGGCTCAGATGTTATCGTTAGAGGTCAAGTGTTGCCTGAGCAACGGCTGCCCCATTCAGCTAGCCTGCCAATGCCAAATGCCAAAAGACAATGCACCTTTGAGAGAAAAACGTGCATGCCTTACACTGCTCCTAAGACACCAGGAGCCACGGTTGTCAACAAACAGCTTTGTTTGGCCAGAACTGCCTCATGGTTGACGCAGAGTGTAACATTATCTGGATAGGTTTCTATGATTTATTCAAAGCTCCCCAAGCTCCCTCTCCCAGAATCAGGTTTTTAGAAGCCAGGCCACTATGTCAAGGTTTAAAGCAGGCACCTCAGGAAAGGGGCGTTATGAGAAGGAGACTGAGATGTGGGAGAAGCAGGAAACATCACCATCTGAGGAAGAGAGAACAAACTTACTTGATCAGCTCCTCCATGAAAAAGTGCACAGTGGCACAAAGGAAACAGTGAGTACTCTAGATCAGGGATTCCATGTACCTGCTTAATTCCTCACTGTGGCTGAGGGTGTGTGTGTGTGTGTGAGAGAGAGAGAGAGAGAGAGAGAGAGAGAGAGCGCGAGCAGGGCTCGAGTGTGTGATATATTAGCTGTGAGCATTAGCTTGGGTGGAGTGGGGGGGGGTGCGGGACTGATACCTGTGTCCAAAATGACACTGCTGAATGAACATTTTGTGGATACAGTTTGTAAGTGTGTTTCCGTTTTGCCCACTATGAGTTGTGTGGTGTAATATTAGACCTTAGAAAGCATCTTTTTGTACCCTTGGTGAAAATGGGTCCTGGGCCACTAGAATCTGTTACTCTACCATTCTGCTTCTTGGGACCCAGTTAGCCCTTGCTTGATATCAACACAGTCGCTGCCCTTGTTTTATCCCTCCTAGAAGCAGGTGAAAGTTGATAGTTTTGGAAGAGCATATCAAAACCTCCTGTTCGAGTGATGTTCACTGTTCACTTATTCATCCTCTACTTTTCTGAGATTGGAACAAAAAGGAATCACTTGGAGAAGTGGCAGAGGTTTACTTCTTGTGGCCCATGTCTTCTGTGAGACATCTACAGTGTATCCTCAATGGTTCCAAGCAGAGTGACCTACCAGGAGAATATCAAACCCTTTATGCTCACATATTCAAACACACACATCTATGCTCCTCCTGTCAGTGTTGTAACATGCAGTCTGGCTGTTCCTATTACTGGTAAGTGAAGGGCCTATTTTCTTAGTAGGTGTCCTAATTCCAAGCATAGGCCTAATGTCAGGGAACTGCCATCAGTGCCGGAGGGAGAGAGCAAAATCCAGAGGGATTCCAGAGGGTGTTCTGGGATTGGGAGAGGCAGCCCATCTTCTGGGGAAGAGAATCAGCGTAGCACCAGTGGAGAAGCGGGGCAGATGGGGGAAGCGGCGAGGAGGTCCCATGACTCCTTTGCCGGGGACCAGCGAGGAGAGTAGAGGTCCTCCGCTGCCTACGCCCTCCTTGCGCAGAAGGCTTTCGCGCAGAGAGAGTAGGAGGAGACTAGGCGTCAAAGAGCTTCTTTGCTGGAAGAAGTTTAAGAAACGCCCACTGACGGATTCTGCCAGCGACTGAGACAGCCACGGGTGAGTGGCTGTCCGGACAGAAAAGGTTCACTCAGGCAACCCAGCCAGGTGTTTGCACCGGCTTACGCACGAGCAACCCCTAGAACCACTACACCTAAATATTCAAGCATTACATCCAATTGAATTGCAGCAATATGGCTCAGCAGGCAGTCTTTTGGAAGCCATAGAAATTGGAAGTGAACTTAGCGTGGAACTCATTTTTTTTTTAAAGGTATGATATCTGAATGAAAAGTGTTCTGTACAGGGAATGCAATATTGATACTAAATGTTTCCAAATGGCAATAGTGAGGCAAGTCAGCCATGGATTAGTGGACATAACTTGCTCGCTGCTGCACTGTGACCAAATATTTTCTTATCTAAAACGTGTCATTCTGTTTTCACCTGGTAAAGGTTGAAGGGTAAGTTACATCATGGGCCATTTTCCTTTGATCTTTAGCATTCTACATTTATGAGAACAAAACCAGCCACTTAAATTGCACATTGATGGATTTAAATGTACGCAAGATGAAAATGGGCTATGTATGGCTTGAACACATGAAAACGAAAAACACGAAGACATTGCAAAGCAGGGATGGAGAACATCTGGCCTGTGGACCAACCTCAAGGCTTCAAGTTATGAATGCACGGACAGCTGTGGCCATGTGAGACTGAAGCAAGTTTAAGACGGCAATATAAATATCTACACTACTTAGAAGTGATTCCTACTGAACTCAGTGGGGTTTATTTCCAAATAAGCCTGCTTAGGTTCAAATTGCAAGCACCTTTTCCGAGTTTATAAGTCTGCTTTCACCAGTCTGGTGCCTCCAGATTTTAAATGGTTTTTATTGAAAGAGTTTCATAGACAACAAAGGCACATATAATATCTCTGTTTTCAATTCACAGAGTCCTATCCACAGGTAGGTGTACATTTGGTGTGAGACGTTGCTATCATAGGCACTCTGAGGTTACGGGGAGGGGAGAAAGAGGTGGAAGAAAGATGCTTTGGACTACAACTCCCCTCAGCCCCAACTAGTCAGGGCTGTCATAATGAATGCCTATTTAATTATAACACAAACACAGACTTCAGGCTACGCAGTAAGGCTTCATTCACAAGAGCTCATGCATGAGCATACTTAATCATGCAAGCAGAATAAGTATTTTGAGTGAAATGTCTTAGTTTACTCAAAGGAAGTCAAGCAGAAAATAAATTGCAGGGAGGGGGAGGGAAATTAATTTTTTTTAGCACTAACTCTATTTCACCCTCTCTTAAACTAAGAAACAAGGTGCAAAATCTTAAATTAGAGCCAGTGTGGTGTAGTGGTTAAGAGTGGTAGTTTCGTAATCTGGTGAACTGGGTTCACATCTCTGCTCCTCCACATGCAGCTGCTGGGTGACCTTGGGCTAGTCACACTTCTTTGAAGTCTCTCAGCCCCACTCACCCCACAGAGTGTTTGTTGTGGGGGAGGAAGGAAAAGGAGAATGTTAGCCGCTTTGAGATTCCTTTGGTAGTGATAAAGCGGGATATCAAATCCAAACTCTTCTTCTTAAATTACAGTTTGTGGTAATCTTACAACCTCATGCTATTGTCTGTCCCAAAACCTTTGTAGGAGCAAATGACATTAAAAGTGGGACCCCATAACCTACCTAGTATCACCATAAGCACAAATAATAATTAGGGATGTGCAATAATAGATGTTTCAAAAAATGGCAGGGAGAACAAAGAGATTCTATTGGTCACAACCAGAGATTAATAACAGAAGAAAGGTACCGTATTTTTCCATCTATAAGATTCCCCCTATTTTGGGGGACTCCGATTTAAGAAAAAGAGGGGGGATATGGCCCCCCATGTATAAGATGCCCCCAAATTTTGGACATTATTTTTTTAGGAAAAAAACCTAGTCTTATACACGGAAAAATATGGTAATTTTTATCACAATATCAAAAACAACATGTTTTAAATGTTACCTCAAAATGTAATTCTTTACACAGCTGATAGTATGCCTTAGTTTGTAGCTTTCGATAACAGATGCTTTCTTTTTGTCCTTTAGAAATCTCTTCTCCACCGGCTGATTTTCCTGGCCAAGATCTCACCAGAGCTGGCTGACAAAAGGGATTTAGCTGGTAAGGAAACATCCTCCTGCTGGCTGCTTCACCTTTCTAGATAATTCACAAGAGGCTCTAGAATGGGGTGAGGCAAATGAATGAAATGGGCTGCCCATTGCCATCTTGTTAGCCATATTGGTGTCTGGGGCAAATATTACAGGCCTTTGGGAGGCTGCCGGGGGCGGGGGGGGGGAGCACATGAGTTTGGAAACATAGGAGAAAGGACTGCATTAAACTAAGTTGCAGAAGCCAGGACAAGTATTCCCACTAGTGCAGTGGGACTTCCTCCCCTCTCCCCTTCCCCTGTCCCCTCCCCAAATCTGTTCCAGAAGGTTGGGAGAACCCCCAGGCTGGCAGGAGAAGGGAAGGCATTCTGTCGGACAAGATCAAATGTGTGTCTTTGAGTACAAACCAAAGTCAGCAAACTGTTTTTGCCTACCAAGCATAAATGAGATGCTCTTTTTTAGCTAAGGCAATTGAGGCAAGTTACACGCAGGTAAAGTGTTAACCTGCACAGCACTGAAATGAGAATTAGTAGGAAATTTTGTAGGGTCGGCCGAAGAGAGGCAATGCAGAATCCTCGTAGGGCTGTCACTGAGTCATTGGGTTAAGTGTTGGGATACTTTCCATCTTTTAACATGAGCTTCAGATTCATAGGTTTTCTCAGATTAATAGAAAGAGGGGCTTTTTAAAGAAAATGCAGACATTAAGAAAGGATTGCAGGCATTGGGCCTCCTGCTCTACAAACCCACACCTTTCTTTCCTATTTCGCAAGCCTGATTTTAGTTTGGCTTTACAGCAAGGAAGGCAGGGGATGGGCGAGCCTGAGAGGCCAGGGGGGACAGGTGTCACCTGGCTGTCCCCACTGTATGGGGGTTGGCATGCTATTCCAAGAACGATTCAAGCCTGCCTTGCTTCTCCTCAGAGTACTGGGAACAACTGTTTGCGAGTCTTCAGCGCTCCTATTACCAGAGCGAGGGGGTCACAGGCCTACTGCTGCTCTACCCCGCATATGTTGTACACATACTGGAGGTAAGGTCTCTTGGTGAGGTGGTCCCACTGTTGAAAGATATGTTGGGATTACATGGGATAGCTCCATTGGTGGAATGTGAGACTCTTTAGTCTCAGCGTTGTGGGTTTGAGCCCCACGTTGGGCAAAAGATTATTGCATGGCAGTGAGTTGGCCTACATGGTCCTTTTCCAACTCTACAATTCTATGGTTATGCTCAAGGTTATGAGTGACTGCATCACTCATGTCCTGAGTTTGCTGGATCAGTCCTTCGTGGATCAGTTTGCTGGATCAGTCCTTCGTGCCTATGGCCCGTCTATGAATTTACTCTTGTATTGACTCCTGCCCCAAATGACAGAACACACATCGGCATTAGCTGGGATCCAAGCATTATATATATATATATATTTAAATAATTTTTATTAAGGTTTCAATCAAAAATTGAACAACAAAGAAAAAAAAACATAAAAAAGATACACAAATACACCATACAAATCCCAGAAAGAAAATTAAAAAAACACAGAGCAAGAATCAACAATAAAAAGAAACATAACAATTAAAAACAATATCTCTTTTCCATTTCCGTTTTTGAATTTACTTATTTTCTGGACTTCCTCATACCTCCCTCTTTTGTATTCCAATCCAAATTGTTTGTCCAGCAATTTCTTTTCCACTTTTTTAATCCCAATCTTTAATTTTAATATAATATAATATATAACTTCAACTTCTTTAAACCTAATCTTTGATCTTAATGTAATATAACATTGAAATTTTACCTCTTAATTATCAAATTTCCATTTCCTTAAACATCTTTAATCCTAATCTTTAATCTTAGTCTATCATTAACTTTAACCTGTACAGCTGGAAACCACTTATTTTCAGTCCAACATCACTCTAACATTCTTTAATTTTGCAATGTTTCTGAAGATAGTCTTTGAATTTCTTCCAATCTTCCTCCACCAACTCTTCTCCTTGGTCACGGATTCTACCAGTCATTTCCGCCAGTTCCATATAGTCCATTAATTTCATCTGCCATTCCTCCAGCGTGGGAAGTTCTTGTGTCTTCCAATACTTTGCGATGAGTATTCTTGCTGCTGTTGTTGCATACATAAAGAAAGTTCTATCCTTTTTTAACACCATTTGGCCGACTATGCCCAGGAGAAAGGCCTCTGGTTTCTTAGGGAAGGTATATTTAAATACCTTTTTTAATTCATTATATATCATTTCCCAGAAAGCCTTAATCTTTGGGCACGTCCACCAAAGGTGAAAAAATGTACCTTCAATTTCTTTACATTTCCAACATTTGTTATCGGGCAAATGATAGATTTTTGCAAGCTTGACTGGGGTTATGTACCACCTGTATATCATTTTCATAATATTCTCTCTTAAGGCATTACATGCCGTAAATTTCATACCTGTGGTCCACAACTGTTCCCAGTCAGCAAACATAATGTTATGTCCAATGTCCTGTGCCCATTTAATCATAGCCGATTTTACCGTTTCATCCTGAGTATTCCATTTCAGCAGCAAGTTATACATTCTTGACAAATTCTTAGTTTTGGGTTCTAACAGTTCTGTTTCTAATTTGGATCTTTCCACCTGGAAGCCAATTTTCTTGTCCAATTTAAATGCCTCCATTATCTGAAAATAATGAAGCCAGTCTCGCACTTTGTTTTTTAATTGGGATCCAAGCATTATAACCCTGCTCTTTCACCTCTCTCACCACCTCCCACTCCATCTTTTCCCCCAGCCAGAGCCCTCTCCCCACAAGTCCCTTTCCACCAGTGCTTGGAATGGTACCCTTTGCATTATTGAGATAAGGGCCATAGCAAGGAATGAGAAGGTGAGACGGTGGCTCTGGAAAAGCAGCTCCTCCATGTGCTCAGCAGCCTTACAAAGGAAATCATGAGAGGGCTTCCTTTTCCAGAATCTGTCGTGTTTGTTGGCTCCATTGGTGAGGTAGTCTCCTTGGCAGTACCTGCTTTTTTCTCGTTATCAGACACCCTTGGATGTTGTGAAGTCAGCCTCTCACTGTTCGTAACCACGGCAACAGACAGCCTAGGAGTCCTTAGCTGGAGTTGGCATCTGGACCAGTTTTAGATCAACAGTTCCAAAATGTGTCTTGCCCCTTCTTTCATTGTTTTGGAAACCTTACATCACAATTCTGCTCCTTCAATACACACAGCACAACTTGTTGTGCTTTCACTTCCATCTGAAAAGCCTGGGCTCGTCCACCCTTCAGTTTGTTCTGTGCCTAAAAAGCATGGCTCCCAGCAGTTTTCTGCTTCACCCATACTTTCTAGGCATGGGTCCAAGCAGTTTCCCCCTTGCCCCACTCCTTTCCCAGGGAAAACCTGCTCTTTAGTACTCAATCGGAGCAAGTGTCAATCTGGAGAAAACCACTTTGTTGTTTGCTCCAATTGAACACTAAAGAGCAGTTTTCCCTGGGGGGGTTTGCATGCAAAATCAGGACTGGGTTAACCATTAAGCAAAATAAGCATGTGCTTAGGGCATCAAGGGAAGGGGGACACCAGAGAAATTTTCCATTGCTGGGTTTTTATCATTAATAGTCACAAATTACTCAGCTGAGCGTTCATTTTCTGAGTTGAATTATATTAAAAATTCCAACAGAACAATTATGCAACAAGGCAAGCTGGATGTCTTATCTCTACTAAGCATAGAAGCAGATGTGTTATGCAAGATTAGTTTTGAGGATCTGATCAAAGACTTTGCAATTAGAAAAAGCAGCAGAATTTTTTTTCAATTATAGATAAAGTGGAAATATACAAAAATAAACATTATTTTCATCTTACTGTTGGTTTTGTTCCATTTTGAAAAATAAAACTTTTTTACGGTTTATTATTGTGTGTGTGTACACACACACATACACATGGATATTTAAAGATTCTAATATGATCCTGTGCAAAATGTATGCTCTGCCATTGAGCTTTAGCTCTTTCCCCTCAAACCATCCCAAAAAACCCAGGCTATTTGGAGCCTGTTGCACTTCTGCAAACTTGTTCAAGAAGAGTGCCCCTGCTTTATTGCTAGGTTGCATTTTTAACCAGATGTGTTGATTTGTCTTTCAGTCATCCAGTGATGTGCTTTATGCTGTCCTGCGAGACCTGAGGGATATGGAGCAGCAGCAGAGGTGAGCAGATGGTGGCAATTATGTGCCCTCTTCAAGCCTAGGGCTGGTTGTCAGGAGAGCAATTTTGATTAACAGGATTTGATCTGATATACTAGCAGTGCAATCCTCTCAGAAACACCATTAAGTTCAGCGAGGCTTACTCCTAGGCAAGTAGGCATGAGATCACAGTCTAAATATACCTTTTGATCTTGTAGGATGCAAGGACTGAACCCCTCAATGCTAATGTTTCTGTAGGCTTCACTAAAGGAACTGTTTCTTTCAGCTTCCAGCAATTCCTGATAGACTGCCATACTACATGACCTTGGACCTTGCATGGACTCTTGGCTTAGTCTATCATACAGGGGTGTTCTGAGGATGAATGAGGGAGGATGCCCCCAAACTTTTTGGAGGAGTAGTGGATAAAAACACCAATACTAATAACACATATTCTGGTACCGAGAGGCAGATGGGCAGTTGACATCTTTACTTCTCCCTGACTCAAGTATTGTGGTGCTTTTTATATGCGAATGAGCTTAACAGATTTCATATCACGTGAGGGAAGCAATACTTAACATTCAACATTTTGCCTAACTACACATTATATTTATGACATGATTAGCAATCATGTAGTGGGTTTAATTAAAAATAAAATACTAGGCATTTGTGGGGTGGTGGTGGTAGAGTATCAGCGTATCCTTTTCCAGCTGTGATTTAATAAAAACGGTAATCGGCATTAGGAGAGGGGGAAAAGTTCCTATTGACATCAATGGGAAGTTTTCTCTTAGTACTAATTGCTACATAGGGTGAGTGTGCATGAGACCTTTATGGAGATTGCAGTTGGGAAGGGGGGGGGGTTTAAGCCTCTCTTGACACTGTGGTGTCAATTACAACGTGAACCTGTAGTTTGGCCTGAGTTACTGAGTGGCAAGAGTTCATATTTGCATTTATGAACCTGCCCTTAGAAAACATCAGGCCTGGGGTGTCACAACCTTGCAGGAGCTCTCTGGTTCTGTGGATGTCACTGCGCTTGGCTCAGTTTCCAGCTTTTCATGTTTTGAAGCTTTTATTCTTTGAAGGAGCTTAAGGAATCCCTTAATGTCTATGAGAGGAAGGCTAGAGTTAGAACCTTTCATGGTGGTGATGTATTTGTTTAGCGCTTCCGACTCTGCTAAATGGCATTATGTGATACAGTGGTACCTCGGGTTACATACGCTTCGGGTTACAGACTCCGCTTACCCAGAAATAGTGCTTCAGGTTAAGAACTTTGCTTCAGGATGAAAACAGAAATCGGGCTCCGGCAGCGCGGCAGCAGCAGGAGGCCCCATTAGCTAAATTGGTGCTTCAGGTTAAGAACAGTTTCAGGTTAAGAACGGACCTGCAGAACGAATTAAGTACTTAACCCGAGGTACTACTGTAGTTTGAAATGTTTCTTCTCACCCAGACTGTAGTTTACCCCCATACAGCAACAAGCACCATTAAGCTACCAATTCACAGGATTCTTTGTGGATGGAGACATACTTTAAATGTATGCTGTACATGCAGACTCAGGCCAAATCCTGCTGCTGGGTGGAGGGGGTTTGGTTGCCCCATTGCCTTTGTTTCTGTCCTGAGAGGTACCCCACCCCCCAATAGTTGTTTTTCTCTTGGTTTCAAAAGAAAGTGCAAGCTCTGAGCTGTGATTTCTTGGCCTCTGTTTCAGAGTGTTAGTCCTGGATGCCAAGATCCTTGTCATGTCCCACAATCTCCCTTCCCGACTCTTCCAGCAGTGGAACTACAAAGTGCTGAATGTGCCTGAGAGATACCAGGAGTACGATGCAGCCCGAGAAGAGTCAATGGAGGCTATCATCTGCGAGTGCCTCACCACGCTCCTGAAACTTGGCAAGCATCTGCAGAGGTACCCCAAGGTATGGGCCCTTGAGCCGTTGCCAGAATGGGTCTGACACTCTCCTAGCCTCTTCTACTATTGTTTTCGCTGTTTTGGTACCTGCAGAGCATGCATTATTAGTATGTCAGGCGCTGCACGCACAGAGACTAAAGACCGCCACCAGCCATTTGCAATGCAGCCTAGTAGTGCCTGATATGATGGAGGTCACGTAGAAGAGATGGGAGCTTTTTTTGGCCACGGAAGAGTAAGAGAAAGAGTGGCTGAAGGAGGCCTGGCAACAACTCTCCAAGTTGATGATGTTGGTGGCGATAGTAGTAATTTATATACTGCTTAATGCCAGATTAGGCTTCTGCTAGTATAAAAACCAGTTGCACAGACTTTTAAACATAAATGCTCCCAATTAAAATACAACAGTAAAAAAAAATATTCCTCTTAAAACATTAAAATATAAGCATCCATAATTAAAATATGCAACAAAACAATCCCATTCGAACAACAGCAAGCTACAACAGCATCTCTTCCTCAGATAGCTTGGGAAGCTGATGCCATGCCATCAAAAATTAAGGCTGGTTTAAGTTTCACCTCTAATGCAATGGTATTTTTCTTTTCATTGTCCCTTTCATTGCACTGACTGGTAAGTGACCCAAGCGTTATAAAACAGGACAGGTCAGCAAAATATTCCCACCAGCACAGTGTTCCTATCTTCATATAGACCATGGGATTCACCTGACGCTGAGTTCTTAACTTCTTCTCCAGAAGCCCAAGAACCTTGAAGATGCCATCCTGGAGAAGGTCCCAGAGCTCATTGTCCCCCAAGATACCATCTGCCACCTGCTGGAATGCCAAGAGTTACCGAGTGCAGCTCAGTACCTGCAACTTTATGACTCCCCTTTGAACATTCTGATGGATTCAGGTATGGACCAATCATGTAAGGCTAGGGAGGAAGGCTGTGGGTGGGCCCATAGCCCAACATTTTGTGGGACTGGGGCCTAAGAGGCACAGGTAAGAGTCTCTAGGGGATGTAGAACACCTGCTTGGAAAATAGATGATCAAGGGTATGGTCTGAAGGCACATGAGACTACCACCATGTTGCTGGAACTAAGTGGGTTTGTTTCTGGCTGGTGCCTGGGTGACTACATGGAAACCACATGTATACTGCTTTGGGCTTCATGGTGAGAGAAAGGCCAGATTAGTCTGTTAGAAATCACACAAGCAAGGTCCTAGGTTTAATCCCCTGCATCTGCAGGTAGGCCTGGGAAGATCCCTACCTAGATCATGGAGAGCTGTTGCCAGTCAGTCTGATTTGGCAAAAGGTAGCTCCTTGTATTCATATTCATTGCAGAACTATCACAACATCAATACTGTAAGCCCAATACGTTTAAAGTGGTTTGATTTGATTAACTATTAATTTGATCACATTTACAAACAAGGGCTTAGAGTTTAGCTGTTATCCAAATACATTTGCGCTCATTCCCCAGAACATTGGAAGGCAAGAGTACTTCTTAGGAGCAAATGGGTAGAATACGCTGCCCTCTTTTCCTATGATCTCCACCTGTGAACTGGCCATAGAGGCTAAAAATTCAGGGAAGGAGACTGGGGGTATTCTTTAGGGGCCCCGGCAGCAATTATTTAAGGTCCCCAAAACAGATTTCCCCCAGTGTTCCTACTAGAGATACTTTAAGTGGATGCACCAAGGCATGGACCTGGGATTTTCTGCATGCAAATCATGTCTCTAATGCTTGGGCTAGCTGCCCAGCCGCTGTACTTACCTTAAAGGCAAGTGCCAAAACTGATCTTTTTGCTGCTGCCTTTTCCAGCTGCTGAGAGATGTCCTTGTGAAGCTGAGTGAATAATTATTTATTTTTTAAAAAAACACCTTTACTTGGGCACCCAGGATGGGCAGCACCTGTGTACACAGAAGTACTTATAGCAGTACTTTACTGCTGTATTGCATGGACACTTTGGGAATAAACTTCAGCTGTACTGTGAACATCCATGTGAATGCAGCCTGCATCTGAACCTCAAATCTGTGAGCCTCAGGATATGCCGCAGGCACCCGGCTCATCAACCCACCAACATGTGCTGGCTAGAAATATAATAGGTTAGATTTTGAGAACAGTTGCTTAGCTTCTCAAAATCTAACCAATTATATATCTTAGGAGAACAGACACTTAGGTGTCACAGCATCCTATGGGTGCTTGCTGTGTTCAGTCGTCCTTTCCTCCAGGAAAGTGCGCAAGAGATGACAGCCTTAGCTACCTCAAGCCCCTCTGCTGCAAAATGCTAGAGCAGAGTTCAAAGTTGAATAGGTATTGCCTTGCCCAAGGCTCTCTACAAAACATTCAAGGCAAGGCTGGTGTACTTGCAAAAAGAAGGCGCTGAGCATCCTGCTGTAACATACCAAATTAAATGCAAAGCTCAGGAATCAGAGGACTCAGCTGGTTTCTAAGTCTGCCTCCGCCCCTCTAAGGATATTTACAGGTATCCTGGAGGATTCTTGATAGCAACAAGCTTATTGGCTTGCCTGGGTCTAATGGCAAAATACTAACTGCCCCATGTAGTTAGCGAAGCTACTAGAAGAGGGCAGATGAGGAAATTCCAAAGTGGCAAACTTGACCAAACTCTGGATTTCAGAGAGATTTGCACAGATTCTGGTTGTGGTTTGTTAGTGTGTCTTCCAGGAGAAATGTTTGGCCAAAGGACACAAGATACTGGAGAAAAGGTCTTAAATCTAGGTGATTTAATTTGCCATTTAAAACTGGTATTCTCATGGAAGGAGAAGACCTGTAAAGTAATAAAGGTAACCAAAAGATGACTGTCTTTTGAGATCAGCCCCTTGGTCCTTCCAATTAGAATACTGTTGTGTTATTTTTGGGGGGTTCCATCTGTTCTGCATATGGAGAGGTACAACGGATGGCTCCACAGAGATGGGACTCCTTGTGTGTTATGGCCTACTTTTCAATACAGTGGCAATTAAATTATTTGTAACTTGCAGAGTAGTTATGCCTTTGCTCTCATCATGTAATATGTTATGTGCACCAGTGGATTTTGGTTCTGTGTGCCTCCAAGTCACTGCTTAGCAGTAGATTGGCAGCCAGGAGGTGAGCTGGGACTTCAATGGCCTAGCTGGCTTTTTGGGGGGTGGGGGGTAGAGTAAAAGACAAATGGAGTAAGGTTACCAGATTTTTTTCAATGAATCCGGGGACACTTTTCAACTTCAGTAGGAATGCTAGGATTTTGTCAGGGGACTGATGTGTAAATCTGGGGACTGTCCCCGGGAAACGAGAACATCTGGTAACCTTAAAATAGAGTAACTGGATGCAGGCAGGGCAGAAGGCAGCAAATGAAACAGGAATAGCAACTATCCAGGCATTGCCAAGGAATCCTATGGGAAACCTTTTCCTGTGCTGCTGGGAGATCTGTGGACAGAAAGCTCACATGCTCTCAATTCTTGGTTGAGTTGTACACGCACACATCAATGAGCGTATGGATGGACCAAATGCCTATACTGTATCTAGATCCATGCCTTGTGCTATAGAGCAGACACCCCTATTTGTCTTCCAAGTTTTATGAGGCAAAACAGCAGCTATGGGGAAATGGTACCATGCTAAGTTAAATTTCCTCCCTCTCTCTGCTATGGTTCCTATGTGATTCTATGTTTATACCTATGAACTAATTAAAACAATCTCCCATATAATGTCCAATTGAATGAGCTGAGAGGCAATGGATCCTTCATTGCTATAGAAAGAAGCAACTCTGTAACCCAGATTCTCCCCCCACTCAACCCCTGAATCTTACGTTTATTTCAGGCAATGTGTATGGAAAAGAGATGGTAAGTTGAGCTTCTGGCTGCCATAGGAAGACTTTGCCCAAGCACCTTGCTATCTCTGTGCCCTCTACTAATGTCTATGTTTGGATTAAACATGAGTCAATTCCACACACTAAGAAAGCATGTGGATTTATTTCACTGGTTATGGAGCAATACAGAGAAAATGCCCCTTCAAAATTTATTTGATATTCTCTCTCTCTCTCTCTCATCCCTTTTCACTTGCCAAGAGACACATAAAAGGGTTTTCACCTTTGGCAGGGTTTAATTTGAAATCAGTCAATGCTGCCATTTATATAGCCCTTGTTTTGGTTGAAGGGCTTGTGTTTCGAAGCGATGATCCCACATCAGTTTAAGTTCTTCATGCACAGCGTAAAGGTACAGTACAGCGAATTGTATGCTTCCCACTGCATGCAGGCACTTGCATGATGCTTCCCAGCGCATGAGTATAGTCACAGGCCACTTGTTGCTAGACCAGACTAACACCACCTGCTTCATACAGGAACAACTTTTAGTCACCTGTCACATTAACATCGCTACCTGCTGCTATAGAAGCAATTGCTTTTGAATTCCACTGCTCTGCGTAGTATTAATCACATTGCAATAAGCACAGGTTTGTGTGAACATGCAACACTGTATGGTATAGATTCCTCTTCCAATCCCAAAACAAAGCTGCTAATCCACTTCTGTACCACAGTGGAGGAAAGCTATGGAGACAGCAGTTTGATTATGAAGATTAGCTTATTTTAGAGATGGGAACTCCTCCATTATGTGTTTCTCCTCCTCAGAAGGCCACAGTGCAATGCCAGTTTAATGCTTGTTCCTTCCCACACTCCTTATGCTGCTTATCAGATGCTTCAACACCAGTGATGTTTTCTCAGTCTCCCTCCCCCTTTGGCCAGCTAGCCCGAGGAAGAGTTCTGGAGAGCTCAAAAGCTTGCATACAGCACACACTTTTTTTGACATCTTGGTTGGCCTAATACGAACTTTGGGATTTTTTCTTAACACCAACATCTTTAAGATTGCTTCAATAAATGAAGAAGGGGAAGTTGATCTCCAGCTATTGTTGGACTTCACCACCCCTTATCCCTGATCATTGGGCTAGCTGGGCCGGTAAGAGTTGGGAGGCAAATGGCACCTGGAGTTTCACAGCTTTTCCACCGCTACACAAAATGCTGTGGATCAAATGTGGTTGTTAGTTAGCTGTCTTGCTAGAGGAACAGCAGAGAATCTTGAGCTCATAATGGTCCCTGGAAAAGGTCTGAAAGCAGCATTCATCACAAGGTACGAGCTCTTGAAAAGCAGCTGGGTAAACTGGGAAGACAGACTAAGCTCTCTTGGCTATACAGGATGGTATCTCTGTTTTGTTTTTTAAAAAATAAGGGACCTGACTCTTGCCATTAATTCTCTTACTCTGTTCACACAAACTGCTATTCTAGGGGCTAAGGTCACACTACATCACTCACTCTGCTTGTGGAAGTATATTGTGTCAAAATTCATGTATGTTTGTTCATGTATGTTTGTTGTCGCCCGAGAAATACATAAATTATTGTTGTTATTGTTTAAATTTATTATTTATACCTCGCCCATCTGGCTGGGCTTCCCCAGCCACTCTGGGCAGCTTCCAGAAAAATATTAAAATACTGTAATACATCAAACATTAAAAGCTTCCCTAAACAGGGCTGGCAAATAGAAGGGGAAGAAATGGAGGTAGTGAGAGATTTTACTTTCTTGGGCTCCATGATCACTGCAGATGGTGACAGCAGCCACGAAATTAAAAGATGCCTGCTTCTTGGGAGAAAAGCAATGACAAACCTAGACAACATCTTATTAAGTAGAGAAATCACCTTGCCAACAAAGGTCCTTATAGTAAAAGCTATGGTTTTCCCAGTAGTGATGTATGGAAGTGAAAGCTGGACCATAAAGAAGGCTGATCGCCGAAGAATTGATGCTTTTGAATTATGGTGCTGGAGGAGACTCTTGAGAGTCCCATGGACTGCAAGAAGATCAAACCTATCCATTCTTAAGGAAATCAGCCCTGAGTGCTCACTGGAAGGACAGATCGTGAAGCTGAGGCTCCAATACTTTGGCCACCTGATGAGAAGAGAAGACTCCCTGGAAAAGACCCTGATGTTGGGAAAGATGGAGGGTACAAGGAGAAGGGGACGACAGAGGATGAGATGGTTGGATGGTGTTCTCAAAGCTGCCAGCATGAGTTTGACCAAACTGCGGGAGGCAGTGGAAGACAGGAGGGCCTGGCGTTCTCTGGTCCATGGGGTCACGAAGAGTCGGACACGACTAAACGACTAAACAACAGCAACAAACAGGGATGCCTTTAGATGTCTTCTAAAAGTCTGGTACTTGTTGTTCTCTTTGACATCTGGTGGGAGGGCATTCCACAGGGAGGGTGCCACTACCGAGAAGGCCCTCTGCCTGGTTCCCTGTAACTTGGCTTCTCGCAGTGAGGGAACTGCCAGAAGGCCCTCGGTGCTGGACCTCAGTGTCCGGTTAGAATGATGGGGGTGGAGACGCTCCTTCAGATATACTAGGCCGAGGCCGTTTAGGGCTTTAAAGGCCAGCACCAACACCAAAACAAGAACCACCAAGATGCATACCTGTTGTGCTCCAAGCGGTTGTACTTTGGGCAGCATCCCTGTGCTCCTGTCAAAGCTAGAGGATAATCTCGTATTGCAGCTTACACGTTTTCATTCTTAAAGCAAGGGACGGATGCAAGCTTACTCTGGGCTAGCGCCTACAGAAATGTCCAACACTGTTCCCTTTTGTATGTTAGGGCCATCTAAGTGCACATGGCCTTTTCTGTCGAGTGCATATGTGCATCAGCCACAAATACAGCTTCCTATATGGCGGAACATTGCTTTTCTGTTTGCTTGAATTTGTAAACCGCTTTGAGCAGCACCTTTGTGAAGGGAACAAGTGACGCATAAGCCGGCGCTTGTTTTTTATTGAGTCATAACCCCGTCTTGCCAACCCTTGCCCCCAGTCTGTCTAGCATAAATCTCCAGCACCTTGAGATGGTTCTAACACTCCACTTCTTCTGTCTCCAAAACAGAGACGACATGGCCTTTGGCAGAACGGTTAAAACTGCATCTTGAATGGGCTGCTGCAAAGGGAACCCACTTTCAATAAGGAAAAACGACTCGGGACGAAATGTATTGCATTTGGAGCAGAGTGGTAGTAGCAGGAAATCAAGACTGAATACCTTAAGATTTGATTGAGAATTCAACAGCAAAGGAGGTGTTTTAAAGTGATCACTGGGAAGCATGAGTAGGATGAAAGGAGACACAGTTGAGCAATTTTTTCATCTCACTTGTTGTTTTAGTTCACCGTTTGTGGAAAGTATTGAAAATCTCTAGCGCTGCTCTGAAATCTTAGGCATTCCTTCAATTCAGAACCAGCATCTAAATGGCAATGTTTTCAAAATAAAGCATGATCTCACTTACTAGAATGGATTGCAAGACAGTGTGGTGCAGTAGTTTGTAGTTTTGAACTAAGAAGCTGTGAGACCAGTGTTCACATCTCCACTGGCTGATATGGGACAAGTCACAATTTTTCAGCTTGAACTACTGTAAGGAGGATAAAATGAGTAGTGGAGAGGCAATTCATACTAGTGGGGTAGGAGAGCTGAAAACAATGCCAATATATTTCACATCTTGCAAACCAATGCAACTCTTTGGTTTCAGATAGCCCATGAGTCAGAAAAGCCCAGGACACAAGTTCTCATGGCCCTCTAGTGGCTATGGTGTCTCATTTACCAGACGTAATGTCTTTAGCATTCCACTCTGGAAGTGTATACTCGATTCTGACCAAGCTAAGCCTCCAAATTGTATGGAAACGCCAAAGGAACGTGGGGAGAGCTGCCATTGTCAGTGGCTATTCAGGGAGCCTGCCACAGGTGTCCTTAAGATCCAGAACAGATGGGACATGCAACAACTAATCATGCCACCTTATTAAGAGCGCAGATGCATCTTGTGCCTAATGAGTTATTTGCTTTGGGCTTTGATCCTGGGTCCGTCTGAGATAGCAGGAACATTGGCACTTGGGATGGAGCACACACACAAACAAGGAAATCCCCATGGAGCGAGAGCAGATGCCTGCAATTGTGCTTGGCAAGCAGCAGATGGGTCCTGGGCTGCTGCCACTTCCAAGAGGAGGAAAAAAAAAATAAGGCTTCTTCATGGGGCAGAGTTTGCTTCAATTGCCACCTGATCAGCAGCTCTGCTGAAATGACCCATTACTAATTGTCAGTCGGTCACACTTTGGGCGAAGTTTCCCCCCCTTTAAATGCTGAACATGCCAACTACAGCTTTTGTGGCTTGAATTTGCCCCATTACAGCCAACAAGGTTTCTGTGTATATCTGTGCCCCTGGGTATCTGCAGTTGGTAACTTGCATAAAGGAGGAAATTGGGATGTAACTGTTTTTTTTAAAAAAGTTAAGATTTACACAGTGACCACACACTGGTGGCAGCCATTGGGGGTGAGGGGAAGCTGTTGGCTTTTAAGGAAGGCGAAAGAATCACTGAGCTCTCACCCTAAAATAGATACGGTGGCAGAACAGGGGCCCAGGGAGCAGGTCAGATATGAGAGGCACATTGCTTTCCCCACAGCTCCAGCAGCACAGAAGTTATTTAGGGATGCAATGGTGAAATTGAAAACATCTCTCAGCGGCCCAGGATACATTAAGTGATTGCACATGTGCCACTCAGAGCACTATCGAGGCTCCTTGCACACATATGAAATACAGAAATCCATTTTTAAAATGTAATATGTTTTCTTAAAAAAGAAAAGAAAAAACCCATGGACAGGGATTCAGGAAAGTAGCTTTGGCATTGCTGCATTTTGTATGGGTGAGTCACTTGTGACCTATATGCATTTGATCTGATGGGCATTTTTAACCAGCTCTCCACTCACCTGTTCAGGCTCTTCCTAGTGGTGGTGCATTAGGAAATCAATTTTTCCTACATTTCAAACCATATGTTTCTGTAGTACAATACCACTCCCATCATCCCTGACCACTGGTCATTCTGGTTGGGGCTGATAAAAGTCTTCTTCCACTAGGAAAGTAGTCCTTTGATCAGGATGAACAGGCCTGTCTCCCTTACTCAATTCATCTTCTCCTCAGGTGATCATCTGCTGCACATACACTTGCTTTTAGCTGCCCTTGTCCTAAAGCCATTTCCCACTCAACATGAGAAAGTTGGGAGAAAGCCTGGCCAACTTCACCAGCTCCCTATCCCCTCCTTGCACCTGCACTGGCATCATGAAATCATTAGCACAGTGGGTTAGACAGGGAATGCAGCAAGGAAAGAGTTAAGACTATCAGACCATCACCAACCATCTCTTCATCCAAGAGCAGCCTCAGGACAATACAGACCAGTAGCAGAGGCAGCCAGCTGTAGAAATACGTTTCTCCCATTCCATCTGGAGAAACAAGAAAACTGTAACTGATGAATGGTGAATATGAACACTACAAGCAACTCACCATTTATGCATGTTCAAGGCACACGTGCACCACTGCGAACCCGGAAGTGGCATGAAAAGAGGCAAAAATGGCCCTAAACGAGCACAAAAATTGGCAAAAGTGGTGCTAAAGCAGCATCTAGCAATCCCACGAGCCTTTGCACTGACCTTTTGAGGCCTGTGGAGAGATGGAGAGGGAGTGATTCTGGTGGAGTTTGGCGGATTTTGGTTTTTTTTAGGGGGTTCCAGAGCTTTAGAGGGCGTTTTCAGGCTTTTTCAATGGCGTTCCCAGTATATGTGATTTCACTTACATGTGTGGTGCTTCAGGATATAAGGGTAAAGGGACCCCTGACCGTTAGGTCCAGTCGTTGACGATTCTGGGGTTGCGGTGCTCCTCTCGCTTTACTGGCCGAGGGAGCATGTGGCCAGCATGACTAAGCCGCTTCTGGCAAACCAGAGCAATGCACAGAGACACCGTTTACCTTCCCGCCGGAGCGGTACCTGTTTATCTACTTACACTTTGACGTGCTCGCGAACTGCTAGGCTGGCAGGAACAGGGACTGAGCAACGGGAGCTCACCCCCTCACGGGGATTCGAACTGCCGACCTTCTGATTGGCAAGCCCTAGGCTCTGTGGTTTAGACCACAGCGCCACCTGCGTCCCTTGCCTCAGGATATAGCCCCTATGTAAAAGGGGAGTTGCCTGCCAATGAAAAAGGGAGGGGCGCTTCCAAAGTGATCATTAAAATGCTTTTAAAAAATGTACCTGTGACTTCAGCCTAATTTTTGAAGTGGCCTGAAAAATGTATGTTTCGCTGCTGAATAAGCCTGTCTCACCCAGGTATCTTTTGTTTGCAGCCAAGAGGCACCCCTCTCTGCTAATACAAACCCAGCAAACAACAGACGAGAGAAACAGAGATACCACAAAAGTCATTAATTGTACTTTAATGAGACCATACAATGGGGAAGTGGAGGGGTGGGGGGGGCAGAAATGGAGAAAGCAGGAGACCCCCCGAGAAAGGAGCTGCTCAGTGCTTGGGATGGGTCTGTCTTGCCAGTAATTTTAAGATGCAGCACAAGATACCAATCGGCAATGCCCCCTGCTTGAGCAGCAAATACACCAAGTGACCGGAATTGGAAAGAGCAGTTAAGAGTACCGTTTCGCACCCCCCCTCTCCTCCCCACACCTTTCTAACAACAATCTGCACTTGTCTCCCTGCCTCTTCCACCTTGAGTGATGAACTACACATTATCACAGCCTGTGGCAAAGCAAGAGCACCCAGACTTGCAAAAACACTGCTGGGGTGGGGAACACACATACACAAAAAAATAGAGGGTGTTTGGAGACATTTATCATAAATCCAAGGGTGGGAAAGGTCTGTGTGTATGCCTGTGTTGGAAGAATTATGATAAGCCTTTAAATTTACATTGTACATTTGTATACCCGTTCAGATGGAATGGCCCCAAATAAACCAAATATATATATATATTTATAGACTTTTATATATATATACAAATATATATCTATCTCAGCAGATATATATATATATCTCATCTCTTTTTTAAAAGGATAAAAGGTTACATCTGCCTTTGCATGCACAGTTGAGAGCTTTGCTCTCCTCAATCGAACCCTGGGCTACAATGGGGAGCTGCAATCGGGCCACGATAAACATATATTCTGTTGGTGGTATTTGTCTCCCCTTTCCCTGCTGCCAAGACAGCAGAGAGAGAAGGGGGAAATGAGCCCCTGACGCTGGTGAACAAGAACTCCACACAACCAGGTTCCACTTCTGACACCACAATGCAGGGAGGGTAGGTATGCTTAGGAACACTTTTATTGCTAATCGAGTAACTGCTTCCCGACATACAGGAGACCATCACTCACCCATATCAACAGCTACCACTCCCTCTGCTTCTGACCACTGCCAAACACCTGTGTCCCCTCCCCAAGAGTGACCCCTCTTCCATCTACTAGCTTCTCCCCCAGGGGGAGTCAAGCAAAAACCAATGAAAAAAGGAAGGGGAGGGGGAAAATGGAACGAACGGCAAAGGATTCGAGAAGGCCAGACACCCATTCCCTTTAGAGGCTTGTGGATACACAGAGACTCACAAGGCTGTATCTGGCTATTTCAGAAATCAGGATTTCAGGGACTGAAAGAAAATATAGGTACACGCTGCTTGTGTGTGTGGGTCTCTCTTTCTCTGTCTTCCCCACCACTCAGCTTCTAAAACAAACCTTCCTTGGCCACAATCTATAAGGAAGAGATACACGAACCAGCACAGATGGAGTGGAAAGAGTAAGGACAGCTGGAGCATAAGCAGGAGGCAGAAGGAACAAAAGACACTGCCAAGGTCAATAAGCCAAAAACCCAGTGGGTGCCTTTGGTGGAGTTCAGCCGGTGAGCAGCCTGCCATGCTCCTGAATCTCTCTGCCCTGTGCACAACACCAGAATTCCCCAACAGGGCAGGTGGGACTTAATTCTTGGTCTGAGGGTCCGAAGAGCTCGAAAGGGAGATAAATAGGCACCACGTCAAAAAGGCAAAATTTGGATAAGGCTAAACAAAGAGGAGACAAAAATAAATAAATAAATTGGAAATTGCACCAGCAACGCCCTTTTGCCAGGGTTAGCACCAGGCCCACAGGTCTGTCAAGTCTTGCACAAAGGGGCTGGCAAGTGGAACTCCAGAAGAGAGACCGCCCGCGCCCCTCCCCCCGCCGGACAAGATCTCTGGACAACATCGCCTTCTGTAGTGTTCATGGGGCACCGATATGTACAAGAGAGCACATTAGAGGGACAAGGGGCTTTTGTGTCATAGGGCGGTGCTTTCTGAATCCTCCTCTGAATTGATTTTTCCTTGTACCGGATGTCTCTGGACTTGTCCCAGTGGGTCCAGGTGGAGTGTGGCATCAACCTCTACATGGATGGAAGGGATATCAAGGTGGGCAAGATCTGCAATCAGGCACAGACACACAGGGAGACAGAGAATTACCATGCTGCTCCAGGCAACGTCTGCCCACCCGTTCATATACAGATTAAGACAGACAAAAATAGTCAACGTTTTAACTTAAAACTGAGCAGGAAGTACAGTTCTCGGAGCCTGTTAATGCCAGAGGAAAGGGATGTCATAATATGATCTTGGCTTGTGCCTTTTGCTGCTGCAACATTCTTCACAGCTGTCCCTTCCCCGCAAGCACGCATGAATCGGGGTCTAGGCCACATGCTTCTTAATCTCAACAACAGCTCAGCAAACTGGGCCGATGGCAGCAGACAGCAGCATATTCTGCAGTTTCAGAACCTAGTCTTAACCATGGGCCTGTAAATAGCAACTTGGATTGTCATCTGTTGTGAGAGAGAATGTCCAGGCAACCATGCAGGAAAGAGTTTGGAAATGGGAGGACAGTTTCCCTTCCAGTCCTCCTCCCATTATCACCATCCATGTGCCACAAATGACTTAGCGTACAGGTACGTGGGCAGGCAGGCAAATCACTTGAAGGATACTGAATTGAGAAGTTACTTGCAAAGTTGCTTTAAATGTCTTTAGGGGAAAGACCCCAAGACCCCAATCTCATTTGGCAAGGGGGTATCACCATGACAAAATTTGCCAAAGCTTCCTGGACACCTTTGCTGTCCCCCTTAGCTCAGCCTTGCTGAAAACGGTTCCCTCCAATGAAGGAATCTAGGCAGCCAGTACTTCAGTACAACTTACACTTAGAATTTAGCATCTCTGTTCCCTCTGCTATCCCCCTAAGTGGCAAGTATCCCATTCAACTTCTCAAGGTTCACTTTTCTATTACATGCTTTTTGGTGGCTTACTATCCATAGACATGCTATCAGAAATAAGTAAAATATTTAACTTATTTGCACATTGGGACCAAATGACCAGGTTGGCTTATAAATGTGCAAAACCATCCTGAAGAGCTAGTCAATTGCAGAAATGACAAGGGATATTGTTAAATACATGTCTTCTCAGAGCAGAATATTTTTGGTCCTTGCTTAATCCAATGAACTAAGAGGCGGCATTGAATAAAGGAAAGGCAGCTCTTTCCTAAATCTCATCTGGGGCCACTCCTCAAGATGTGAAAAAGATGTTCAAAATGTGCCTACCAAATCTCCCCATATCTCTGAAGGAGACAAGAATATTTGTGGACATAGGTAAGCACATGCCCAGCAGCCAAAGTAGACACACAAATCTCTCCTCTGGATGATACAGTGTTCACAGCACATCCCCATGATGGATATACTCTAAATGCCTCTTTCACAAATCATATGAAGTAACTCCACGGTGCGGCCAAAAGTGGCTAGGATTTGATGGACAAGTCCTCCAAACAGATGATTTGAAGACTATGTGCAATTAGGACAGAGTAGGCTTACTTATCTGTTGATAAACAAAAGCCTCCAGATTTATCAAAACGACAACATCCCATGCACAGCCATGACCTATCCCCAGAGCTCCACAAGACACAAATAGGCTATGACAAAACATCCTGTTCACCCCTCCTTTCCAGTCAGACAAACCTCCTATTTCAATTAAGATGCAGACAGTCCCTACCTAGCCAGGGAGGAGCATGTCACACTATGTATAATTTTAAGCAATGAAAGTCACTGCTTCTCTCGGAAGCAAAGGAATAGCTTCCACATGGCTACTTGTGAGACAGGGGAAGTGAACTTGTATGTCAAGAACCTGCAAGCTGCATGGCATCCTTGCATACTGAGTAAAAATCACCCTCATAATATGATTTTACTCTTGAGAGCATTCCCCCATGAATTGGGAATGGGGAAGCAATTCTAAATCAGCTGTGGGAGATGTACTTCAGAACAAGGGGCGATTCGTTAGGCTTTTCAGCTGAGCTGAGGACCTTCATAGTGTAAAAAGCAGGAGTGGGGAACCTCTGTCCCTCCAGATGTTGCTGGATTTCAGCTGCGGTCAGGGATGCTGGGGGCCGGAGCCCAACAAATTCTGGAGGGCCGCAGTCTCCCACTGATACTGTAAAGGCAGCTGTCCTTACTTGGGTGAGAAGAAGACCCCGCAAGCTTTGTATCCTTTTGAGCAGTGGCACACATAGCCTTGACCATCACCTGCTCCTGGGTTGCCCCTTTGGCCTCACCCACAACAAACAACTGCCATTAATATCCATTAATGGCAATATCATGACATCCCTTTGGAAATAACACATGGAATGGGAGAGGGAGAAAGTCACGTTGGTCAAAAAGGGGCTAGCAAGGTTAGGAGCCAGTGAATTCCGTGGCTTGGAAAGGAATTAGTTGAATGCCTGCATATATAGATATATATATATTTAAATACACACACACACACATATTTAAACACACACACACACACACGGATGTCAGGCATGAAAGGCCAAGTGAGAAGCACCCCTCCCCGCAAGTTTACTAATGACATCATTATCAGTCAGCTGGGGAGTGGAGAGCAGGCTCGAGCAGCCATGCAGTTCTGGAACAGCGTGCCCCATGCAAGGCCAGCGAGATGGGGTGGGTGGGTGGGTGGGTGGGTGTGAGGAAAGGCATGGGGGCCAGGGGTGGCGGGGGTGACATTGGCAGCAGCAGCAGTAGTAGTAGTAGTAGTAGTGGCAGAAGGTTCAGGGAGGAGGGCAGGGACTCCAGCTTACCCTGAGCATTCCCCTCACACCTATCCAATATTGCATCACGAGCCTCAAACAGCTGCAGGGACACAATGGTAGGATTGGGAGAAAGGAACAGAAGAGAAACAGGAAAAGCAACAAAGACAAAAAAAAAAAAAATAGTACACAACAAGACCTCCAAGTCAGAGCAGTTGCACCTGCCTACCAAAAAAACACCAGCGGCAAGCTGGAGACACAAAACCCCTCTCAAATGTTGACCACACAGGCGTGGCCATTCCCAAAGCACAAGCTGTAGCAACAGGAGCCACGATCGGCCCACGTATCCAGAACGGACTGCAGTTGACCCCTCCCCAATGTTTTGGAGGCCCCAGGTCTTCAAAAGAACAGGGATCAGTTGATCAAAAGCACAAACCACCCCTGAGTTTTGAGACTTTGCCTGCTAGCTGTGCCTCTACTCTGCCATTGGGACACAAAGATTGGCCACTACTGACCTCCTGATCAAAAGCTGCAGCCACCCAAGGAATAGAGCCCTGCACGGAGACAGGTGTGCCAAAGAGTGGACCAGTTTCGTTCTGCTCCTGCATTTCTGGCCATATTTGAAATTCCCAAATGAAGGCTGAACTGCTGCCTCTCTCAGAGACTCTGCCGGAATGTGGAAGGCCTTTCTAGACACTCTGGTTTCCCAAGGGTAATATACATATTTCCCCCTCAGTGGTATTTTACTACTTAACCAAAGAGCACTACTGGTTGGGTTATTTACTGCTAATTTTTTTTACTGAAGATGTGCAGTCTAGCATTTGAAATTATGAATGCACAGCCTGCGAGGGGGAAGGGAAGAAGGGGGTTAAAAAAAGGCAAAATAGCTGCGCAGCAGGGATGGGGAACCTTTGGCCTGGGGGCCCAATGCAGTTCTCTAGGCCTTTTCTTTGGCCTTTGGAACTCTTCCCAGGGCACACTTTCCATCCTTCACCAGCCTTGCTTCACACCCTCCTCGAGGGCTTTTGCCTGGCTGGAATAGGCCCTTGAACTCTGACAATGCCTCTTTGCTTCCATGGATGGAGGACAGAGAGAGCGGTGCGTGTGTAGAAATCAGCTTCCTGTACAAAGGCAGAATCTGCATTCATTGCTGTGCCTACTTTTGTCCCTGCCAGGTGGCCCTCGGGGAAGGTCACTCAGAAGGAAATGTGGCCCTCCGCTTGAAATAGGTTCCCCGGCCTTGCTACGCAGAGCAAGAGATTTGAATCACATCAGAAAGTAATGACCCATGTCCATCGTAGCAGGACCCAGAGCGAAACATGGAGAAAGAGTTGCATTTTCAGAGGGAGAAGGGATTAGCAGCACTTGCGCAATGTCCCTTTTGTCTGGAAAAGCTAAGTTCCTGGCTAAAAAGGTCTGTGTTATGCTCAGCTTTCATGTTCAAAGTATTCCCTTCCATATCATCCTCAAGCAGCATTTTAGCTCAGCTCACTTAACTCACTACATATGACCTGGAATCGGAAGGTGATCCTCATTTCCTCACCGTGTATGCAATTTACCCCTTGATATTTTGTTCTAAATGCAACACTTGAATTTTGGCCTTGCTTCTCAGGTAGTTTCAGAATCCTGTTTTGAATGGCAATCACTTCCTGCTTGAGTGATTAAGTAGATGACAAGCACCGGAATTTATGTACAACATAGCTCAATTGTTGCTTTGCCACTTGCCTGTGGAATACAGAAAAAAAACGAAGGACTGTGCCACCAGGAAACTCCACTCTCAATCTTGACTGGATTATGGTGCTCTGTACTAGTTGTTCCTACCATTTGCTCTTGGCTCTGCAGTGCTTCTTGCCAACTGTGCCTTAAGCAATCAAAAGGCAGACCTGGAACTTCCCCCTAAGCCAACAGTGCCCTTCAGATACCCAGGACCACAACTCCCATCATCCTCAGCCAGCACGGACAAAAATCAAGGATGATGCAAGTTCTGCCCACAATAACTGGAGGGCGCCACGTTGGCAAGCCCTGCCCATACACTGCTCCCTCCTCCACTCTGTCTCTGCTAGCAACCCCCCACCCCCCTAGAGTGCTGTCCCTCTGCCACTGCTTTGTTACCTGTGGACATGCTCTCCCCGGGGGACATGCCGTCAAGTACTGTGTGCTCCATGGACTGCGGACTAGAGCCGGATGCGTTTGATGTGGGAGGCTGTGGAGGTGGCAGCGTGGGCCTCTGTCGTGGCTTAGGGGTGGGCCGAGATTTGGTTAAAGTGCTCGTCAGGGAAGGAGGAGAAGACAGAGAAGGAGCAGCTGCCGGGGAGAGTGGGCCCGAGCCCAGGGAGTAGCCTGGTGGGTAACTCAGTCCATAGGGTGATGGGGTGCTTGGTGGGGTGGGAGAAAGGCTGGCAGGGGACGGCTGCCCCGTAGACTGATCGGACATACCACCTGACTGTCCGTAAGGAACCTTGGCAGGGATGGGGGTCAGCTTCTTTGAAACTGCAGAAGACAAGAGAGAAAGAGACACACATACAAACACACAGATACAGCTGGTTGTCATTCATCACTGGGAGGTCAGGTGAGCTTTTTACTACTGGCTTTCTGAATACAACCATCAGGCCTGCTTGAGCCCTGGTGAATGGAAGCTCAGGCCTAAGGGCAACCTGTGTTCATGGGAAGTCATGTCTGGAACATGGACCATATTTAACCAACTCTTTGTACTAGTGGAAGCCAACAGAAGGGTTCTCTGCTAGCGCAATGGGACTTCCTCCCCTCCCCTTGCACTCCATTAAATCTGTTCCAGAGGGTTAGGAGAACTCATAGAACAGTGTACGAGGGGAGCAGAGATTGTTCCATCAGTAAACTAGAAATGCTTGCGTTGACAGAACAATCTCCTTAGTGCTATGCTGAATGCAAAGCAGAAGTAGGGCTTGAACCTAGCTCTTTTTTACGTCCTCCAGGTTAACTGTCCAATGGACCCTACTTGTTCACTCTAGTGACTTTATTTCTTAGAAAAGATTTCAAGTGTTTGTGGCAGGAACTTTCCTACCAGATTTCTCAGTCTTATGAGGACACCAGAAAGGAGAACTATTAATCTGCAGTCTTTGCAGTTGCCCACAGAGAAAACAGGAGCCCTGGCCAAAAAGCAGTCAGTTAACTAGTGGAATTAAATTGTGTGGTTAACACACTAAAAGAGAGAGAGAGAGAGAGAGAGAGAGAGAGAGAGAGAGAGAGAGAGTTGTTGCTTTGTTCATTTCACCCAGCTGAACCCACTCCTGTTGCCCTGTTCAGGTGTGAATACCTACCTTTCCGCAGGGTGTGTGGGCTCTGTTCTGTGGACAGCTGCTGTGTGAGACCAGGCAACTGCTGTGTGGTCCCACATGGTGCTGCAGGGCCACAAACCGGGCTCCCTTTCTGCCCAGAAACAGGAGAGAGTTCCTTGGTTTTTAGTGTGCTAAAAAGAAACAAAAGGTGGACAAGAAGCAGCAGTTATGAGCCCCTTTGTACGAAGGGCATCTTAAATGCAAAAATCCCCCTCTCCCATAGCCTCCCCCTCCTCCTGTCCCACAGTCCCAGGGTGCAGGCCCATAACCCTCCGCTATGATAAGCCAATGATGCTTGCAAAGCAAAGCGTTTTGATGCCTTGCTCCCGAACATACGCCCAAAGGACCAGACAAACTTGCACATCCACCTTCAAAAGCAGATCTGAGCATGACTAGAGCATGAATGGCACTGCAGCCCTCTCAGTCACTCTGTACACAGCAATGAGACGAAACAAAATGGAGGGAAGCCGTTTTCCAGAGAGACTACTCTGTGGGGCAGGTGGGGCAGGAGGAGGAGGAGCAGCAGCAATACGATCTGTTCCTCGTGGTGGGGATGGGGTGGGGCACCTCACAGATTTAAGAGGTGAACTTGTTATGCTGAACTTGAGGCCATGTCAGTTGTCCAAGTTTGTTCCTTTGCACTTAGCTTACAAGTGGCCACCAACCCCAAGGCAGTGTGGCAAGCCATGGTTTACCTCAGTGAGGGAACTGAGTTTGTCACAAATAATCTGTGGCAAGAAAGGTGCTACTCAAGGTGGTTGGCTAGACCAGGCAACTCAATGCAGTAATTGGAAACCTGGATGGTGAAAGCCTCAACATTTGCCAGGCCGAGGTAGGTGCCCCCTGCGCCTCTAAATAGGTTGGACCCAAAGAAGCTATTGGACTGGCACAGCTGTTTTGGGCCCAACTCAAAATCTTGTAATACAAGGCTGGGTAAACATGTGCCCCCCCCATGTTGTTGAACTCCAGCTCCCATCAGCCTCAGTTGGTATGGACTGTTGACAGAGATGATAGGAGCTGTAGTGAAACAGCAGCATCTGAAAGGCCACAGAATCCCCACTTCTGATGTAAGTCTTTGCAACTTGGGGTCCAAAGAAAGGGCTGGTTGATTGGATGCTATTGACACTAAATGCTTACTCAAGCTACAGATATATATATTGCATGGGATTCACCTAAATAGCCATTTAAGAAGAAGTTCTGTGCAACATATCCTGCTTGTGCAATGGGGCTCCCTGAGCCTGTCAAAATTGGCCCCAGTGTGTGTGGGAAGGGGGAAGGAAAGGGAGGGATGTTCCATCTGACAAACTGCAATATTTGTGCAGACGGAATGATTCAAAGAGTGTGATGTGGGATTCCATGGCTGTCATAGTTTCCCCATGGAATTTTGGGAATTGTAACTTGGGGATGGTGTTGAAAATTCTCTTACAGAGCACTTTGGGCATGTCTCAGAACTTCACTTCTCAGGGAAAGAAAGGTGACCAATGAAACCTATTTTAAACCTGGATTTGGCTTCAAGGAACTCCCTCCCTTGCAGGCTCCATCAGCTGATACAGCTGAAGTTCTCTCCAGGAGATCTGTAGCAATGTGGAGGCCAACAGGAAGGCCTCATTTATCTACCGAGGAGGCGTGGAGGCCCTAGGCATCGTCCCTGTGCGTAGACCTCTGGTACGTGGCAAGCAAGTGGTGCTCACCCTTCCACCACCGTGCCCAATTTGCCAGAGCATTTGTCAAATAAGAGGTTATTTACCTAGCGAGCCCGGTTCCTCTGTCTCTGGCACAGGTGCAGCTGACCCAGGGGGGAGAGACTGACATATGGGAGCTGTAAGGAGTGCCAGGCGGATCGGGTTTGGATAAGGTGAGGGGGGGTTTCATGTAGACGGAGGAGAGGTTAGTCTCAGGACCATGCAACTCTGTGAAGGAGCTCTGCTTAGGGAGGTGCAGGAAATACGGTTTTGGGTTAGAGTTAATGTCAAGCTGCTGAGGGGAGGGAGAGGAAGAAGAGGAGGAGGAGGAAGGGGGAGGCAGCGTTTGGCTGTACCCTGGCCACCGGTACAGTGGCAAGGGGGGCTCCGGCCTAGCGCATGGGCCAGTCTTGGGGTGGTGGTGGTGGAAGGATGAGTAGCAGGGATATGGGGGAGGCTTGTCGTCCTCAGGGGATGGGTAGATGTAACAGGAATCCGACCAACTAGACGACACACCATCCGTGCTGCAAATGTCCAAAACAACAAAACAAAAACAAAAAAAAGAGAGCAGAGAGCGTTTGTACAGGGAAGAACCGAACAGGAGTTTCGAAAACAGCCCATAAGCATTTGCCAGGAGAGGGCTGGGGTGGGGGCGGGGGAGAGAAGAAGAAGAGAGAACAACAACCAAAAATTCAAGGAAAGCAAGAGGGGCTCCTCAACTGCAAGGTACACAGTGGCTGGGGCAGCAATCCCCACCTTCCTGAGCTGACAGCTCCAGGCCTGGGTTTCTGCTTTTCTCTCATGAGCCACCCAAATGTAGAAAATGGCACTTGGAAACTTCATCTGCTGGAAAACAGAAGCTAGGCCTGTGCAAAATCTATCTTGCCAACGTCACCTATTCCTAAACAGTTGTTTGGGGAGATCTGGAAAATATCTCTAGATGACATTTGTCCTGAGTGTTGGTTTTGTCTCAGGGGCTTGTGTGTGTGTGTGTGTGTGTGTGTGTGTGTGTGTGTGTGTGTAGGGGCTTGGGGGAGGAGGAATATCCCACAAAGAAAATGTTCATTCATATGAAGGAAATGGGTATCTATGGGTTGGATTTCACCCATAAGTGCTAATTTGAAAATAAAACCAAGCCAGGGGGCACTTGAGGGTTGACTATGGAATTCAAGGTCCCCCACAATTCAGAAAATTGATTACTCTTGTCAATTAACTTGGGACAAACTAATCCTTCACAAAACAAGTGGGTCACGCTGCATAGTAGAACCTGCTGCCTCATTACACTGGGAAGCCAGGCAACCCTAAGCAGAATATTGGATTGAGAACTAGTGATCTGAGGAAAGCATGGCAGAGAAAACAGCGGGACAGTGTACCGAGATGCAATGCCAGGCAAGCATCAAGGTTTGCCGTGTAACTCCTGGACTCCTTCCAAAGTGTGAGGTATGCAATTGCAGGTGAGAGAGACCCCAGGGGAGGCAAGGAAGCATGGAATGAGTTCTAATGAAGTTGCATGTCCTCCTATCAAGGGCTTGACTTTGCCCCCATCCTTCTTTCTTGGCCTCTTTCCCTGGCTAATGTGAGCTCACAAACAGAGAAGTGCCACCCAAATTGGCGCTTGGCAATTTACTGGAAAGGAACAAGCCTGGAAAAACTGAAGTTGAGAAAGAACCAGGAATGTCATAGAAAGTCAAAAGAAAAGACTGCAAATGGTGGATCCTGCAGGACAAGATGAATGCTGCCTATTATTGGATCCCACAGGCTGGAGAAGTAGCAAGGGTGGGACTAAATCTCTCTTCTTGCCAGTGTAAACACAGAATTATTATCTCAATTCAGATTTAGCCCATATTTCCTCCTGTTTTGTGAGAATATGTGCAACAGAAAGGTGAGAGTGCCTGCCTTTGTGGATGGTTTTGCCAGCTTCTTATTCCCATGCATGTCTCACTCCCTCCCCTGCTTTTAGTGGGTATGTTGACAGGCAACGCATTAAACGTCTAATTCCATGCTTGCTTTTAGCAGGGAGCACATCTATGGCAGAAGCACAGACCAGAAACATATGCATGATACCCCCTATGGATAACCCCCTACTCTCTGCACATATGAATATGGCAAACATGATCAGTCATTTCTAGCTTGCCACAGAGCTGACCCTTATGAATGAATCCCCAGCACAAAATAACACAAGTCTTGCATTAGGTCTGAAAATCCAGGACTAAAAATGACAACATGGCAGCTGGATGAAGCTGGGCCCTAAAAACAGAGCCAGACCTTTGCCTTAAATGGATATCAATAAAATATTGGGTCAGAATAAGCCTCTCCATGCTGCTGGTGCCGAATTCCAACAGGACGAGGTGGCAAAATAGGAAGGTCTGCCCAGTCTCTGTAGCGCAAAATCAGGAAAAGAATTTTGTTCTATGTTACTATTCCTGATGCCAGTCTCCCTGCTTGCCTAAAATCTTTGGAGCAACAGGTCTGTTGTTGTTTTTTAAATTGCTTACATTCAGCTGGGCCACAGGAAAGTATTATTTTGTGCCTCAATTCTCTCTCATTCAAACACACACACACACACACACACACACACACACACTTGAAAAGTGAAAGCTGAAGCGTAACTAAAGAGGGCCCATGCAGGTGTGGGAGTGGCAGACGTGTCCACAGAGACTTCCAGGACCACAGAACACAGTGGCAGCTGCTTGCGCTGCCCTCCAGCACTTACCTTGCTCTCTCAGCCCCTGGCGGGAAACCGAAGCTAGTTGGAGTAGGGGAGGGAGTAGCTGAAATGTCAAGAGATTGCTCAGGAATTGGTGACTGAGGAGTAGCAGCAAGATCGGAAGGCGGAGCAGGGGGCTGCATGGCAGGAGGGGTGGAGGATGCCTTACGAACTATGGAGGTGCCTCTGCGAGCCACCCATGAGGTGTCCATCACCCGGACGCCCATGCTATGGGGGGGAACACAGAGATAGTCCCTTACCAACTCGGAAGCAATCATTGAGAGAATTAAACACACACATTTACATTGCAGGGGGAAGGAGGGAAGCCATCTAGGTGCATCCAAGCTCTGAAAGGATCCACGTACAGTTAATGGGAGTGAATTACTTAAATGTAGACTCTAGAGAGGAATGGCCATGAGGGTCATTTGGGTCAAAGGCTGCTCTGCTGGGACACCCAGTGGCCATTTGCAATCATCAGGGCAGCCAGAAAAGCAGTGACCTTCCAAGGTTGGTAAAGTTTTGTATCTAAGGGAGGTTCTCCCAGACATCAACAAAAACGGGGAGCCTTGGGACCATGAGGCCTTTCCAAAGAGCCACAGATCTAAACATAAAACATCTACGGCGGGGGGCAAGGGGAGCATCTAGAATCTTAAAAAACGTGCAGCCAGGACACCTGTGATTAATTTCCCAAGAGGAAAATGATGCCCTTTGCATTGGAGATGATAAAAAACTGGAAAAACAACATCCTGCAGGAAAGGGGGAAGGGCCATAGGTCGATGACAGAGCACATGCGCCCAGGGTCCATCACTACCACCTTGGGGAAAAGGGCTAGGAAAAACTTCTATCTAGACCAGGGTTTCCCAAACTTGGGTCTTCCAGTGTTTTTGGACTACAGTTCCCATCATCCCTGACCACTGGTCCTGCTAGCTAGGGATGATGGGACTTGTGATCCAAGTTTGGGAAACTCTGATCTAGACCTTGGAAAGCCGCTGTCCACCAAAGCAGACTCTGTAATAAGGCAGCTTCAAATTTTGACGGGGCACTCAAAAGACAGGCTCCCGTCTCAGTGCTCTCGGGGAGAAGCTGGCTTCTGCTCTGCCTTGCCCTGACATTAAGGGTGGCAAGGGCGAGCTTCTGCTGGCAAGGCCGTGGGTGCTCTGAATTGACTGGGTCTTGACACTGAAGGTAGGAATGGTTCAAGAGCTACCCAGAGGATACCATACCTTTGGATTTTCCTAAGGCTGCATGGACAGAAACATACAGGTATTAGTGTAACAGAAACTAAGGCCAAATGCTTCTCCTGCTGTGTCAGTTTGGCAGGCCTTTGGGAAAGGGGCTGGGAAGTCCAAGGCCGCAGCTTGCAAAAAGCAGGGGGATCGGGGCAATTTGGCTGCAGAGAAGCATATTGCTAAGTGGAGAAGCAGGACATTCAGTGAAAGATAGAATTTGAGGAAATGGAAGGTTTTTGTGAAAGCAATACCAGTTGTTTTGCAGTTGTGTGTGTGTGTGTGTGTAGGGAGAATGCGGGAGAGGGAGAGCAGGCTAGAGGTGAACCTAGTAGGGGATTACAATAATCTTTGCATGGTTCTTCTTCTGGGATCCAGAGGAGAAAGGCTTTGCAAATTAGACCTAACAATATTTGATGTCCACACTGAGCACTGTAAGACTCCACAACATACAGAAAACTCCTCAAGAGTGGGATTACAACGTTTCCAAAACTAATCTGAGCCAGTATCAAGCCTCTATCTGGGATCTTTTCCAGGTTGTGCCTTCCTGTCAGAGCTCTTTCATGGCATAAGGAAAATAACCTATGACTTCTCTTGCACAGCCCAGCTCCAGGTACTTGCCACAACCTTCTACAGAGAGCTAAATTTCCTTTGCATGCTTCATGCAAAAATAAAAACAAATGTTGAGATTTCTCACTAAGGCCTTTCCTAGACCTTGGGATCACTATAACATCGACACAGGTAAAGCATACTAAAACTAAGCCTGAGAACAGTTCCAAGTCCAACCCTCAAGAGACCTTTTAAACACCAAAGATCTGACAATGCAGTCTCCATCAGGCAAGGGCATTCCTTACTATCCAAGCTTTATGCATATGGATGGCAAACTCAGTAGGGCATTCATGGCCGTTCTGAAGAGATCAAAGCAAGTCACAGGAGAGAAAAGGTCCAAATTGAGAATCTCTTCGTAAATCCAAGAAAAGAAAACCAATCACTAAACTAACTGAGGAATTGCAAGTAGGAAGTTTTAAACGGCATATGTTTATTATAGGAAAGTGAGCTTTAAACTGATTAGGCAGGAATGCATAAGGTGTACTGCATACCAATATTAAGCTCTTCAATCACTGATTAAGATCCCCCCCCCAAAAAAAATAATAATTGGGGGAGGTGATACAAGCAGGGACTGCAGGCCTAGGAACTTTTGGATGACTTTCCACCATGCAGGCTACACTTTGTTCCCCGCCCCGCAATAAAATTCATGCTATTTATTTATTTCATATAATTTATATACCACTTGATTCTAAAAACATCAAAGCTGTTTACAAAACTCACACCATCCCCCTCTTCCCTGAGCCTGCTTTGACAAATAGAAACTTACAAGAAGGTAGCAGATAGTGCATGACTTGCCACATGAAGTTTTTACTTAAATAATGGATGTGACTAACTTGGGTCCATTAATTTCAATGGGTCTACTCTGAGACGGACACAGCTGAATACAACCCAATGTGTCTTTTAAAACCGATGGACCGTTAATCCATTAATGGTCCATTACCTAGTTCATTTTTGAGAGATGTTTTGTTTCCCTTTCCTATCAATAGATCTCTTCCATATTTAAAAGAAAGATGAAATATTGTCCTTTCTTCTAACAATGAATGACAGCTTTTTAATTTCAAGACCTCACTAAACGAACAACCACTCTTCCCTCTCCTCTTCCAGAATGGTAAAGCTACCACCATCAGTGTTTTACAGTATACATTTAATACTATTAGCTCACACCTAGAGGATGCAGGAGATGTTAGTGAGAACCTGTAGACGCATGACCAGATGCACACAGCCTGAGCAGGACAGGCTGTAATGTATGAAAGGTGGAAAGCGTCTCCTCCCTCCCTCCATTCTCACCTCTAGTCCCTGGCTACCAAGAGCTATCAATGCCCTGGATTCCAGATCTATAGCTCTTCAGGTCTACAGATGGTAGAGAAAGGAGCAGCACTGTAACTACTGCATGTGCTCAGGCCAATCGAGCAGGCAGAGTGCTGCTCACCTGTGCTAACCTTACCACAGCAAGGAACAACTGCTAAGAAATATGCATGCGAAGCTAGAGTCAACAGGATCCAATAGGTATCTCAGTAGCTCAGCATCTTTTTTCACCCATGGCTGTATTGCTCCCTCTCCTGATCTCAGCACAGATGTCTCCTTTAATGGGCAGCAGAAGCAAACGGTGCTATGGTGGTATGTTGTCAATCGTGGAAGACAAGTCTCTCCCCCCCCCTTTTTTTTTGCTCTCTGCCAAAGTAGTTCTGGATGGCAAAAACTACAAATGTCCCAGCATGCTGATCAGGCCAGAAATGCATGTGACCTATTATTTAGGCTCTTTGAAAATGACAGCAAACACCCATCAACCAACTGATAACATGTTTTGAAACGTTCACTGCATCACTAGAAAATCAGTGTAAGACAAGTTTCACTCTGGAAGTTATCAGGACCAGTTTTAGTACAGTGAGGTAGATCTCAGCTTCCCGTCCCGGGGAACACCTATGCTGCTTGTTGAGTCAATGCGCAGAGCCATACAGCTAGCTTGGGCCAGGCACATACCAGGTGAATAGGCAGACAGGCCAGGTGCAACAGCCCCGCTTCCCTTTAAAGAGGCCACGGGCCAGGTGCCTGCAGATGGTGTGGCATCAGGAGCGGAGTGGGATGTTAGTGGCAAGGCAGTGAAGTGTGTTTGCACGCCTAGAAAACATGGGCACTACTTCTATGGAGCAGCAGCGACTCCAGGCCAGCACAGCCCCTTCCCAGCTCCCCTCCCCTTACTCCTCCTGCAGCAAAATAAAAAGCACCCCCTACCCATCCTTCTTGTAGAACTCCAGCATCATGTTGTCTGTGGCCACGCTAAGTGGTCGCCGGGCCTGGTCAGGATGCTTGCGGTCGGCGTGGTCCATATCAGGTGACGGCATAGAATTGTAATTTGCGTTGTGGTTCACATGCACAGGGCTGCCATAGTTCCCGGTCAAGTTGAACTCAATGTCTAGTTAGGAGAGAGCAAAATGGCCAAGTAGTGCTTGTGGCTCCCACTTGAAGTCAGAGGGAGGCCAGACAGAGGCTTGGCAAGGATAAGTGTAAATCAAATATACACCCCCCCAGAAGCAGACGTTCCTGGTCATATACACACCTCTTGGTAGTTCTGCTGCCCTCATAGGTTTTGGTGGTGGCAGCCAAGAAAAGGACAATTCTCTGTGGCAGCCCCCTAAGTTGTGGAGTTCTCTCCCCACAGAAGTGCATCTGGACCTTCACTATACAGCTTTCAGCAGATGCAGAAGATGCACCTGTTCACCTGGCTTTTTGAAACCGGAGACATGTGTTTTCAGCACCCTCCCTATTCCTGTGGCTGTAATTTGTTTTAATTGTTTTAAACTGGATTTTAAATTATTGTGACCCACCCTGCTTGTGAAGGGTGAGCAACAACAACAACAACGATGATGTACTCATCATCATAAACACTTTTAATGTGGATGGGGAACCTAGCAGCCCCATATAGGTTTTTCTAGGTAACAACTGTTCTCAGTAATACCATGCAAAGCATAAACAGGGAAACCAAGCCCATGGAAAGATTCTTGTCTGGAACAGCAAATGATCAGAAGCACAGACCTTTGGTTTAGGAGGCACAGGCTGAGACCTCTAGGACCCCTAGCCAAGACTATGGAGAATGTGAGCCATCAGGGAAAGGAACAGCAAGAACCACAAATGGTGCCTATGGGAGGTGATCTATCCAAAAAGGATAAAATCGGTGGCCTGGCTGTCACCAGTTCTGCCCTGCCCACTTTGCCTTAGGTCAGTTGGGCTCTAGCAAACAAAAAACAGTCCTACCTCCTGGAAAGAACCAATCTGCATGCTGGATGAGGGGCTCAATAATTGCAACAATCTGCAGGGAGACGGTCGCCATCATCTCGGTGATGTTTCTGAAACAAAAAGGTGGGAGAGAGAAATGGACAGGTAAGGGGAGCAGTAAGGCAGGTCCTTCTGAAGGCCAAAACAAAATGACAACATCACAGGGTTGGAAGGGACTAGAGCTAGCATCCCCAAACTTGGCCCTCCAGCTGTTTTGGGACTACAATTCCCATCATCCCTGACCACTGGTCCCGTTAGCTGGGGATGATGGGAGTTGTAGTCCCAAAACAGCTGGAGGGCCGATTTTGGGGATGCCTGGACTAGAGGATAAAGTCCAGCTCCTGGCTCTAAGGCAACATGTCTCCTGCAGATTCTTCTGTCTCAGGAACCTGCCAAGGTTGGTCAGCTATGAAAGGTAGGATGCTGCTCTGGATACTTTACCAGACATTTTCAGAGGAATTGGGGCAGATTGGTTTCTATATTCTACATTTGTTCACCGGATGCCCACTAGCACTAGAAGTGATGATTTGCATTGTGGTGATGTGTTTGTTAAACAAACTATCAGACTTGTATACATTAATGGTGGCAATGGGTGTGATCTATCCCATGCTGATGCTCAGTAACTACCCATTCTCTTCAACTGTGTTTGTGTTTCTGAAATGCAAATAATTGAGAAATACAGAGAAGAGTTCTAAGGATACATTCCTATGCAGGCTGACACAGGTGTAAGCTCCACTGAACACATTGGGACATCCTTGTAAGTAAGCATGCACAGGATTGTGCTGCAAGGGCGATTCCTCCACTCAGCAATCTGCCTATCCTTTTCTCATGCCTTACTGCAACTCATTTTCCACATTTTGCCCTCACTTCATCCCTGCTCTTCACCCTGAGAGAGACATCCAGATGTTGCAAATGGATCAAAGCATGAAAATTGAACAAGAGGCTTGCAAAATGAAGGTAAGAAAAGCCAGCCCCAGGACCGGTATGTTCTTAAGTTATTTTATCTAGCATTTCAGAACTGCAGTGTTCTAGATGTCAACCACTTACCCTTCTGTCTGAGGCCAGAGAAGGTTAGGCCCCAGCACAATTGCTATGTTGCTTGGGGTCATTTTGTTTGCATCCTGGTACTCTGTTAAATGTGCAAGGAATTTGATCAGGTACCTGCAATCGAAGGCAATAGAGTTAAAATGGAGTGGTGGGTGCACATTCAGCAGCTACTGACTGGATCATTAGACTATTGCTAACCAATAGACATGCACTAGTGGATACTTTCCCAGGGGTTCATACGAATAAATGGGCAAGTGCCATTATTTGCATTTTACACGTACCAACCACCAGGGGGAGAAGCTCACATTGACTAGTATACATGTACTAGTATAATGTACAAATTACTGGGTATCAGGCCGGCAATGTAAGATGCCTCAAACATCACTGTATATAAGCCAAGGAGAATGCACTGCTTGCCACAGTAGTGACCACTTTCTCTCTATGGTTTATTGGTGACTGCTGCTGCTGCAGTCCTCCTCTAGCCCTTCTATGCAGTGCACATCTAACTTCCAGCAAGAAATATACTGACTTTGCCACTAAGGAATTAAGCCCTCTTGGTGCAGCTCCTGTAGTCCGTAAGAGGAGAAAAACAGTATTGCAACACCGCCTGTAGATCTCTGCCTCTGAATTTCAAGAGGGGCAGGAGCGATTTACCCTGCCACCCAACAAGTATCTTGGCATTGCTGCCTGATATCCTCAAGCACCAGATGTGACTTATATTAGCCGTTTCATCAGTGTACTTGTAGGCAATACCTCGATGTGGGAGCTACCCCTGAAGTTGGCTTGGAAGCTGCAGCTGGTGGCATGACATTGGGGCAGACAACCACTATTGTATTATGCCGCAGCTGAAAAACTGCTACTGGCCTTAAGTTCAAGGTGCTGATAATGGCGTACCCTGTACACAGATTGCGACCAGGAAACCTAAAAGACCTTCTCACCTTTTATATACCCAATCAATCACTTCTCTCTGCAGGAGAATGCCTCTTGCAGATACTATCTCATCTGGAGGCCTGTTCTGCACAGTATAGGAATCAGGCCTTTACCATGGTGCTGCCTACCTTTTGGAAGTACATATCAGACAGGCACTGTTGCTATTGTCTTTTTGGTGCCAATTTTTCCTGAGCCTTTTAAAGGGGATATTAAAAATAATAATAAAAAAATCCTGGTCCATATCTGTATTAAATTTGAAGTTGTTTTAATAAATTAAATGGTTCCACATAAGTTTTTATTACGGATGCTTTTGTATTGTTGAATTTATTTGAGAAATGTCATAGGAAGCAATTCCTAAATGGAAAGGAATAAATGATAAATAAAAACATTGCATGTATCTGCTCCTCTGCTCCTGTATAATCATTCTAGCAAAGCAGCATGCCAGATCTCCCTCCTGTCTCTTAGGGAGGATCCTTGTGAAATTGGTTTGGATGTTGAGGTAGGAACCATCCCTTGCTATTCAGAAGGCAGTGAGCTGGAGGCAAAGTTTTCTCGAGGTGCATTGCAAAGAGTCAGCAGTGCCAAGCACTCTTGTGTCTCACTGACACAACTCTGTTTAACTGCAATGCCATGTCGCAGAGAGGCCTCCTGGTGGAATCAACGTGGCAACTTTAGACACAGCAAGCTTTCAAAGCCATTACAAGCTTTCCCCCGAGGCTCCCCAACACCCAAGTACAGGCAAAACATCTTGCTGGCAGTGGGTGAGAACTAGCAAGTCCTTTACTGTGGTGCAGACAAGGTCAAGTTTCAGGCCAGCCTGGCTCTTGAAATGAGCTGGTCTCTTTTTGCAAGGCAGGCCATGTGAGAGAAGAGAAGACCTGGCACAAAATATGTGATAGGTGCTTGGAGCAATGGTTACCCATCCACACATATTTCTCTTTTCTTGCGTGCTGGGACTGAAGCTGCATCAGAAACTTTCCAGGCCAGGAAATGCAAAATATCATCAACATTAATCAACCTTCACCCCACGCACCCACCATTACTTTAAAGGTACAGTGGTACCTTAGTTCTTGAACTTAAAACCAAGGTGCAGCTTCTGATTGGCTGCAGGAGCTTCCTGCAGTCAAGCCGAAGCAGCGTCGGATGTTCGGCTTCCAAAAATTGTTCGCAAACTGGAAAACTTACTTTCAGGTTTGTGGCATTCGGGAGCCAAAATGTATGAGTGCCAAGGTGTTCAAGAACCAAGGTATGACTGTATAGCCTTTGGGTGGACCTTTTGGCCACACAGCAATTGCAAACTGTAAAACTAATGTCAGCAAGAGACAGACAGTGAAGAAGTGAAGGTATATCCTTTGGCTTGCGTACACCTGCCTTAGATTGTTGTAGCTGGGCTTGGGCAACTTCTCAAGGGCATTCCACAGGGCCTGCAGCCTCTTGTCTTGGTCCTGGATGCTGTGAAGCAAGAATGAGATGTCTGGGATTAATTCAGCAGTGGGACGATGGATAAAACATATCGGGATTTTGTATCTCTGCACCTTCAGCCTCTCTTTCCTAAGCTTGCCTGAGCTGAGGCAGCGGCATAGAGACAAGTTGTGAACAGACGATTCACCGAGGGAGCTGCCCCCTTGCCCTCCATTAATTTCGCACTTGAAACCTGTCACACTACAGACAGGACAGGACAGTCACTGCTGGGAAAGTTGCCAATGCGCTTCACATTTCACCTCTCTGGGAATGTGACTTCTGCTCCTTGTCATGTACTGGAAGCAACAGTTGCGGTGGGGCCTACTTGCACAATCACTTATCCTGAAGTGACAAGCCCCAGATCGCACTTCAGCATCAGATTTATGTAAATGTTTAAAGCAGACCTTTGAAAAGTGTAGCCACTTTAAATGCCTGGTAAGATCAGGGACAGTCTTGGCTCACTTTTCTTACGTCAGGCGATGAGGGCTGGAAGAACGTCTTCATTCCCAATCTTATTAGGGAAGCTTTAGGCTAGACTATAGCTGTGGCAAATTTTGAGAAAATCCCCTTCCTAGCAGCAGAGATGTCATTACTCAGTCTCAAGAGGGGACAAGCTGAGGCAATTCATTTGAAGCAAAACCAATTAAAGAAAATGGCAATTCGTTTGAATCTGTTGGAGTACTTGGGACACAACAACAAGCTCTTCAGAACTGGGCCCTGGATCCAAAGGAAATTAGTTAAATTTGAGTCCTGCTGAAACACTAACTGATTGATCACATTGTGACTTAGGTGCAACTAATGTTTCCTCTGGAAGCAGAGGAATTCCTTGGGAAACTAAGGTGGGCAACCTTAGACATACAGCTTTGACATATGTCAGAGAATAGTCTCCTTTCTATGCATAGCAGACACCTGTTGCTTGGGACTCATTCACATTTCACCAATGGGCCCTGAATTTGAATATATCTGCATATTGAATGAAGCCCTGAATGTGTGAGGGTGTGGCCCTGAAAAGTGACTAATAAATGAGAGAAACAAATAAATGATAATGTCATACATGTGCATAGGCAGAGGCTCTTGGAGAAATAATTTTGGGGTGGGTGGGTGGGTGGGGATTGGAATTTCCCACAATAAATTACACCAAATGGGTTTGATCTGTCCCATGAAGTTCCTGGTTCTGCATGGCAAATATTGTGGGCTCCCAGAATTCGGAATTCCCTCCCTAGAGAAGCTAGATTGGCTCTCTCCTTGCTGTCCTTCTGCCAGCAGATGAAGACTTTCTTGTTTCAACAGGCATTTGGGAACTAACTGGTTTTAATTAAAGGGCTGGCGCCGTGCTGCTTTTATTGTAACCACTGGTAAGTTTTAAAACAGATTCTATATATGTGTTGTTGTTGTTCAGTCATTTAGTCATATCTGACTCTTCGTGACCCCATGGACCAGAGCACACCAGGCACTCTTGTCTTCCACTGCCTCCTGCAGTTTGGTCAAACTCATGCTGGTAGCTTCGAGAACACTGTCCAACCATTTCGTCCTCTGTCGTCCCCTTCTCCTTGTGCCCTCCATCTTTCCCAACATCAGGGTCTTTTCCAGGGAGTCTTCTCTTCTCATGAGGTGGCCAAATATTGGAGCCTCAGCTTCAAGATCTGCCCTTCCAGTGAAGCTGGACACTCTCAAGTGTCTCCTCCAACACCAAAATTCAAAAGCATCAATTCTTCGGCGATCAGCCTTCTTTGTGGTCCAGCTCTCACTTCCATAAATCACTACTCATAGCTGTAATTCTATCCATGTTTAATTATACTTTAATGACTGATTTTTCTGTGTTTTGAGCAGTTCTTGTTTTTATCTGTAAGCCACCTTGAGTCTTGTCAGGGAACAAACAGTAATTTATATATAAACAATTTATAATTTATGTATAAACAAACAATAATTTTGAGTGAATCTGATAAGGTACAAGTTTCAGCCTGATCCTCTGCATGTTTACTTGGAAGCAATTTTCACTGAATTCAATAGGACTTATTCTGAAAGAAGCGTCCAGAATTTCAACCTTGTTTGATATTCTATTTTTATAGCAGAAGGTGAAGAAGCAGGGCTCAAGCAACGGTGAACAACTCACTTTGAGGCTTGGATCCATTCTTCATAGAGTTCAAATGTCATGAGCGGTTCTGGCAATTCCCGAAGATAGGACTTCAGTGCCCCTGTGCAAGAGACATAGAAACACAGAACATGCATTACCAAAGCAGAAAGCCTCATCCTAATTTGGAGGGAATTTTTTTCCTCATTGAACTTTCTTTGGTTTGGGGCAACAGCTGAAGTCGATGAACCAGCCCTTAACTGACAGGAGCAAAAATGCTGTACTATCTAATGCTGAGATCAATATTTCCCTTTCTGGACACAAGAACTAATATAGATGACCATCTGACAACATGGTAGAGTTTCCTACCACTTGGTCATTTGTATTAAAGTAAATGGGGCAGGAGGTTTTTTGCTACTCATCCCAACATATGATGAAGAGCGGTGTGTACGTATGCTCTTAAAATAAATAGCAAGGCTTCTCCACATGGCTAGATGACTCTCTGTATCCATATTGGTGTGAGGGGGGTGGACTGCCTTGTGCTGTAGGAGTTTCACAACTACAGCTGTGTTTTAAAGGGGGGACGACAATATTTTCTCTGCTTTTCAGATTTTATTCCAAGTGCTATTTCTGTATTTGAAAAGAGTTTAAAAACTGCAGTAATTATACACCTATAGCTTTAAATATAATATAGATTTAAAAACTATTAATGTTAGTTTTGGTGTGTTTGAGGATTTGTCTGGTGTGTATATGTTTGTGAGTGACTCATTGACTCAAGTTACAATTCTGCCTTTGGTTTGATAAGGATGCTTAGTGGGTTGTGTGTATAATTGATTAATTGTCAACGTTTGCCACTGAAAGCAACCTTCTTCCATTTGTTCAAGCTAATAGTATTCACTACAACACCAGTCTGGTATGCCAAGACAAGAGCAGCTCTTACCTGCAATGGCATGTGGGTCAGCTGAGTACTCCTGAACATCCACAACACAGCAGTCAAGAGCTGCCTTAAGTTTCTTTAGTTTAGAGGCTGAAGGGGCCACCCGGAATAGGCCCTGCAAACACAAGATGTGAAATAAAAGTGTGTGTGGTTGTGGGGCGGGGGGGGGGGGGAGACGATAATGACATGTCTGTCCAGCCTGCAAATCCCAAGGAAGGTAGTGTGGGCAACACAGCATTGGGGCTAGGGATGGGAATATGGGGTGGTGGTGGTAAGCACTCCCAGGCCTTAGCATGAAGGGGCATCAGTTGCCCAATACAGACCTCCTCCTGCATGCCACACTCCAGGAGCATAGTGACACACGCCTCGATGGGGAAAGCAATCTCCCGGCCACTGACAGCTAGGTGCTCCTCCAGGGGCTTCCCAAAGGAGGGCTTTTCAATCCAAGCTTCTGTGGAAGGCAGTCCAAATAAGAAGCAATCACAATGTACCCACAACTCACTCTCTTGGTAACATGCAGTAGCCAGACTTCTACACACTCCTGGCTTGTTTGCAGAGCTGTCCCTAATGCCATGTGCCTTGAGACTGGAAGATCACCCTCTGTTTACATGTCTAAAGCCGTTTTCAGGCATCATCACCTTAACAGTGCCTTAAGAGGCAATTAGGGTACAGCGTGGACTTGCAGCTAACTTCGCTGCATGGGATTGTGCTCACCTCCTTTTGGCCCCTTGCCTGATTAAAGGGAGGAACCCGCAGAACCATGGGGGTACGTCAACACAGTTGAGAACCCAGACTTCCACTTTCCTCAGGGCCACTGCAATGTGGTCTACATGGGGCTGCCTTTGAAGATGGGGTGGAACCCACAGCTAGTGTGGAAGACAGACTCCAGAGCGCTGAGGGGTATATCCAGCTGGTAAAAATCTAACACTGATTCTACTCAGGCTGCACTGACTGCAAAGAAGCTACTGGGCACTATTCACGGTTTTGATGTTTACAAAAAACCTCAATGACTTAGGCCCCTCCTCTGCAGTCACAGCCGACCTATGGAACATCTTCTTCCAGGAGATTTGGTCAGTTTAAAGTATTGGCTAAGGTTTCAAATATATTTTGGTATAATATCCTAGGATCTCACTGGTGAAGAGTGGTTAGCAAACTGAACAAAACACACCCGGAAAAGAGCCTTAATGTGGATAACATCCTATAGTGCTAGCCTTGTTGATTCCTCATAGTTTTTGTGAGCTCAAGAGTAGGCCCAAATGAGCCCTAACATTTTGATTAGAGTAAGGTGCTGGCAACGATTCTAGGAATGATATATATGGTGGCATTCTTATTTTTAGTATTCTGGCTGGCTGCAATCCACAGACCTACTTCATTTTGTGACTGCTAAGCTGTCACACTGTCTCATCTACCACAAAGGCAACTATTAGCAGGCTGGGGGCTCTGGATTGATGGGTAGAATCACCTTGACTTTTGATGCTTGGTATGGTAGTCACGTTGCCTCAGCGAGCAGCACTGAACGTCTCTCATGTAATATGTGACAAATGGTAATGTAAGAGACACTGCATCACACTTACCCTGCTGTGCTTTGATCTGAGGCAACACATTCTGCAAAAGTGCTAATGACTTCCTGTGGTACTCTGCTTGCACTTCTATTAACTGGGAGAAAGATGAAACAAGAGGCAGCTGGTAAGAAAACTCATGCCCTGGAAAGCATTATGGTTTTCCAAAGGGAGATGGGGAAGTTGAGGCGCATGAGTGCCCCACCCCCCTCATGAAAAGCCAAGTTTTCTGCTACTTACAGTCTGAAAATAGTTTGCATAGTCTATCTCTTTGGCCACAAAGTTGTACATGTCAGCTGAGAGCTGATCCTGCGGGAAGTACAGAAATGACAAGAGTTACACGGATGCAAAATGGCCAAGCCGAGCTCACTGCAACAGCTGTAGTGCTGCAAAATGCATTTCCTTTCCAGAAATTCAGATAAAAACTAAAACCACACCTATAGTAAGAATGTTAATTGGATCACAATTCACACATTGATCTACCTCTTGCCCAAAGTTCTATTCATCAAACTAGGGCAAATGGCTGAAAATTGCAGTTTTAAATACTCTCCTCCCCAAGCGATAGTACTTGCTACTGCACCAACAATACTAGGCTTCAATGGGCTAAGAACAGTGGCTTTTGGAGCCATCACCTGAGCCACATTCCAGATGGCACAAATGATGCTTCACCAGGAATAGAAAGACAGAGAGAAATAAAGAAAGAAATGATAGATAGATAGATAGATAGATGATAGATTAGATAGATAGATAGATGATAGATACCCTGCAAATCTCCACTCTGTTTGCTGCCTCCTCCATCTCTTCCCTGAGAGCATCCGCTTTGGCGCCCGAAGGCTGCAAGTTGCTTGACAAACCTGAAGATTTGGCTGACTGCTGCCACCTGCCGGAGAAAGAAGTTAAATGACATTAGCAACAGATGAGAGGACTCCTACTTGTGGGTGGGGCAGAACTTTTAGCAAGGGCAGTCACCAGTACAAGAGCCTGAAGGCACACAATCAGCTTGAAGGCACACAACCTTTCAATCCCGCCCTTTCCTCAGGTTGTCTTTAGACTCTCCCTCAATCACCATTTGTAAATTCACATATATATTCACTGAACAACTGCTTCTCTTATCAGAAGAAGCAACAATAGCAAACCCTTGGAAAGAATGACCTGGGAAACTCCAAAATGCAAGCAATACTCAATGGATGCAATAATCTATGGAGTAATTTGCCCTTAAGATGGAAACCTCCTAAACCCAATAAACACCATTATGGAGCCTAAAAATCTGCTACTTGCATCCTTATCTTTACTGCCATCTGCCTGTGATGGAACTTAATAGGATACTGCTTTGTTGAAGATAACGTTTTAAAAAGCATGCAGCAAAGTCCTGTGCTGAGGAGAGACAGAGATGTTCCACTGATTGACCTCACTGGCCAGCTCAGAATGGAGCTGTCTCTATTCATGCCTCCGATCTGAGGATGAACAGGATGTCAGCTTAAATGACAGCTGCCTAGTGGGCCATTCCTACAGCAATGAAGCCACTGGAGCAGTTCCAACTCCCCACTTTCTTCTAACAAAATATTACGTCCCAAGCTGTCTTATTCTCTAAACCACAGCCTGCCTAAATAAGAGGGTTTTTTGCTTTTTTGTTTTAAAGCAGGTGTTAAAAACAGTACAATAAAAGCACCTGCTCAAGATTTAAAAGTTATCCTCTCACGTTACCCTGACTGCTCAGGCAAAGCTGGTCCCCTGAAGCAACTTCCATGCCACAAGAACTGGGCCTAAATAATTGTGCAGCTATTTCAATCTGTTCTAATTCTAATTATATATAATATACATACTTAATTTTTCTGTTTTGCAATTTAAAGTACTCATTTTTACATCCTTAAGATGTCAATGACTTCCCTTCTTCTCTTTCCATGGTTCATTTTGCATATCACAAATCCCTGCATATTTTACAAAAAACTATACCATTCAGTATTCCATTATTACATCCATCAAAACTTATTCACACTGTTGAATTTATCTTAATGCTGCCAGTGTTTTCAGCTGTACACAGTTATTTCCCATATATTCAATAAACGTTTTCCAATCTTTTCTAAACGCATGTTCTTCTTGTTCTCTTACTCTATACATTAAGTCTGCAAGCTGCGCATATTCGGTCAACTTAATTTGCCATTCTTCTTTGTCTGGGACCTCGCTCGTTTTCCATTTTTGTGCTAACAAAACGTGGGCTGCAGTAGTGGCATACATAAATAACCTTTTTTGACACCAGGTGTGCAGCTATTTCTAAACATAGATTTCGCCTGATGAAAAACTTAGGGCCCATCCTTGAAAGCCATGAATGAACATAAGTAGAGCCTGCTGGATCAGGCCAATGGCCCATCTAGTTCTGCATCATGTTCTCACAGTTGCTGTGGGAAACCAGCAAACAGAGCATGAGCACAAGAGTGCTCTCCCCTCTTGCGGTTTCCAGAAGCATTGCTACCTCCAACTGTGGCAGAAGAACGCAGCCATCATGGCTGGTAGCCATCAGTAGGTTTCCCAGGTGAACTGGCAGACATCCCAAAATCCATGACATGGACGAGCAGCCTGTATTCAGCAGCAGCACATTCTGTCTCATGTAGGATTAAGGCAGATATCTGTGGCCAGCAGTGGGAAGATGTCCTCCACTTGAGATCAGGGAGGATTTTTTTTTTTAATCCTCAGTTAACTCAATACTTCTAGTCAGAGTAACCAGCTGTTTATAACCAGTTTCAAATAAGAAGATTATTCCCAAAGATCAGCAAACCTAATTTGAAGGGAAAACAGAAATGCCGTCTGGCTCCTCTCAAATCATTTCCCCTCCCACCTTTGAGGGCCAGACGCTGTCAGTTCTTGCAGTGCTGAAATGCTGACACAGACGTTATGTGTTTAAGGGTGGACCACATCCATAGTCTTAGTGGAATTAAAGTGAAAGGGTGAGTGCCATCCACATCAGGCTCTCTCAACTTTGGGAGAACACAAATCTCTCAGAAGCTGTTCATCTTTATCTCCAATGTATTTTCCTTTATGGCACAGAGAAAATAGTCACCTGTCACTATGGAATCAAGAACACTGCCTCTTCCTCCCTCTGACTTCCACATGTGTAAATTCATCCCTTCTAATCTTGTTTCCTTTTGCTGCAACACCCAAGAGGCTTCATCCCATGATCACACTGACATAGGACCAGCTGAAAGTTATTTTACTGACTGCAGCAGCATCGCACTATCTCGTGGGCAAAAGGCAGTTCAGGGTGCTCCCCTGGTTTCCTACCGATTTGTCTGAGAAGACCAAGAATCTTGTTGTATCTTAAAGCTGAGCTTATTTACTGAAACACGAGCTTCTCTTTGGTGCGGTGGTTAAGAGCGGTGGACTCATAATCTGGTGAACTGGGTTCGCTTCCCTGCTCCTCCACATGCAGCTGCTGGGTGACCTTGGGCCAGTCACACTTCTCTGAAGTCTCTCAGCCTCACTCACCTCACAGAGTGTTTGTTGTGGGAGAGGAAGGGAAAGGAGATTGTTAGCCACTTTGAGACTCCTCTGGGTAGTGATAAAGTGGGATATCAAATCCAAACTACTCTTCTTCTTCTTCTAGGCAGATGCGTGAAAGTGTATGTTCTTTTGGCGATGGGAGGAACAGAGCCATTGCGGTGTAGAGTGGTTAGACTAGGACCTGGAGACCAGGGTTTCAATGCCCTACTCACGAGATGATCTTAGGCCAGTCACAGTCTCTCAGCCTTACCTATCTCACAGGGTTGTTTTGAGGATAAAACAGGGAGGAGGAGGTGGTGAATCATATAAACCACCTGCAGCTTCTTGAAGAGGTAGGACATAAATGTAATAATCAAAACAAAACAAGCCTGGTGGTGGCTGTGGTGAGATTTTTTTCCACTTCATGGAAATACCAGTTCAATTGTCTGCAGACATCATGATTTCTCCAGTTTTGTGGCAACATATCAATGGCACCTCCAGGGAATGAGATCAGCTTGCGCAAGGCAAAAATAGCTTGCTTTCAAGGAGCACCGGGAAGGAAATAAACACAATTTACATTTTTTCCAGACATGATCAGAAATACCAGCTTGCTGTTTAGGCTGGCTTGGGGGCATAGTGATAGTGACAGGATTTGGCTTTCAGATTATCTGTTTGCCCCAGTGAGGGAGAGTCTCAGCCACCTGCTTCACAGCTGAAGAGGCAGGAAATAGAGCTCTTCCTTGGGCATGATCAGCGGCACAGTATACCAGCTAATAAGATATGTTGTGGTAATCCCTTCTCTCTTTCACCAACAGCAGAGTCAGAGTAAATGCAGACTCCTCACTGAATGACACTGACAGAAATTTAATACTAGACCATTGTACGAGACTGTAAATCCTCCTGCGCTGCCTTCTCTTTTGGATTCTCTGACAGAAAAAGATCTGGAGACATGGGAATTCTGTAGGACATTTTAGCTGGATCTGACAGACTGAGGAGTACACAGGATCAAACAACTGGGGGAATTTCCAAAGCCCTCACTGACTCCATCTATGTGTGTGGAAAGAGCTGAAAGTATCTCAGACTGCTCTCGCCCCATCTTCCAGGGAACCTTCTTTTGCCAAATGGGAAACAGAAACATGGCCTCTTCGCGTAGAAGAAGAAGAAGGGAAGGAGGAGGAAGAGTTTGGACTTGATATCCCGTCTTTCACTCCCCTTAAGGAGTCTCAAAGCGGCCAGCAATCTCCTTTCCCTTCCTCCCCCACAACAAACACTCTGTGACGTGAGTGAGGCTGAGAGACTTCAGAGAAGTGCGACTAGCCCAAGGTCACCCAGCAGCTGCATGTGGAGGAGAGGGAAGCGAACCCGGTTCACCAGATTACGAGTCCACCACTCCTAACCACTACACCACGCTGGCGTAGTGTTGCTGTTGAGCAGGCAAGACTGAGGGCAGTGCAAGAAGCCTGATGGGCAAATAGCAACAAATGACAAGATATGTCATTCTAGCAGTAAATCCATCAGGGACAGATTTTTAAAATTCTGTTTTCACTGGTAGTTCAAAGGCTAATAGTAGCAGTTTCCCCTGTATGAGCCTATTCAATCCCTTCTCTATGTGACCCTTCCAAAAGAAGTTTAGAGGGTGGAAACAAAAAAAGGGGCCTTTCTGGAGGTAGCCCCCATTTGTGGAATGCTCTTCCCAAGTATCAACACCAGGCATCAACGTCTGCCATATTTTCAGTGCCAGGCAGATGTTCTTATTCTCCCAGGTGTTTGGGCATTAATTTGTGCTCTGATAACGGTGCCTGTTTTTATTTTATCTTGGTGTTTGTCTTGTTGCTGGGTGGGATACAGTATTTTGATGATTTTGTAATTGATTGCTGGCGGATGAACTTTTTAGTGCTTATTTAAACAATTCCTTTGAAACATATTGCATTTTTATGGTTTAAAGTTGCTTCGAGAGACCTTCATTCATAGAAAGCAACACATAAATTGAATGAACAAAACTAGTGCATTTATCTGTGATTTGCTGCTTAACCCACTGGAACTTGATATGGCTTTTTATTATTGTTATGTACATTAAACAATAGTATTTATATATTTTTTAAAAAATGCATGAATTTTTAACATGAAGCAAGGGACATGGTACTTTAAGGATGGGCAGACAAAAAGCTAACATGCTTCTTACCTTGTCCTTGACGAATCCATGTCCAGAACTAATTTCGCTAAGTGTTTCCTCTGTTTTTGGATATTGGGGATTTCTACCTAAAATAAATGATAGTAACATGGGTATTTTCTGCAGAGAACTCCAATAAACATCCCTGTCACTGAATCCAAGCAAGGTCAAAGTGAATTCTCAGGATTTTGCATCTGATTCGGAGCCTAGAGTCAACACCAGCAGCTAGGGGCATATACCACTGTTGGACAGTTCCCAGATGACAAGAAGCCACATACTGCCCCCAGAACAACTTGCCGTCAATGCTCTCTGGCTGGTGTTAAAAGCAGAAAATTGGAAAAGAAACAGGCAGCAGTGCTTGGCAGCTATCTCAATCTAGTAGATCTGAAAAATACTTTTAGCCCATCCACTTTAAAGAAATATGACAGGAGGAAAGGAAAAAAACGAAGGTGATGATTGTGGTGTCCCTATCCTAGAGAACACCTAATTAGCCAGTGGTGCATGTATCTACTATCCCCTCAGCTCCAAAACGCCTGATTTGAAAGTAGACCCACAAGAACAAGGAGCACCTCTGGAATACACTCAACCTCTCATTAAAAAATAGTCTGGCTTCATTTCTGCAAAGTGAGTATTTCCTTGTTTGGTCTTGTGCATGTGAACTTGTAACAGCAAAACAAGTACACACACACCCCTCCTCTGACAATATAGGGAGCAGCAAAAGGCTGACAACATGGAGCAACTTAAAATGGCTACCATGTTTTGGTGTAAAATACCAGGATTCACACACTGTGAGGAGAAAGTTCACAATGATTTTTTAAAGGAAATCCCTTCAGTTAATTCAAAGTAGGCTGGGATACATTTACCTAGAGAGAGCAGCATTCAAAATCTGACATGATTTTTAAATATTCCTTGCAACACACACACACACACACACACACACACACACACACACTTTAAAACCTGAAGAAAATTTTGTTCTTGGCTCCCAGAGTTGCCTCTCTTTTACTCTTGCCTTACTTCCTGGCCCTGCATAACCCTGTTCCTGCTTCACAACCCCTCCCAGCCTTGCTGCTTAATGAACCCAGAGCTTGAGTTTTTCTCACAGAGCCAAACTCAAGTCTTTCTACCTGCCCATGAGCTTTACTAGCTGCCCAGTCTTTTCACCTAACGGGAACTTGTTGAGCTGGCACTGCCCTGCTCCCTGCCTGCACCCAACTTCCAATGGGCCAAATACCAGAAGTCCTTCATTGCAAATGTGGTTCTTATCCTTGAATCTTCTTCAGAACTGCCCCCTTGCTTCATGGGCCCTTTTTGTTAGAGCAGAGGTAGGGGAACTTGCTGGGCTTGAACTCCCATAATCCCTGATCACTGGCTAAGCTGGCAGGGGCTGAAGGGAGTTAAAAGTGCATACTGTCTGGTGTGCCACAAGTCCCCCCGTACTTTAGAGGTCATACCACTTATACCAGGCGTAGGCAAACTCCGGCCCTCCAGATGTTTGTGACTACAATTCCCATCATCCCTGACCACTGGTCCTGTTAGCTAGGGATGATGGGAATTGTAGTCCCAAACATCTGGAGGGCCGGAGTTTGCCTATGCCTGACTTATACCAACACATCAGAACAACCCAAAACAGTGCTCACTGCAGCTATTAATTGCCACCGCTTGTGTTTTTTCTCACCTCAGCCAGTACGAAGAGAGGCTCAATCACATCCCGCTCAACTTCCAGCTCAAAGTGGATGAGCTCTTGAGAAAGCTTGTCCTCTGCTTCCCCACATAACTTCAGCATCTTCCTGCAGAGCATGAAAACAGACAATTGCAATGAAGTGGTACGGCAAGCAGCAGAGATGGAAAGGCAAGCAAGAGACACAGACAGAGAGAGGTACAGAGATGGTCATGGACCTGAGACAGATGATGTGTGGCAGACAGAGGATCTGAAGCACTAATCATGCAGGCTCTGTAAGGCAGCAGGCCAAGAGGCTTCTATATCACCTGAAGCACAAAATGTGTCCTTCCACTAACATGCTTTGGTTTATTTGTAATAAAACAGGCTGGTGTGAAACGACAACCTATTGCTGCATCCTGCGAAGGTGCCATGGCAGAGGCAACACCTAGTATCTTTTTATTGTCTTTTGTATTGATTTATGCTATAAACCACCTTGCTATTTTACATGAAAGGGTGTCTCTAAATGTTTAAAGCACATGAAATAAGACTGAGGAGACCCAACCTGAAAAAGGTTAGTTGGAAAAGGGGGTGGCAATTGAAAAGTAGCAAGAAGCTATTAAAATTGGTTCAGGCAAAAGGATTTTTCATTACAACCCTAGACTTGCGATCCTTTTATTTTTAATGCATTTTACAGTTCTTGTTTGTGAGCTGCCTTAAATGTTTTATAAAGGAAAGGGCAGGGTATAAATATTTTAAATAAATCCACCAACATGTTTCCTACTGAAGTGGCCTTTCAGCTGAGGAACATTATTGTGACTGGAACAGATTAAAAAAAGAGAGAGAGTTGTATCTTGCCCAATAGGTGGGTATTTTGAATGGGAAGAATCTTACCCAAGCAGGGAGTCGTCCCCTAGAATAGCAGAACCTTCCATCAAGCATTGGGCTAGCGATGTCAAAGGCAATTTCTTCTGCAACAAAAGCAACTGCTGTATGAATTTAGGGTTTGTTTTTAAATCCATCACATCACAGTTTGAGCCCACTTCATTCCCAGAAAATGACACTATTTCCAAACAATATTATTTGTTTATAAAAAAACCCCACGAACCCGTTTTACTAACTCTTATGCTCACATACAATTTACACACAGGAGGGGAGGAAAGCTAGTTGTGCTGTCTTCTCAGCTTGATTCCCTCCCTCCTGCCTCTTCTCCATGTGAAACACGTAGAGACATGAACCCAGCTCTGTTGTCTGGTGGGTGCTGGAATCTCTCACCGAGCGCTTATCAGAATCCGATCCCTGCTGACCCTGAAGACACGCTGTCAGTTTCTTGTGTGTGCTGTGGGAGACCTGCTTCACCAACTCCAAACGCTTCTCCACCTGGGGATGAACACAACAAGAAGGCATCACATCAGAGGTGCTCGTCCTCAACTCTCAGCTATCTGGACATAAGAGAGAGAAACAATTCAGTTCATGTAGGCCCTGCCCTCTGGGTCCCCTTAAAGTGTCCAATTGCATACTCCATTCATCAGCAGCCAATTTTAACACGCTGGACTATATGACAATTAAGGAACAAATGACACAATAAATAGTTGATTAACATTATCAGACTTCACAATTTTTTCTTTCCTGGCTCTTTTCTTAGTCACCCAACAACGATAATTTTCAGGGTGAAGTACACAAGTATTTAAAGCAAATTAAGATAATGCAATTCAAAAAGAATACATTCAATAGACAACACCAAGATAACCATCATTGTAAACACAGGGCAAAAAGCTAAAAGATCATACCAAGCAGCAGGCACTACAGACCTTAAAAGTCTCCAGAAAGTAAAACAGACACATTAAAAGACCACATAACAGAGGGTTTAATAAAATCTGTGAGACTGAAGAGTTAGTTGCCTAATGCCACAAGGCAGGCAATCTCTAAATGTGAGATCATTGCTGAGGAGGACCTGTTTCCTGTTGCTACTACACAATATTCCAACTAGTAGGAAAACCTGGTGAAGAGCCCACATTGATGACCACAGGGCACGTTTAGGTGCATATGGGAAGAGATGGTTATTCAGTCACTGTGGCTCCAAGTCATGAAAGAACTCAAATGTCAAAGTGAGCACTCTGAATCAGGCTCCGAAATGAAGTTACAAAGAAGGGTACTCTGAGTTGGATAGGATTTCACTAGAGTTTAAATTAAAAAGTTACAAGTAACATAAAATAAAAACCAGGCCCATAAGCTGTGATAGCAGAGATGCCAGGCAATCTGGAAACTACATCCCAGGCAAAAGGATTTCCAAGAAATATAGTTTTCCAAAATGCTCAAGGGGCACTTTTGAGTGTCTGAGTATTCTAGAAAACTATACTTCCCAGTCTTCCTTGATTACTTGAGCATCCTCAGAAATGCAGGAAATGGCACTCAAGATGCCAGCAAAATCTGAACTTTGGCATCCTCAGTCACCCTATGTTACTTCAGCATTCAGGAATGATGCGCTTAGTACAATGTTTGGTTTGTACCATCTTTGGTTTACCAAGCCCAAACACCACTCTCTAGCTATGGAAGTGAATTAGTAATCCAAAAATAAGTGTGCTTACCCATTCTAATCCCATTACGGTAATTTACAGACAAACCACTGTGGTTAAAAGTTTGAGAGAGGAAAAACAACTGCTTTAGTGTTGATTTTAATTTAATATCCTGAAACAAAAGCTGGAACTTAAGTAGAATAAAATGTTGTGATTCCTATTTTAGGAATGAATGGAGATATGGTGGATAAGTAACTGTGTCTGTATTAAGAAAGGAAGCAACGTAATGAGATGCTAAAAGGACAACTGCAAAATAAAGGCTTGGAATTATGGAGGCAACCCGAAAGTGAATGTTCAAATGAAGAATGTAGCTAGCTACCTGAAGCCACTGTTGAAATACCTCCTGTAATTGACTGGCTTCTAGAGACTAGTCAGTTTTGGAAAATGGCATAATTATCTGGCTGATCTCATAAGGGGAGATGCCATATCTTCTGAAAATAGGCATGGACAGCTCATCTGGCATGCACTCTAGCAAAAATGGTAGTGGGACCCCTTTAGGTCTCCCAGGATTGATTTGGGGGCCTGGAAAGAGAAGATGTCAGAGACTGCTACTGAGACTTTAAAATAAAATAAAATAAAATAAACTGGCAGATGCTCACATCCAGGAACTGGGAGCTGGCTCTTTGGTTCTCACTTGCTCACTGGAGACATTGCATACAGCTCAATAGTCCAAGTCAAAGATACTAAATAAAAATGTAGAATCCCTTTGAAATGTGAAAGGGACGGTGGTATTAGGTTTTTACGTTTAGGTTCTCAAGTTTCACATTTCAAAGAGATTCTGCATTTTTATTTAGTAACATAGACTTGGATTGTTGAGCTGTATGCAATGTCTCCAGTGATCAATTGCGAGCCAACTTTTAGTGCAAAATATCCTTGACTTCAGTGAAAAGTTATATTCAGAAGTTGCCCCAAACTTTCCTTATTAAAAATGAAGAGTGACTAGAGACTACCTGCCCTGTAAAAAGTCATCGACCACCTGTTTGAAAGCTAGTCACAAAAGGCAACTGGTTGGTTTTTTTTGGGGGGGGGGAGAGGTTAGTTTTTATTTTATTAAAGATTTTCTTGTTTTACAAAAGTGTTTGCAATGTCTCTCTCGTATTCCTCCCCCCCATGTAACATTTTTACAAATCAGTTTCATTTGTTGAGACTTTGGGAAGAAAAGGGGGAAAGAGGTGGAGAGGGGGAAAGATGGGTGGGGGTGGGGTCAGGCAACGGTGTTACTATTTTACTTACTGTATGTAGGGTTTGGTGTCAGCGTTGCTTGTGTAGGTTCTTTGCTGTTCACTCCAAAACGCCCACCCACCCCACTCACACACGAAAACAAAGTTCAACACAGCCAATCACAAATGAACAACCACACCCTAGGCCAACCCCAACCTCTCTCACCACCAAAGGAACACAAATGAACAAAAGGCAACTGTTCTGCTGATGAGGCACATATTATATTTGGTATCCTCTCTACATATATATGCTACTATAGAATTCTGAAAGAGATCACCCCCACCCCCATTCATGCTATTTTCTAAGTCAATATGGAGGTGCTACAGCTTGAGGCTTCTCTGAAACTGGATCTACTTGGTCCTTGGTGTAAGCAAGAGAAATTTTTTGACCTTCAGAGGCTGCCAGTGAGACTGCATTCCACAATCCTCCAACGTTCATTGTGGAGACTTGATGGATAGATTTCTCATACATCCAATTTTGTTATTACCAACTTCATGTTAAGCATGCTGATTTCATTTCCTATTAGAGGATAGCCCCTGCTAAACCAGCCTCTTCAAAGTTTAGTTTTGTATTTTGTGCATGGAGTAGTGTACAATATCAAGTGATTGCAGAAGATGTCAGAAAGATAAACACTGTACCTGCAAGAGATCTTCATTTAGGACTTCTGTTTTTTCAGCCCTAAAGAGAGAGAGAAAAGAAGGAAAATGTAATTCAAGACACAGAAACCTTTGTGGGGGGGAATGAGTTTTATCTTTGAGTTGGTTGTCTGTTTATTAAAGGTTTCATTAATGTTCTTATTTGACGGGATGTAGTTTTAAAAAAATGTATTCTACTTTGTCATAAATGGAATTGCATTTTTTATCTGTTATTGTGTAAGCTGCCTTGAGTGAATTTTAGACATAATGGTGTACTATAACCACTTAATCTTTGTTAGTGAAAACAGCATGCCTGACTACATGAGCCTTGAGTCTGATCTAGCAAGGCACTTCCTACATTCTGGAGTCATATTCCTCACCCACCAAATTAAAATTAAAATATCCCACCCTCCCAAATTCCTAAACCATTGTTCATAATTAATACATTCTGCCTTCACCACCAGGTCATTTGAATATCCCCTTTCAGCACTTTCTCCAGTACTACAGTATCCTTTTCAAGACAGGTGACCATAATGTTAAATATGGCTCATTATAGATCCATGAAACTTGCTTTAAAAGGGGGGGGGGGAACCAATGAGTTCCTAACACAGAAATGACCCTTTTCAATATAATAGTACACTGATCGAACGTTTGTACTCCTTTGCCTTATGTATAATGCATTCCTCAAATGTAAATAAAACTGCCATGTGGCAAACCGCAGCTAAGTGTGGCTTTTTGTTGTACTTGTACATAAATCAGCCTAGCATCCCTGACTCGGGCATATACCTCAAGCCGTTCCCTTAACAAAGCGCTAAAACCAACATCATCCTTGTGCTACCCAATCTAAATCATAACCTTTTCAACCCATTATCTGTCAGGATGGTTTTAGCTAATATCTAATTTATAGCTAGGTAAAGGTAAAGGTACCCCTGAACGTTCGGTCCTGTCGCGGATGACTCTGGGGTTGTGCACTCATCTCGCTTTGCAGGCCGAGGGAGCCGGCGTTTGTCCGCAGACAGCTTCCAGGTCATGTGGCCAGCATGACTAAGCCGCTTCTGGCGAACCAGAGCAGCGGACGGAAACGCCGTTTACCTTCCTGCGGGAGTGGTACCTATTTATCTACTTGCACTTTGACGTGCTTTCGAACTGCTAGGTTGGCAGGAGCTGGACCGAGCAATGGGAGCTCACCCCGTCGCGGGGATTCGAACCGCCAACCTTCCGATCGGCAAGCCCTAGGCTCTGTGGTTTAGACCACAGCGCCACCCGCGTCCCTTAAATTTATAGCTACTCCCACCTTATTTCTTTTTCCTTCCTTTGGTATCTACATAATAGTTGAACCTTCATCTCTTTTTAGTAACCACCCACTCTGCTTTCTTCCCTCTTCATCTTTTTTTGTCTCTAGACCACGTATACCCATCGTACTTTCCTCCCGAACAGATCTTTCTCCTTTAGCTTTACAGCAGTTTGATCTTCATAGCGAAACCATAAAATCTAAAGGCTTCAAAACTCATATTTCACTGAAGATCCTTTACCCATCTGAAAGCTTTCTAAACACCTTATGTCAGTTCTGTCTCTAACAGCTGTGATGTGTAGGCTCCCTTTCTTCAAATAGAAGTGCTATATATTGATGTTTGCCAAATTTGCATCTATTAGATGAACTTTCTACCCCCTTCCTCCTCCCACTGCCTCAACCAATTGGTTACATTAGCCACTATTACCCCAGGATAAGAGCCAATTATTAGTACTTCAAAAAAAGATGCATGATTCTGATACATCACATAGCAAAGGATTGCTCTATTTACTGTACTTTTCTGTGTATAAGACGAGGTTTTTTTAAAATTAAAATAGGACGTTTAAAATTTGGGGTTGTATTATACACGGATAGTACATAGGGGGGACGTGGGATTGGTTGCTTCCATGAGCAGGAGATTGTCAGCGGCTATCGGGCATGTTATTGGTGGCTGTGGCAATGGCTGTTTTTGATTGTGTGTCTCTGCGTCAATTGGGCGAGCAATGATTGGTGTCTGCCGGTGAGGGGACAGACAATCGGTGTGACGCGTGCGAGTGGCAGCGTAGGACAGTCAGGTGAGCGATTTTCAACAATCCCCCCTAAAAAAAGCTCAACAACTCCGGGCAATCTCCCCCCATTTTCTTAATTTGGAGTCCCCCCAAATAGGGGGTGTCTTATACACAGGGGCGTGTTATACACAGAAAAGTACGGTACTTGGCAGGGGTTGGGGGGCAGAGTGCAGAGATTTAATGAATCAGAAAATTTCTAGACCTCTGAATTTCACCAACAAGGCATGCTTCTGCAGAAATTCAGAGGGTGAAATGAGGAGACTGTAAACCAAATACATTGTACTCAAGGTAAAGCGAGGTGACGGAACGTGAAAATTCCATGAAGCATTTTATCTGCGATGGCTCATTCATATATGCAAGCCAAGATTTGAGGTTGCAGTCATCAAGCAACAAATGTGTGTGTGAATCAAGTCAGAGCCCAGGTAGCCTTTGTTAAGAGTTTTCCCAGCATCACCCTGAGTCACACAACAGAAATCCTTCTCCACCGGAAAACACACACACACACACACACACACACACACACACACACACGTTAGCATGTTACTCTAGATCAGTGATGGCCAAACTTGGCACTCCAGCTGTTTTGGGACTACAACTCCCATCACCCCTAGCTAACAGGACCAGTGGTCAGGGATGATAGGAATTGTAGTCCCAAGTCTGGTCATCACTGCTCTAGAGTCTAGGCTGTGCTTCAATCTCAGTTCCTTCTGCATAGATTCCTATTGGAAACTGTGGCTAGAAAGCTTGCCAGCAGAAACAGAGTCCGTCATGCATCCCTAACAAGAACACTTATATAAAAAGAGAAACTTGATCACGTTAAATGCTGAGCGCCCGCAGCCTTGCAGCTAATAAGGCAGCTGCATGAACCCAGAACTGTTCATGCTTTGCTTCCTTGTGACTTCGTGCTTAACAAGCCAACACAATTAGCATTCACAGTGATGCCCATGCAGATGGGGACCATGTTTGCGGAATGACAGCATCACCACATATTAATGTATCTCAAAAAGGTTGCATCAGCACTGGCTGTTCAGAGATAGGGTGGGCTGCCTAAGCAGGCAGAACAGAAGAAGGGGTTGCAGTTCACGTAACGCACATGCACACATCTCTCTGACTGGACTTCACTGATTACAGTCGCTGCCGCCAACCATATATGCATGTGTGTGAGCATGTGCATGCACACACAGACAATAACATTTCACGTATCAGATGTAGCAGAATGTAGTCTGTGAAATATTATGCCATAATAAATGGGTTAGTCTTTAAGGTGTCACAAGGATCTGTTGTTTTTGCTCCCCTACACTAATGTGATTGTCTCCCATCCCACAACTGAAACTAGTGAAAGAGTTACCAGTATGAAATGAAGGTGCTAATAAGGTCATGTGGAACATAGCTGACACTGTGCCAAGCAGTAAAATTTGTTTGTGAAATTGATCTGCAATGCAATACAGTTAGCAAGATAAATGACTCTCCCAGAAGGTAACAGTGTAAGCATGGCATCTTCCCTCCTCCAGATCTTGACACACCCAGGTCTTACATGCTGATACTGTATTGTGAGGCAGAATGTCTAGACAAGTAGCTTGCTGTATCAATAAAATCATAGAATTGGAAGGGTCCTCTAGTCCAACCCCCTGCAATGCAGGAATCTCAGCTAAAGAATCCATGACAGATGGCCATCCAACCTCTGCTTAAAAACTTCCAAGGAGGGAGAGTCCACCACCTCTTGTGGGAGTCTGTTCCACTGCTGAACAGCTCTTCCTGTCAGAAAGTTTTTCCAAATGTTTAGTCGGAATCTCCTTTCTTGCAACTTGAAGCCATTGGCCGTTGAGTCCTAACCTCCAGAGCAGGAGAAAACAAGCATGATTCCTCTTCCATGTGACAGTTCTTGAGATATTTGAAGACAGCTATCATAGCTTCTTCTCCTTTTTTCCAGGCTAAACATACCCAGCTCCCTCAACTTTTCCTGATAAAGTTTAGTTTCCAGACCCTTGATCATCTTGGTTGTCCTCCTCTGCACACGTTCCAGTTTGTCAACATCCTTCTTAAATGGTGGTGCCCAGAATTTGACACAGCATTCCAGGAGTGGCCTGACCAAGGCAGAATAGAGTGGTACTCTTACTTCCCTTGATCTGGACACCATACTTCTGTTGCTGCAGCCTAGAATAGCATTAGCTTTTTTTTGCTGCTGCATCACACTGTTGACTTATGTTAAACTTTGGTCCACTAAGACCACTAGATCCTTTTCACATGTACTGCTAGTAAGCCAAGTGCCCCCCATCTTGTAGTTGTGAACCTTGTTCTTCCTGCCTAAGTGTAGAACCTTACATTTGTCCCTATTGAAATTCATTTTGTTAGTTTGGGCCCAGCTCTCCAATCTGTTAAGACCATTTTAAATCCCAATTAGGTCTTTTGTGGCATTAGCTACCCCTCCCAGATTAGTGTCATCTGCAAATTGGAGAAGCATCCCCTCAATTCCTCCATCCATGTCGCTTATAAATTATGGTTTTGCCCTCACTATGCAGATATTTTTTTTTTATAATTTATTAACATGACTACAGAGTCACTGCGACTTCAGCATGTCACCATTACCTTGGCACTCAGTCCGCTGATAACTTATTAAGAAGAATGCACAACATTATGTTTATTCTGCCTATACACTGTCACTATCAGAATGCTTTTCCCTCTAAGATGACCTGTGCGGTCAGAGTGTCCTCTTGCAATGATATGCCTCAGCAGAGTTTTAGTTAGCCTGCTCTTAAAAGATGACTCAAGTACAGACAACAAATGTTCCATTTGCCATCTTACAGCAACCAGGCAAGCTGTTAACTGTGTGCTGGATCAGCTGAGGTTTCTGAATGATTTTCTAAAGCAGCCCCACACACCATGCATCGCAGTAACCTGAATAAAGGTGGTTGGTTCCATTGGCAAGGAGCCAACCTAAACTAGTGAAAAGCACTTCATGCCACAGATGCTACCAGGACAGCCAAAGTGAGACCTGGATTTAAAATCATCCTGCAAGCTGCAAGGGGCGTTCCAGCCCACTCAGAACTCTTTGAATATCTGCCCTTATGAGAGTTGGACCACCCGCAAACAGTGCCTCAGTCATATCTGAATTGCTTTTCAGCTTATTAGCTTTCAACCAGCTCAATACCAACTCAGGACATCGGTTTAAAACTTCTGCCAGCAGCACTCACAATTTAGAGAAAAAGGAGAATTATGCGAAGGGTACTTAAGAGTTGGGGGTCATCAGCACATTAATGACACTCTGTCCCAAATCCCCCTAAAACTCCCCCCAATGATTTCATATCAATGATGAGCCACATTACCACCACCATCATCATTATAATCATTATTTATACCTCGCCTCCCCCCACCACCTGACACCTCATGCAAAGCAGTTAGTTCCAAAAGCCTCTTGGACAACTAAGTCTTATGTTGGTGATGCACTGAGATTTCAGGAAAATGTGAACTGGGATAGAATAACTCCACCAGGTCATGGTAATGTGAACGAAGGCAGAGTCATCAGCCAGGATTTCCTGAACTTGTATGAAAACAAAAGCTCTTCAAGCCCTGCTGGCTTGTTGACAGAGCAACTAAGGTCACCCTCGATGGGAGAAGGATCAGAAGGAGGAATAGCTCACACTTCTTTAGATCCCTTTCCATTCCCTCATGGAAGGGGCTCTGTGCTAAGCAATGCATGCAGCAATTTAAAGCATGCAGAAGATGCACCTGTGGCCAGCCAAATTGCCACTAATACACAAGACTGCTGCGGAGGATGGTATTACAAAAGACCACTCTCCCTACTCTGTGGCTTTTATCTTTCTAATCACAGATCACACACAACACAGAAGCACCACTAAGTACCTCTTAAATGTGCCACAAGCTTTTCACTAAGCTTCTGAAGTACTTACACTTTCTGGGTTGCCTTTTTAGACAAATGAGCAGAAGCCAAAGCCTTGTAACTTCTAGCTCTGATGTAAGGAAACTTCTGTTATGCTCTGAAGATAGCATAGGTAAATCAGGGGTGCCTAACCTATGAGTCACATCTGCCCCCAATAGGTTTTTTGTGTCCCCCTTTGTGTTCCCCAATTTTCCAATTCTTAATTTTCAAGTATTATGTGAACTGTTCCTATCAACTTTCTGCCATGATACTATGATGCCACCACATCATGATCACAGTTTGGTGGTCCCCAAGACCCCTGCAATATCTGCATTAAAAAAATGGCCTAGCTGAACAACTAAAAGTCACAGCTTGGGCTAACCCTCTAACCTTCCAATAAAGTTGTACATGCAGGAGACTGCAAGAAGCAGGGGGCAGGTAGGGAAGAAGGGAGAGATGCAGCCTCAGGGAATGTAGCAATGGTGCAGAATAAGTCTCTGTAGGAAGAGCCATATAGTAATGCACAGAGGAACTTATTTCGTAGCACGTAAGTAGGGGGCAGATTTACAGGGCTATGAGGACCTAAGAAGACAAGAAGAGTCCTCCTGGATCAGGCCAAATGTCCATTTAGCCCAGCATCCCACTCTCACGGTGGACAACCACTGCCTTTGGGAAACCCACAAGCAGGATCTTCACTTATAATTCCCAGCAACTGGCATTCAGAGGCATGCAGCCTTGGATAGTGGTGGTAGAACATAGCCATTGTGGCTAGCAGCCATTGATCACCTCATCCTAAATAAGGCCAAAGATTCCCATCTCTCCATGAGCTGTTACTGCACTGGGCATTCATTACTGCTGCTTAGCACTCATAAGAATTACTAGAGCAAGTAGCAAGCTCTATACACCTCAGTTCAAAAACACAGTACTTCTCACAAATTAAAAATGCTGAAATGTTGCAAGGATGAGAACAGGAGCAGAAGGCATGTCGCTGAGCATGTGTTTAGCCTAAAAAAACACAAATGGCACAAGGATGCAGTGCAAGAATGCCAGCTGTATTTGAAATGAAGATCTACTTGGATGGAGGGAAGGAGAAGAAGAAATAGGCCCAATCATCCAAAGAGTGAATATGGGTTAAATATCAGGAAAAAGCAAGTGATAAGCAACAAGGAGCTTTGGAGTGTGATTCACTGAAGGATTTAAAGAAAGATCTTTATAGGCATGTGCTGTAGGTGCTTTAAGTATTTATGTGATTCTGCCCTGGAGAATAAATGTGCATGAGTAAGGCTGATGGGAATTAGATCAAACTATGCAGTGTTACTGCTGCTATTATGCCTAGAAACCTCTGAAATGGTTCAAAATAATCCATTCCCCGTCCACTCTCACGAACCATTCATATTACCAAGAAAGCTATTACAATCAACACTATGGTTATGTATCTCTGAGGCAGTTCTAAAGGATTATACTCGCTATCTCAGATGAAACAATTAACAAAAATGTGAGGAGAAGGGGAACTTTTAAGGCATTTCTTCCAGCAGGAACTGAGGACTGTGAGAGGATGCAAGTTTGTATGGAAGAAAGCTTCTCGCTTGATTGGATGGTCAGTCTTTTAGATGACAAACCCCACAGAGCAACTGCTTAACACAGGATAAAAGCTACCAAAAGGAGCAATTAAAGAAGCCTCCACAGCTCAGCTACAGCGCGCCAACCGATTCTCAGATCTTCCAAACACAGGTGACACTTGACAAGAAAATAAGAACCTCACTGATCAGACCAAAAAGTTTCATCGAGTCCAGCATCCTATTTTCCAAAGCAGCCAGCCAGATGCCCACAAGCTGGACATAAAAGGCAGTAGCTGCCTTCCTCCCACTGCTGCTCCCCCAGCAACTGAAATGCAGAGCATAACAACTGCCTCTGGACCTGGAGGGAGCACCTGGGAGACTCCTAGAGAGACTCTCCATAATGACATTGCAGTTCATTCATCAAGAGCCAAGTTAAAGGTTCCCCATTCAGCTGCTCCCAAATGTCACACTTTAAAATTTAGCAAGAAGGCGGCAAAACTAGAACCCAACAAACAACGACCACCACCACCACCACCAACCATACAACAAAGTAATTGTGCCCTTTTGCATATAGCTCTCCCTGGTTTTTCAAGAGGACCCACCGTTCATTGTGACATAGCTCATAAACCTGCATACCATGAGTTGAGCAGAATGTATAATGCTGGGCTGGGCTGGGCTGCCCCTGAATCAGAAGGAAGCTGCTAAATAGACAGGTTCCATGAGAACTTCTCTTATATTTCTTTAATTTATTGGGCCTGCAACCTTTTCCAGCTGGTTTCTCAGGAAATATAGCCTTTCAGGTCTGGACAAAAAGGCGGTGATATTCTTTATTTATTTACAGTTTGTGCCTTGTAGAGCACAATGAGGTTTATGAGCCAGCAAGCCAAATAAAAGGAGCAGAAGACTGGAGAGCGATCTGCAGCAGCTGCTGCACAGCAATTCCCCCTTTCATAAAAGGCAGTGGAGGAATAAAACCAGCCAGTATGAACCAACATCATTCCTTGCATGAGCGAATATCCTCCTCTCACTCTCTCGGTTACTCCTTTCCGCATACAACAATGTGCCCAAAGTAATGGCGATTCCCACACCAAGTTGCCGGCACTGTTACATCATTTGTGGATGCCCTCTTCCTCTACATTCATTTGTTGGGTTGATCTTTTACCGTAGCTGCACTTACGCCTTGGAACTCCCTGCTTATTGACATTAAGGCAGATATCTGGATACCTCATGTGCTCCACTTAAGAGTTCTCTGCAGTAAGGAAATACAGATGTAGCAGTCACTCGAAACAGGTATGCGGAACCTGTGGCCCTCTAGGTTTTGGATTCTGGTTCTCCACCTCTGGGTTTAAAAGCTAGAGCCCTTTCCTTTTCATAATAGGGCACTCTGTAATATTATGAGCAGTATGCAAGAAATTGTGGGGTGGGGGGGATTATGTTTTAAGCAGAATAACAAACCTTGGCTTTGCCTTGCTATCTTCAAACAAGTTCTGTCTTAATCAGAAAGCAAACACTCTAGCAATGAAGATCATCTCCCATCATTACTGAGCTGTGGTTCCCAAATTGCACATGTCAACCTGAGCAAATAAAATTGTAACTTGTTTTTTTCCCTTTTCTTTAAAGGAAGGAAGGTAGCAAGGCACCGTAGCCAAGCATTGGCAGCAATAAGAATGGAGGATGGAACAATGGTCAAATTCTGAAGCAGCTAAGGACGGCCAGCCAACGTGCTTCTGTGCAAGTTGGCTTATTTTTAACAGAATGTTCTAAGTGCCAGCTGGAAAGAAAGCGAGAAATAGGCTTAGCAAGAAGCTCCCAGACGGCTTAAGAAAATGAGCTGTTCTACACGCTCCACAAACAGGGGCAGAGAGAGAAAACAATAAAAAATGGAGGAAGAAGAGTAGCATACAGCCTCCTCCACAATGACGCTTCCACTCACTGGAAAGGTTAAAACAAACACACACACACTCTTCCCACTGTTTTGTGCCTTCCCTGTGGGATTACTGAATATATCTTTGCCCCATAAATATTGAAGAGCTTATCTGTTTCCTCCTGGGATTGGCTGCTTCTAACAACCTCTTATGGTACCAGACATAAGCAGAACAGTTGCTTGGAAGAAAATGTTATTGAGCATAACACAACTGACGTGAAAGCAAGTTCAGCATGGCTCTGGTACACTTGCCACAATTCAGAAGCCGTAGATGAGTTAGCGTTGTGGAAATTGGGATGTCTTTCTTTCTACCTATGTAGATTATTATTATTTTTGAGTCCCCACTGGCACATCTTTGATGTCATTTTCACTCTTCACAGTTAGTCCTTGAGGAATTTACAGCACAGCACTACATCAGACAGCTATTTCAGACCAAAACAATTTTCACCAGAGGCTGTTGAATGCTGCTCTATAGTTTAGTACAGTGAAAGCATACTCCATGTCCCTCATTCTAGCACCCTATTCATTCTCCCAACCAGTGAAGTGGACTTTCTCCCAAGTCTTGAGAGCGACTTACGCCTTTTGTGCCATCTTCACAATGAGGTATTTGAGGACAGCCTTTATTATGGTCTCAAGCAATGATCCTGCCAAGATCACACTTGGACCAATCCCTGAGTGACTTTTTAGACGTGAAAAGGCTAATCAGGTTGCTTAATCCATGGTAGTGGCTATCATCCCAACACATTTTTCTATCCAAGAAGGCAGAGATAAATGGTAACAGCAAATGAGGAATACCAGGAATGCACTATTTCCTTATTTTTAAGGCCAAGGTTTTCCAATATCACCAAGGGCTTCTGCTCATACATTGGGGCTTTTGTCCTTCTTTTTCCTCGCCCATGCTCCCACAATTGGCTTGGTTGGGCATCAGGAGAACTTTCAGAACAGCACAAAGGAAAGGGGGTTGTTCTGTCTGCCAAGCTGAAAGGTTTATGTAGATGGAATGCTTGAAATATCACAAAATTGAATTCTGCTCAATGTTCCATGTAAAGCAAGAACTTCAGAAAAATCCCTGCCATGCAAATAAAGAGCTTAAAAAAAGGAACACAAATCAGAAAAACAAGTAACAAAAATAGCATAGAACTTTACCTACAAAGCCTGACTTAGCCAGAAATGACAAAATGATATGCTAAAGTATGATAAAGGTAGTGCTGCATTACAAGGTTCCTTAAATAAAGAATTACCACTCTGCTGCAGGTAGGTGTTCTTCTCCAAGAACAAAATAAGCATCTCTCCCACACACGGCATCTGGCAAGCTGGATTCCTCCCCAAAATTGCTGCTCTCCCATGAACAAGCCACACCCATCTTTACAAACTCCTAGTTTGAGGTACAGCTGGTGATCTCACGAAAACTGGTGGGTTTGAAACAATCCCAAAACTGTTGGAAATTGGACAAATGATCTGAACCCAACTGGAGGCTGACAAAAAGTGACAGATTTCCCCTGCCCATAGTGTACCAGAAGGCATTCCGTTTAAAAGAATCTCAGTCAAATATCAAGTTGTCAATGGTCCCACATATACCAGGAATGTGCATTTCAGTCTGCAAGGTGAATGTTTGACTTCAGCAGGTTTTGCATGATCAAAGCACAACCATTTTATTTAATGAAGGCTAATGTTTGACTTTAGCAGGTTTTGCATGATCAAAGCACAACCATTTTATTTAATGAAGAACAGCACAACACAAAGCACACACTGTTGCACAGAGTCGACAGGTTACTGAATTATCCATTCTCAAACTTTTCCAGCATCCAAATACTAGAGACTGATAAACACCCATTGGAAAGCTATTGAATGACGAGAGGAATCCACACCCAACCAGTTAAGTTTCTGTAAATTCTGCATTTGTGTATACATCAGCTGAATGAAAACATGGAAGTACAGTTGGATGCTGCAGTGTGGTGGGTAGAAGTGGGGAGAAGAGAAAATGGGGGTTAAATAAAAAGTTGGCTGCATAATGTCATGACCATGGAGTCCAACAGTGACCAGAAAACAAAGTCTGTAGCTATAGTGTCATTGAGAAAGGAGTCAGGCAGGCTTCTGGCTCTGAGCTTGATGCTGGTGAGCAGGGTACCACTGAACCAGTTTGGCAGACAGGAGTCCAACGAACCTGATGCCACAGCACAATGGCCCATAGAACCAAAGCTCCATGAGTGCCTTCCTGCAGGCTTAAGGAACTGAACGCATCTCACGTTATCTTACTAGCTCAATGGTATGGGTAGTGTATGTTGGAGAAGTAACCATCTTCAGGCCTGAGGGTTAATACTCTTAAAAGACTCTAGTTCTCCAAAGGGAGGAAGAACATAGGAGAGTGTCAGATTGGGAAAATTGTCTCAAAAACTCTCGGTTCACTTTCAATCTTTATCAGTGCAAGTTGCTCACTCGGAGCTCTCCATGGTGCTGAGACAACTGACCTGACTTTCTCCATGGGCTTCTCCGAAGGACCAGAACAGAACAGATAACTCACCCAAAGGAATCACCACTTGTAGATACTAGGAATCAGCCTCAGCTTGGGAGCAGCCACAGGGCATCCAGATTCCATGGCACACATCAATTAAAAAGGATTGGCTAAAACCTTCAGAGATGCTTGTGCATCCGTAATACACTGTTGGCAAATAGTAAAGGGTTTGCTGTATCAACTTCCTGGTGCTCCTCTAATGGATCCAGTTACTTAGCATTAAGAAGGAAATGAGGATAAGAAAACATTGATGCTGCATCTTTATGGCTTTGATGAGTGTGTGCCAGCAATCTGCTCTCCTCACCCTAAGCCAGACTGTGTGGGCAAAAACATCTGCTGAAGAACACAACATGACAGACATGGAGAGCACAGGGATTTCTAGTAGCAGAAAATAATGGTGCTCCCAGGAGGAAGGGGTGGGGAGGAGCTGAGAATGAAGGGAACTAGCCTGTCCTCCACCCCAACACTAACAAGCTCAAGCAAAGCCAGGTTTCATGGAATGCCATGGCTGGTCTCAGGAATGGACATTATGGAAAGGGACAAAGGGAATAATAGTTCCGGCAAGGTAAAAGGAAATGAAATATCTCAACACTCATCTCAAAAAATAAGCGGAAGGTCTGCAATCTCTCAAATAATTGCTGCACATTACATACCTCTTGGTTTTGCAATCACAGTCAGAATTGCGCACAAGCATAATTTCCGTAAGTCAGTCACTTCAGGTGCAGGGATGAGAGAGAGGGATAGAGAGAAAGAGAGGTGGGGAGAGCTGCCAAATCCATCACAAAAAGAAGCCAGGAATATCAAAAGCTCATTGAGCGCTCTTTTCTTCACTCCCCCGGTCCCCCCCCCTCACATGGTCGGTTGGGCAGAGATTTGTCAATGGTCCCATCAAGGACCCCACTAAGTCTGGATAACTACATGCTTACAATGTGCTCCTATAACGCCTGTACTGCATACCCAGATCCCCAGGTTCTAAAGAAGTTGTAAGCAATGGCATCAAATCAGTCTCTCTCTCTTCCATTTCCTCTAAAGCAGAGTGGCCAGGATGAGCACACAGCAACCAAGAAGGCATGAAGGGAATGTGACTACACTCCAGCAGTCTGCAGGGACAGCTTGAGTGCAGTGGGAAAGGACAGCTAGAGGGACAATGATGGCACACTGCATATGGAATTGATAAGAATCAAAAACACTCACACACTTCCAAATTATGCTCCGTAGAAGAAGAAAATGGGACAGGAAAGGCCTAAAAATCCACACATTGCCACAGACGGAGAAGCAGCAGAGGCTCCCCTATAGGTTGTACAGCGATCATTTCCCCAAGGGTGTCATTCTGAGTTGGCCTTCTACCTGTAGGTGAGCTAGCACAGGTGGGAGGCAAGTTTACCATGCTGATATCTCATGCTGCACAAGGGAAGGAGTATAAAAACAGACATATGCTGCCATCTACCTGCACTGTGGTTGCTCAGGCGAAGGAAAATGAGCAAAGTAGAGGGTTCAAATATCAGACAGGATGTTAGCAAGAGTAAACAATGCAAAAAAATCATTCAGTTTATACAGAGCAAACAGAAGCAATGCAGCGGCTGCAGGTAGATAATCTACAAAGTTGTTGCAAGACAGTGTGCCTCACTCCTTTCAGAAGGCAGAGAAAAACCAAAATTACCAGGGGTGGGATCAACTCCCCAATGAGGAAAGGGCATAACCTTTGGCAGCAGTGGCAGGGGGGGATAATTTACATAAAGGTTGAGTAAAAGGAGAAATTATAGAAGTATAGATACTGTACTAGAACTCGGGTCATCCAATGAAGATTAAGGCCTGATAAATGAGAGAATTTCTTCACACAGGACAAAGTTAAGTTACAGAATTCACTCCCATGAAAGGTAGAGATGGCTGCCAGCCTGGATGACTTTAAAAGAGGATTAGACAAATTTGTGGAGGATGAGGCTATCTAAAGCTATTGGCCACAATGGCTATCTACTCCCTCCACAGCTGGAGGCAGTATGCTTCTGAATGCCAGTGGCTGGTGGGAAGAGTTGTAGTTTTCATTCTTGTAAGCTTTGCCCTGAAAAGCAGCATATAAATTACACACACACACTTAATTAATTGCTAGCAGCCATTTTATCCTTTTGCCACTCTTCAAACAGAATGCCCTACTAAAGGAGATGGAGAGTCTTTCTGGGCAAAGCCTATCACAGGCCCTTTGAGAATATGACACGTGCACTAAGCCCTTGAGGTAAGTCACTTGGCCAGGAATCACCCACCAGGCAACTTCCATATTCATGCTTCCCTTTGCCTACTTGATACTTAAAGGGCTGAAGCCATTGCTGCCTTTTCAACCCCTGAATGGTCATCAGCCTCCAGTTTGGGTGGGAGATAGGAGACAGGTGTTGGCAATAACTAGAACAACACAGAGGCATGGACAGATGCCATCTGGCTGGCAGGTCTGAGTGTTGATATATTACTTCCCTTCCTCACAGCCATGATAGATGAATTGGAAGTGACACATGTGCTTTTGTAGAGGATGGAGCTTTGTACAACATGGGAGAGAAGAGCCAATAGCACAATGATTATTTCTCTCAGATGGTTCCCTGACAACAGATTTTAAACCAGAGAACTAAGATACAGAGACCTACAAATTGATACCACCGTACTATACCAAAGGAATCTCTCTACTGCCACCTACCGACAGACTGACTGACCCAAGGCCTTCCATTATCAGATGTGCCTAGGCCTCACCTTCCTAAGGAGATCCAGCTCCTCTCCTTGCTTTTGCCAAGGGGAAAAAAGTGCCACAAGAGGCCACTGCAGTACAACCTTGCTATGCGCATGCAGTTGGGGGGGAGAGTGTAATTCCATAGTGCTTCCTTCTGGGACATGCTTTCTACAAACAAGTCCAGATCACAAGAGGCAAGGATATTGGCTGTATGGGCATTTATCATTCTGCACAGAAGGGGCTTCCTGAATTAACTTGCATGCTGTATTTACAGACAACATTTATCTGCTTCTATAACAAATCAGGAAGAGTGGAAGGAACAGTTCCTTGCTTATTTCCTTTGTGCAGTTTTCAAAGGAAATCAAACTGGAAACACATTTGTTTTCCCCCAGAGGAATTGACTGTTCCAGTTTCTCTATTGGTGCATCATGCTGTTGCTAGGCTGCGGTCTATGTTGTTAGGTTTTTTGTTTTTTTAAAAAACATACTCTCCCCCTCTCCATGTGTCTGTGCGAATTTCATTAGTTCATTAAACACAGCTCTAGAATTATCTTCTGATGTTCCCTAACTGTGAGTCACCTAATGAGCAGATGTGGTCCAATATACCAGTTCAGATTCTACCCTTGCAGGCTCCAAGCCATCACTGCAGAACAGAGGAAGACTACATACACATGCATTTATATGCAATTTATAATTCATATGACATTTATATGTGAATCTACCCAGAATGATGCAAAACACTGTATTGCAGTAGTTCTGGGGTCAACTTTCCTGATAATCTCATCCTGATACGGATGTTTTGATTCTTCAAACAGTCAAAGACCTCCTTTCCACCTGAAACAAGGCAAAACCCCAATCTTCTCCTTCTCAATCTTATCAGAAACACATATGCACACCTGGATACTTTCCCCTTGGTTCCATCCTGTTGGTAAACAAGGAGTAGATGGTTTCCCTTTACACCTCCCAATAACTTTTTCCACGGGCTCAAAACGTGCTAAGTCTGGCCATCCTGCATACCTGTGGAACCAGGAGTGGCTAATCGGCAGCCCTCTAGATGTTTCTGGGCTACAACTCCCATCACCCCTGCTTATAAGTCATGTTTACTGGGGCCAATGGGAGTTGGAGTGCAGCAACCTCTGTAGGGCAGCAAGTGAGACAGTCTTGTGGTCTAACCTCTTGAGGCTAGACAAACCCTAAAATCAGTTCCAGTGTAGCACAATTCTTCATGCCAGTGGCATAGGTTCTGTTCTGGCAGGGAACAAGCAAACTTTCAATGGCTAGCAAAGGGCTAGCAAATTTTATGTGGTGCTCTGGGCCAGGAGGAAGCAAGTGACCAGTCAGTTGGAGCCTAACAGTGAGGGTTGGGGATTGTGGCCCTCCAAATGTTATTGGACTATAACTCACACCAACGCAAACCAGCTTGGCCAGTGGTCAGAAACGAAGGGAGTCTATGTCCAGAAACATCTGGAAGACCATAGGTTCCCTGACCTTGAGTTAGCAGACTATATTGCTTATATTTATTCATTGCACCCTATACTTTCTGTCTTGCTTTATGCTAACTCTTTAATGAAATACCTAAATTAGAAACACAAAGTCAAGTATGAGGCCTTGACTTGGAAGATCTCACCCATGCTCACTCTTCTGCCTAAAGCTACTGAACTGCCATATATTTGAAATTCATATTTCTCCATGTTCAGACTGAGGTATCAGAATGCAGGTGGTGGTGGTTCTCCCCCATGTGTGAACTACACAAAGGGCTCCTCTCAGTGGTCCTACCTTGTGGGGGGGGGGCTGTGGAAGCTAGGGAGCTTCTTTGTAGCACCTCCCTTTCCAAGATGTGTGAACAAGGCATAACCTGAACCAGCGTATTTCAAAACAGATTTCCAGAGCGAGTGCTCAGCTCTGAAAGAGGTGAGATAAGCATACACTTGAGCATGTGCAAAATGCTTTCCCACCACACCTCTGGGTATGGGCTTCCTGGTCAGAGCAATTTGTAGACAGGTGTGCCCCCCACTTCTGATCCATGTTAGAAATCAGGCATGGAGTTTGCCTCTTCCATTGTAAAAAGTCATCTCCAAGACTGGTCAAAAGGTTCAACACAAATCTCCCAACATGTAACATACTTAGAAAGTGGGATTATCAGCCTCTTTCTTATCTTAGACCAGAAGCAAACAAATTGGATTCCTGAGGACATTTATAAACTCCTATGAAAACCTAAATGGTCAAAAGACTTACCCCTAGACATCCTGCTCAATCCCAAGGCCTCAATCATTTGCTACATCTAGACCTTTGCATTGGACCCTTCTAAATTAGTATCTACTAGGGTGGGTTTCTTCTTGGGCATAGATGTGGTTGTTAAGCATTTGACTTTGACAAAAAGAAGCAGCTTTGGACATTAAATCCAGCTTGGATTTTAGAAACCAATTCTCTTTAACGAGTCTCCATTGAAAAATGCTGCCATAGCCATTGGGACTACGATGCAATCCCAACCACTTTCAGCAGAAATCATCCTTAATTTCAAGATTGTCATTTGATTTGCAAGGCGATGGTTACTGATTTAAAGCAAATATATACAAAAACCACAACCATATACATAGCAAGCTGAATTGCCCAGTTTTCCAAGTTCACTGGTAAGCAGAACATGTTAGATAATGCTACAATTTATATGGGTTTTATTCATGTTAACTATACCTTTAAATGTATAATAATTTCAAAAAGGAACCAAAGTCCTGTGATTAGAACAAATTATGCAGTTTAAATTTATCAGCATATATTTGCTGTGAGTTGCCATCTGTGTTTGGATGAAAATCCCTCTGTTTTTGACTACAGCTCAGGTTTGCAGCAGAACCCAACACTGCAGTGCCAAGGGTCTACAAATGCCCTTCACATCATTTTATCTGGAAAGTGCAGCATCAGGGACAATTACCCTTCTCCTGCTGAACATGGAGCCCAGGCTCCCTGAATGTGTGTTATGCCCTGGAGACACCTGAAAGATCAGTGAGGTTTCTTCTTCTTCTCTTTTCCTGCTGCTGATTGTTTCTGAGACTTGGCACAACAAAGCAGAGACCTCTCCTCAGTTCAGAGCTAGGAAAAAGGGCAAACACTCACTCTGTCACCAAGGCCTTGAGTACAGGCTGATGTCAAACAAAACCCAGGTAAGAAATACTAGAAATATATGAATAAATAAAGGCCATTCCCTTTTTTGCCGGAGTGAGCAGGGGTAGGTTGTGGCAACAATTTTTTTGGGGGGTACTGAGGTCTGTCAAAATTTGTGACTCCCTAGACACTGCAGCTTCTGCTCAGAAAGACCTGTTGAAACAACCAGACTATTTACCACAAGCATGGAGCCAGTGTAGATAAGGGATTGTGGAGGGTGGCAGGGGGAAACACCTCCCAAGAGCCATGTGTCTCAGGTCCTAAGAATCGTGGTCATTTGGTTCCATTAGTTGCTTCCATCAGAAACATAAAAAGAGTCACGGCCACATCATACATGTAAAGTACACGGCTTCCCGCAAAGAATCCTGGGAACTGTAGTTCACCCCACAGAGCTATAATACCCAGCACCCTTAACTACAGTTCCCATGATTCTTTGGGGAAGCCTTGTGCTTAAGAGGTATATGAGTTCTGCAAGATGGTGGCTTACCATCTTGCAACTCTTTGCTTGCCCTTGCAAAACACAGCTCCCTATGTCAGCTCTGCCGCCGCCAAATCACTCGTGTCACAGCTCCAGCTGTCAATGAACTGAAGTGTTTTCCTTCTCCAGCAGTGCTGACAATGCTGGTGACAGATGGGGAGCAGCTTCTGCATTGAGACAGGCTGGGTAAGTTTCCTCAGTGTGAAAGTTTCGGCTGAACTAGACACCCAGAAATAAGCTCCTTTAATGCTTCTTGGCTTCTCTTTTGTTCAGAGGAAAGAGGGGAAGCAGTGATGAATTACCCCAGAGCCAAAAAATTCTGCATTTGCCTATTTTCTGTTCCTAATCCTGAGTGGGCTTCACTTTAAGAGGGAAGCAATGAAATGCAGCGTCAGCCAAGTTAGAACTGGGTGCTGCTAAATGGCACACAAGTAGGCACATGCAAAAGTTTGGCGCAAAATTTCTGAGCACCGATGATGAACCGAAAAGAAAGACGAACTGGAACAAAATACAAAGAACAGAAGCTAGAACAATCTTAAAAGTGAAGAACTCATGTTACAAGAAAAGCTTGATCAAACACACCTCTTTCAGCTAAAGGGAAGAATGGGTACAATAATGGCTATTAATATTTTCCCTTATGTTTGTACCTTACTTTTCATAGAACCTGAGGAGGCGTACTTGTAGTAATCTGTGTCACAAAGAGAGGCAGTTAATGCATTTCCCTGACATCTACAGTAGCCGAGAAATGGAATGAGGGAGCAGGCTATAAAGAGAAGTGTAGGCTTGAGTCTCAATGGCTACTATCTGCCAAAAAGTAGAATGCACTTTGCAAGACCATTGAAGGCTGGGCCAAATATGAGCTCCCAAGCCAACTGGAGTGTTCAGGGGGCAGGTATAGTCTTTCTGTGATTAAGTGTCATTGAGCAGACTCCTTAGCTGATTGCATATAAGTGAATGGCTGCCATCCTCTCCCACAGGAAAAAGGAAAAGGCTGCACATAAGATACAACTGCACAGGGAGAAAAGCTTTCCCTCTGCTGCCCCTGACACTTGGTGGTCCAGCTTCCACTGATTGACACCACCACAGATGGAAGCAAATGAATCCAGGGGGCCTTGCAATTTGCAGGCGCTCTTTTTGCTTCCATTTACCTTGGTGACAATGATGGACATTTTGCCAACTCATTCATATATTAAGGATCAAGATCAAAAGACAATTCCCCTGTTATCAGGGAGGTGAAGGTAAGGAATATAAAATTTGAGATACACATGAAATAGCATCTAAACAGAACTGGATGAATAAAAGGCTTTAAACTGTCTTGCTTGGGATCAGGAAGGGTTTCTCATCCTTAAATTCTGAAACTGGTTTAATGGCCCCTTTTCCCTTTGGAACATCAGGCTCTGCCATAAATAAAGACATGTAAGTATGTGAGAAGGTCAAACGTTGAAATGGCAGCATGGATGGACTTTACTTATGCTTATTCCACTTGGAATCATTCTTGGAATTCTGAACTGCTGTTTGACTGGACATTGGTAAAAATTTGCAATGTCTTGATTGCCAAGGGCAGATCAAAGTAGACAGAGATTAGACAGAGGGGGAGGCTTGTAAGGTAACATGGGCTATTAAAAAACATTTGAGAGTTAGGTGTGCCATGCAGGCACACAAATATACCCCAACATGTTTTTTTTATTTTCCCCTAATCTGCATAATTAAACCACCCCACCCCATTTCATATATATTCAGTCCCACTGTTTTCAAACAAGGCAGAGGCAATGCATGTGCCCCCTCGCTTGAAGAGCCCAGATGTTGTTTCTCTAGAGTAGCCTTCCTCAACCTGGTGCCTTCCAGATGTTTTAGACCAAAACTCCTACCAGTTGTAGTCCAAAGCATCTGGAGGGCACCAGGTTGGGGAAGGCTGCTCTAGAGCAAATATGGCAGAATCACAGCATTGCTAAGAATGGGTATGAACACAGGAAAGAAAATCACATATCCACTAGATCACTTGAAATTCAGCAACCAGATTTCCAGGGACTATGGATCAAGCTATAAATGGCTGTTTCCCTGGATACGTGATACATTAGAACAAATTCACATAGTTTTTTAAAAGCACGTTAAAGGGGAGGGGAGCATTATTAAAAGTCATATAACAAGACACAGTTCTAAGCCTCTTCAGATTCTCTCTCTCTGCTCTTCCCCAAGGAGGTAGCAAGAAAAAGGCATGTGCCTAGGAAGTGGTGATATTCACATTGTAGAGTTAGATCTATCCAGGCATCCCCAGCCTGTGGGCCTCCAGATGTTTTGGCCTACAACTCCCATGATCCCTAGCTAACAGGACCAGTGGTCAGGGATGATGGGAATTGTAGTCCAAAACATCTGGAGGGCCAAAGGTTGGTTGAGGATGCCTGATCTATCCCATACAAACTAACTAACTTCCAGAAACAGGCTGCATATTCTTCCTGGGGGAAAGATGCATCTTTCTCATATATTGTGCATATTCATGTTATCTAGAAGTGGGAAATGATCCCTAAGTTTATTTGGCACGGGGAATTTTTTAAAAAACGAATCAGTGCTGGAAGCATTTGCATGCTTGCCAAGCAAACTTTCCATCTAAATTCTGAAGCACTAACTTTTCCTCCCTACCCCACATTGCCCCCACAGCCAGTAAATATTAAATACTGAATTCTATTTAAGTGCAGGGTATTTTTTGTTCTATTTCAGCTGTGTCCATTGAGAATTCCCTTTCCAGCTATAAAAAGTTGCTCTTACTTTCCATTCCCTATGGGCCAATTCACAATTTCAGTATCTAAGAGCAGGTTTTCAGTCAGTCCATGTGGATTTCCAACCACGCCAGACCCAACAAGACATTGGTATGCTGCAGCCACAAGCTGGACTCAAAAAGCGACATTTGTGGTGGCATATGTCAAACAGGGATCTGAGCTGAATCTGGCACATATTGGCAATACACTTGTGGCAAAATGACATGGCCGGAAGCCTGTCGTAGCCTGTGTGGAAACTGCTGCCGGCAAAGAACTGAGAGGGCTACACAAACCAGATGTCAATATATGGGTCAGGTTGGTACACCGACTCACGCTATCCTGAGAGATGGAATCAACCTTGCCCTGTACATTCATAAAAGGTATGGGTCCAATTAGAGAGGCAATAGATTCCTCACAACCTGCCAATTATCTCCAGTGTGTTGATGAGGTAATGGAACATTCAGTGTCAGAGGAATAGGGAAGTCATTAGACATGGGCTGCTGCACTTCAAAGCCACATATAGGTACAAGATTCCTTTTGGGGTGAGAGGGCTTTGAAGACCTTGTTGCCACACCTCCCCCCAAGTCACAACAGGGAGCCCTGTGTCAAATCCAAAAGAAGATGAGCAGGAAATAGGCAGGCAATCTCTCAATCAACCATTCACTGGTTAATAGAACAGCTAAGGAAGCAGACAATTTTGTCACACATTCAAAGGCCATTCACTGATCCTGGCAACAGATTCAAGTGCAGAGCCTTTGGAGTATCTGAGTCCAGGAATGGAAGTTCCCTAGGAGAGAGTGGTGAATGAGAATTGGGTGGTTTCTTTTTCTCTGTGCTTCAAACCACCTCAAAGCTAGTGCCAAACTGCAAAATGTTTGGATTAAGGAAAAGTTTGGACTGGTTCTTCCACTACAGGATGTCACCACAGGTACCCAATTCCTTCCCCTCTTTCACTGAGATCATGACACGCATTTTGGGAAACTTTCGCTATTACAGATTAGTGTTAGAAACTCAGATATAGCTTAGTGAGTCGCTAAGCTAGGTACCAAATGCCTCCTTAAACCAGAGTTACAGTTGCCAAAACGGAAACCCAGCCAGATGGGCAGGGTATAAATAATAAATTATTATTATTATTATTATTATTATTATTATTATTATTATTATTATACCTAGTTGCCATTTGGAGGCCAGGCAGCTCAAAAGTCATATTTTTCAATGGCTTCAAGTTGGTTGTTGAAATTCATTCTGGCTGTGCAGATAAAATATTATGAAAAGAAATCTACAGGGTATGTTGCTACTGTGTGAAAACAGTCAAGATCCAAGGTTCCTCAGGCATGCACCTCCAGATGGTGGAGACATCGGGCACCATCCTGGCACCTGGGCAGCTTCACTTGATTGCAAGCGGCTGATAGCCAGGTGCAAAATGTGCCTGACGCCTGGAGAATTTCAAACGCTGTTATAGGTGCAATCCTAGCATGGCATAAAATGGGATCTCTTTGGTGATGCCCCACACCCTCGGGTTTGAGACAGATAGTAGGATTTTACATTTCATTGGGTGCCACAGTTTTGAAATTTGTACCAGAAACCACATATGTATGAGTAGCTGAAGCAACTTCTCAGAAAAGCCATCTGCGCACTGCAAGCCATATGGGAATGGAACTCATTCTGTTGTCCACCACTATAAATCTGCTTCCAAGATGGCATTGGACAGAATAGGCAGAAGGCTGACAACACCCACTAGCAACAGGCCTGCATACTGACAGCATTCTGAAAGTACAGGCTGGAGGAGAATTGTGTGGCATTATTAAGAAACAAAAGTTTGCTCCTGCCCTCTGGAAAGGTGGTGGGTGGTTTCTCACTCTGACAGTGGGTGGGTGGAGGGAGTTTGCTACATCCATCCTAAGAACCCTGACATTCTACAAATCCAAAGCCGTGTCACTTCCAACCACGGTCTGCCATGATGATGATGGGAGTGGGGGCCAGGAAACCAAGCCAGGCGGTGCTCCTAAGATATATCATTCTCGATATGCTCTTGTGCCTGGAGGGAAGAATGCATCTGAGAGCAGGAGAGGATGTCATAGCACTTCCAAAGTGATGCTAAGCCGGTCCGACAAGTTGTCACTACAGCTGCATCATGATGGGGAAAAATAAAATTGCTCTCTGCACATGAGTGGGGAATAGCTATGGGCTACAGCTCTTGAAAGGACATTTTTCAAAGAAGACTAAACGCATCCTCAAGACACTGCAGACATTACTATAACATCACTGTTGGACTGAGAACTCTTTGCACACCATATTGGTTATGAAGGGCTGTTTAGCTGGAGTAGAAAAGAAAAGGCTGGGGAAGCACACATGGCACTTTCTTTTGTGCTCATACTGGCACACCTCTCCCAGACAGTGGGGAAGGAGATTGCTTTGGAGGCTGCTCTAGTTTGCAAATGCCAGGGATGGGGAACCTGGACTATTTGACTCCCACTCCCATCAGCTTCAACCAACATGGTAATAACTAATGATGATGGGAGACAGTCCAGAGACATCAGATGAGCCACGGGTTCCTCACCCCAGTACAGGCTTAGTTACATGGCACTCAATCACCTGTTAACGAAAAACTGGCTCCTACCTTCCCTGTCCCATCATCTTCCTTAAATGCCTACTCCAGACATTCTTCCCCTGTTCCTTCAAAGTGGAGAGACAGCAGCAATTTGGTGAAATGTGTGCAAGTGCGAGAAAGAGGGGAGGGTGCGTGAGTCACAAGCTGGTACTAGGCAGCTTATTCTTGGAAAACTGAAGTCATAAAATGCCCAGTGTGTTCCAATTAAAACCATCCACAGGAGCAATAGCTTCCTTGTGCCTCCCTCCTACAATTTCAAAGAAAATCCTCAGAAAGTTACAGCTCAATAACTCTGAGAACAGCTGTATTTGAAATTTGTTGAGCTTTTAAGAATTATTATTAGAGGAGTGCATCAACCACAAGATTTGGTTCAGAGCCCCATCTGGCATTTTAGAAAATGGCCTACCTTTGCTCTTGTACACTGCCTAACTTGTCTCAGTGTCTCTTCAAGTATGCATTGTTCCTCTTCCCAATTTACTACTGATTTTTTTAAATAGTGGTAATACCCCTACTTTTGACAAAGTAGCCAAAATTTGCAGGCAAACTTGCCCCTGAAGAGTGGATAAAGGTAAAGGTAAAGGGACCCCTGACCATTAGGTCCAGTCGTGACCGACTCTGGGGTTGTGGCGCTCATCTTGCTTTATTGGCCGAGGGAGCCGGTGTACAGCTTCCGTGTCATGTGGCCAGCATGACTAAGCCGCTTCTGGCGAACCAGAGCAGTGCACGGAAATGCCGTTTACCTTCCCACTGGAGTGGTACCTATTTATCTACTTGCACTTTGACGTGCTTTCGAACTGCTAGAGCCTGTCAAATAACGGAATATTTGTGTTGGGCACCCTTTACGTTATATTTATTTATATTTATATTTCTACATAAACATCTATAGATTTAAAAAATAATAATAATTGGTGGAATCCAATGAAAGTTGCAGGCAAGGTCACGCCTACTGTCAGTCACCTGACATCACAATGACAGGTGACCTGCTTTCCTTAGTCCATGCAGTTTGAATTCAAAGTACATGGGCAAAAAGCACAGCACTTTGCATGTTCCATTGATCATTTGCTTGGTGATGCTTGCAAACTGCAGGGCTTTGCAGATGGCAACAATCAGTAGATTGGCAGTGCTTGCAAAGAGCAGTGCTTGCAATGGCACAGGACTTTGCAGGCACTGAAGATCAGCTGATTGGTGGGGCCTGAAAATCCTGTTTTTGACAGGAAACCCCATCTTTACCTGCCCCACACCTGACATCATATCTGGAAGTTAAAATGGGAGGCTGGTGGGCCTAATTAGGTTTGTGGGGCAGAGGTTCCCCACTGCTGGATTATGAACTTGATCTGTCAGTGGGGCTTGCCCACTGTCAATGGAGCTCGTCATCTGGCTTGCCACCACTCTAGTGATTGCTCTCAATTGCTCCATCTCACTACCCTGGCATTGTAATAAGGTGAGACACATTAATTTTGCTTTCAGCAGAGCTTGTCTGCAGCAATTTTTGATATCTGGATTGCTGAGGGACCATGAAGCGCTTCAGCCCCAACCCCCATTTTGACTCATGCAGATCCTGCTTCACCTGAGCTGCCTTGCTTCATGATTCATCCAATTCTGATGCACACTGCTATTTATTATTATTATTACTTCAATTAAGACTGCACCAACTCAGCATGATTCTCTTCTACTCTCCACTTTTAACCAGCTTCGTAGATTGTTTTGCTTAGCTTTCAACAGACAACAGTTCATTTAAAAGCATGTCTCTCCCCTGCACACATTTGATTAGATCTTAACCATGGTACAGTTATAACATAGCTTGTTAGATTGGTCATCTTTGGAGTCCTCCTTTAACAATGAGATTTCATTCAAAGACAATTAAATCATGGTAAGTACTGTACAATCACTAAGACCAGTTTTCTAAGTGTTTGCTGGTTGCTGTTCACAAACAAATTACGGTTTAGAGTCTCTCTCTCTCTCTCTCTCTCTCTCTCTCTCTTTCTTTTAATAAAAGAGGTTCCTGAGCCAGATCCAGCAGATCCAGACTCGGCAATGGCACATGCAGCAAACATGTCGCTAAAACAGCACTTCCAAATGAGCTGCCTTTTCTATTAAGAGCTATATTTGTAGGTGGCTTAGTAGGGAGAATGTTCTCTCCTTGTTGGAGAGGCTCATTCCCGCCCCCATGCCGCCTTTGCTTTTCATCTCATCTCCTACTCTCATCTGCTCTGTTTTCCCCATGGTAAGAAAACAAAGAAGCTGAGCATGTTCCATGTGACCAAGTGGCTTCTCAGTTCAGGAAGATCTTTGTTCTCTACACTAAATGGGTTGGATTCATATTCTAGGTTGAGGATGGGTGGTGGGAGAATCCCAGCTGCCATGGAGCAAGTGGGGGCATCCTATTTTCAAATGGGATGTCCCACATGCAGATGCCTAGTGTGAGAAAACAGCAGGAAGCATTCAGTCAAATCCTTCCTACCAGCATACCCATAGAGGTATGCAAGAAAGTAGTGTTTGAACAAACAAATCACCCATGCACACACTCTTAACCTGCTGTGACAGAAAATACTGCATATGCACACAGTCCTCATGCTTCTAATGAATGCTGGCAGCAGAGAGCAGCATCATACATAAGCCCAACAATGGTAGAACCCTACAGTTAAGCCAAAAGGAGGTAAGTGGTCTGTTGCTTGCTCCCTGATGAGATGGTGAAGGAAACGGCCACAGAGTCCATGGGCCTTTCCACAGTATCCATTAAGCTGAAAGGTTGACGGCAGTTTAAAGTACTGGAGGAGAAGAGAGGTTAGGGCAATGCAGGGAGCCACACATGAAACAAACACTTGAATCCTGGCCCTCTGTCCTTTCCTGGTCCATAAAGCAGAAAGTTCTGCCTGCTGCCCTCTCAGGGTCCAGGGTCCACACTTTCTTCTGCTTAAGACATCAATTCCAGCAACTAAACCCCTGCAATCCTGGTTTTGAAAGCACACATTTTGAAATGTCTACATCTGGCTATAACTATTCATGCCCTCAGTCTTGCATTTGCACAGCTAACTTAGGGTGTGCACAGTACCTGAGTGATAATGGCACAGTGGCACTTACTGGATGAGCAGCATAACAACAGATAAGGCAGAGTCACATCTAGTAAGGGGAGTTCAAGACAGGCAGGACAGAGTCAAGTTCAGGTCACAGCAGGTAAAACAGAAGTGATGGCAAGTACTGCAGGGTCCAGTATAAACAAGGTGGTCCATTTGTCAGCACCTTGGACAGGGCACTGTGAAGGTGCAAAATAATGGCTCTTCACAAAACAGTATGAAAGTCATGCTTCTGGTATCAGATCTGGACACCACCATTCATTATTTATTTATTTATTTATTTCATTTCGGAACTACCCTTCATCCCATGTGACTTGCAGAGTAATCAGACGAGATACAAGGTATCACACAACAACTATTAAAACATAAAAAGAGCATATAGAAATGTTACTACTGTAAGTAATCTTCAATAGAGAAGTAAACAGAATAGTAACTGTTGTACTCCAGATAATATTTACTCTCCAAAGGCTTGAAGGAACAAGTGCATCTTCAACTGATGCTGAGAAGTCTGCCCAAGGACCACCTGCATCTTTATAGGGATGGTATGACACACCCAGGGTGTCATAGCAGAGAAGGCTCCATCCTACATCAATACACAGTGAGCTATACCTGCAGGTGGCACTGCAAGGTGGGTCTCCCACAAAGACCTAAAGGCTTTGGTTGGTAGATATTGGGAGAGGTGCTCTTTTAAGTACTTTGGTCCCAAGTCATTTATGTACACCAATACCATCTCTCTCTCTCTCTCTGTAGTTCTGTTTTATTAGTTTTAAGCACAAATACCAAACAGGAAACAACAAAATATCTAGGATTTCTTCTTGCTCTACTCCACCAATTGCTATAGTTCCTGACTTTTCTTCAAGCCACAAAAGCGAATTGTGCCGTTTGCCTTCTGAATTTCCAAGTGCACGCTATTCTCCTTGTGTCCAGTTCTGATCACCACAATTTTGAAAAGGTTTAGTGGAAGAGAAACAGGTTCAGAGGAGAGCAACAAAGATGGTCACAGGAAAACAATTCCTGTGAGGAAAAGTTGAAGGAACTGGGTATAATGGTATAGAGCCAAGAGGCTAGTCAGGGTCAAAACTACACAAATGGTGCTGATTCATGTGATGAGACTTTAAGAGAGGGCAATTGCTAAAAGTAATCACAGAATTCAGGCCTACCAGAGCAGTTCCCCATGGTTCTGAGAATCAGAAATGCCATGGCAACTCTTGAATCCTAGACATCACACGAGAGCAGTAAAACCCGACCACAGCTACATTGTTGAGCTGAATCATCCTTCGCCTGCTCCGTAATCCCTCCCCCTCACAGATTCTCATGAGATATTTAAAAACTAAAGACTTAAAATCAAATATTTCAGGAATGAAAAGGTTCATGACCTTAAGGCAGTGGGTGGGGAGAAGAGGAGGCAGGCGGTTGATGACTTGGTAAAGACTGGGGACAGAACAGCATGGAGGAAGATTATGTTTCTTCAGTCGCGGATGGGAGAGAATAAATCTAAGGACGCAGAGCTCAGCTAAATGTTCTCAGCCAAACACTTCCAATTTGAGGGGAGCTGCATACTTTGAAGAGGCAAGGGGGGGAGGGGAGGCTGAGTAGAGAAGGGAGAAAACAGCTTCAGAGAGAAGCTGAGAAGCTGAGCCATTTGCTCAGGTTTGCTCAATTTATCAGCAGTTCAGCTGGTAAGAAAAGAGACCAGGTGCAAAATATATTGAGCCATAGCAAATAAGCCATGCAGCCTTATATGAACTTCCAAGGAAGAATATGCTCCAGGACAGTCTCCACACTACAACAGCAGAGCCAATGCCTAAAACTAGGATGGTCTACCCTGTTGGTACATTAGTCACTAGTGTGCATCCAACAACACAGCTGGGTATGTGGGAAGAAAGACTTGGCAGCTGTTTGGATGGCAACTTAACATGAAAGGCCAATAGTGAGAATGATTGAATGGAGGATCCTAGATACAGAATGAGGTATAACCATAGAGCCAGTCATGAGAGTGGCTGGGACTGGGGAGATCCAGGTTGAAATCCCCACTCAGCCATGGAGCTGAGGTAACCTTTGTCCAATCACTACTATCTTAGCCTCTCCCATAAAAGGTAGGATATAAGTATAATGCATAAACATACTTAGGTCAAGGCCACAGACTCTGTAAAACAGTGGTTCCCAAATTTGTTTATTTTTTTGCCCATGGGCCTCTTGAAACTTGCTTGGTGTACATAATAATAGAATCATAGAATCATAGAGTTGGAAGAGACCACAAGGGCCATCGAGTCCAACCCCCTGCCAAGCAGGAAACACCATCAGAGCACTCCTGACATATATCAAGCCTCTGCTTAAAGACCTCCAAAGAAGGAGACTCCACCACACTCCTTGGCAGCAAATTCCACTGTCGAACAGCTCTTACTGTCAGGAAGTTCTTCCTAATGTTTAGGTGGAATCTTCTTTCTTGTAGTTTGGATCCATTGCTCCGTGTCCGCTTCTCTGGAGCAGCAGAAAACAACCTTTCTCCCTCCTCTATGTGACACCCTTTTATGTATTTGAACATGGCTATCATATCACCCCTTAACCTCCTCTTCTCCAGGCTAAACATGCCCAGCTCCCTTAGCCGTTCCTCATAAGGCATCGTTTCCAGGCCTTTGACCATTTTGGTTGCCCTCCTCTGGACCCGTTCCAGTTTGTCAATGTCCTTCTTGAACTGTGGTGCCCAGAACTGGACACAGTACTCCAGGTGAGGTCTGACCGGAGCAGAATACAGTGGCACTATTACTTCCCTTGATCTAGATGCTATACTCCTATTGATGCAGCCCAGAATTGCATTGGCTTTTTTAGCTGTCGCGTCACACTGTTGGCTCATGTCAAGTTTGTGGTCAACCAAGACTCCTAGATCCTTTTCACATGTACTGCTCTCAAGCCAGGTGTCACCCTTCTTGTATTTGTGCCTCTCATTTTTTTTGCCCAAGTGTAATACTTTACATTTCTCCCTGTTAAAATTCATCTTGTTTGTTTTGGCCCAGTTCTCTAATCTGTCAAGGTCGTTTTGAAGTGTGATCCTGTCCTCTGGGGTGTTAGCCACCCCTCCAGTTTGGTGTCATCTGCAAATTTGATCAGGATGCCCTTGAGTCCATCATCCAAGTCGTTGATAAAGATGTTGAATAAGACCGGGCCCAAGACAGAACCCTGTGGCACCCCACTAGTCACTCTTCTCCAGGATGAAGAGGAACCATTGATGAGCACCCTTTGGGTTCGGTCAGTCAACCAGTTACAAATCCACTGAGTGGTAGCATAGTCAAGACTGCATTTTACCAGCTTCTTTACAAGAATATCATGGGGCACCTTGTCAAATGCCTTGCTGAAATCAAGGTAGGCTACATCCACTGCATTCCCTTCATCTACCAGGCTTGTAATTCTGTCAAAAACGAGATCAGGTTAGTCTGACATGACTTATTTTTCAGAAATCCATGCTGACTATTGGTGATCACAGCATTCCTTTCTAGGTGCTCACAGACTGTTTGCTTAATGATCTGCTCCAGAATCTTCCCTGGTATTGATGTCAGACTGACTGGGCGGTAATTATTTGGGTCCTCTCTTTCCCCTTTTTGAAAATAGGGACAACATTTGCCCTCCTCCAGTCTGCCGGGACTTCGCCTGTTCTCCAGAAATTCTCAAAGATGACTGCCAGTGGTTCTGAGATCACATCTGCCAGTTCTTTTAATACTCTTGGATGCAGTTCATCTGGCCCTGGAGACTTCAATACATCTAAACTAGCCAAGTATTCTTGTACTATCTCCTCAGTTATTCTGGGCTGTGTTTCCTCTGCTGAATCATTTGCTCCAAATTCTTCAGGTCGGGCATTGTTTTCTTTATCAGAGAAGACTGAGGCAAAGAAGGCATTGAGGAGTTCAGCCCTTTCTGTGTCCCCTGTTTGCATTTCACCATCTTCTCCCTGAGACTGAGTGACCCCACTGTTTCTTTGTTCTTCCTTTTGCTACGAACATACCCATAAAAGCCTTTTTTGTTGCTTTTAACCTCTCTAGCAAGCCTGAGTTCATTCTGTGCTTTAGCTTTTCTGACTTTGTGTCTACACGTGCTGGCTATTTGTTTGAATTCCTCTTTGGTGGTTTCCCCCTTTTCCATTTTTTGTACACATCCTTTTTAATCTTAACTCAGTTAAAAGTTCTTTAGATAGCCACCCTGGCTTCTTTAGGCACCTTCCATGTTTCCGTCTCATTGGTATTGCCTGAAGTTGTGCTTTTACTATCTCCCTCTTAACAAACTCCCAGCCATCATGAACTCCCTTTCCTTTTAGTATTACTGTCCATGGGATCTCACCCAGCACTTCCCTAAGTTTTATGAAGTCGGCTTTCTTAAAGTCAAGAAATTGAGTCCTAGTATGCTTGGCTGCTCCTTTCCGCTATATAGTAAACTTCAGAAGAGCATGATCACTCGCGCCTAATGAGCCTTCCACTTCTACCCCACTAACCAGGTCATCAACATTGGTTAGGACCAGATCTAAAATGACTGTTCCTCTTGTTGCTTCTCCCACTTTCTGGACAATGAAGTTGTCTGCAAGGCCAGTGAGGAATCTGTTTGACCTTATGCTCTTGGCTGAGTTTGACATCCAACAAATATCCGGGTAATTGAAGTCCCCCATTACTACTATCTCCTTCCTTTTGCATGCTTGGCCATCTGTTCCAGGAAGGCATCATCTATGTCCTCCGTTTGGCTTGGGGATCTATAGTAAACTCCCACAATGAGGTCACTGTTATTCTTCTCTCCCTTAATTTTGACCCAAATACTCTCACTTTGGCTTTGAGGTTCTAAATCTCGGATCTCTTCACAGGTATACACATCCCTGACATATAACGCCACTCCTCCTCCTTTCTTGTCTGGTCTGTTTCTCTGAAATAGATTGTATCCCTCCATTATTACATTCCAATAGTGGGACTTATCCCACCAGGTTTCAGTGATGCCTATTATGTCATCTTGTTTATTTCCCATGCTTTGCGCATTAGTGTACAGACATTGAAGTCCATTAATCATTCCCCCGTGTCTCTTATTTAAGGATTTTTTCCTCCCACCACTAGGTCTGCGTGCTGTTTGCTCCATTTGGTCTATGACATTTGGATGATCATCTTCATCAATTGATAGACTCCTACCTTCAGGAGCACTGTCTCCCTCTCCCACATTAGTCAGTTTAAAGCCCTCCTGATGAGGTTTCTGAGATTTTTGGCAAAAACATTTCTCCCAACCGTTGTGAGGTGCAGCCCATCGCTTGCCAGAAGTCCATCTTCAAGAAACTGCAGTCCGTGATCTAAGAATCCAAACCGTTCCTGTTTACACCATTTGCGAAGCCAGCTGTTCACTTCCACTATTTTTCCCTCTCTCCCTGGGCCATGTCGTTCAACTGGGAGGACAGATGAGATGACAATTTGTGCATTTAATTGCTTCAATTTCCTGCCCAGAGCCTCGTAGTCTCTTTTGATCTTCTGGAGGCTATTGCTTGCAGTGTCATTGGTTCCCACATGAACCAAGAGGAAGGGGTATTTGTCAGTGGGTTTTATGATTCCTTGCAGTCATTCAGTTACATCTTGGATCTTAGCCCCGTGGAGACAGCACACTTCCCGAGACATCTTGTCAGGCCCACAGATCACTGCTTCTGTTCCCCTCAGTAGGGAATCCCCTATCACCACTACACGCCTCCTCTTAGGTTTGGTCGGGGTTCTTCCGTGAGCTGTCCGTTCCAAGGTCGCCTGCACATTCCCTGAGGACTGACTTTGCTGCTCATCTTCATATACCTGATCGACTGTAATGAGGGAGCGATCCTCAAATGGAGTCTGCTCTTCGTCTTCCATGCTAGGGGAGAGGACCTCAAAGCGATTGTGTATTTCTAAACAATCAGAGCGAACCCTGGGCCTCCTACTTCTTTGAGTCACGTTTCTCCATATATCTGGCTCCTGTGTTGGTGAACTAGCCTCCTTCTCAGGGGAGTCCCCTGTCTCCTCCTTGGTGGAGACGGTTTGCTCTATTGCTTCCAAGAAGAGCTCCAGCTCTCTAATTCTTTGGAGCGCAGCTACACGTTCCTCCAGTTGCTGGACTTTGTCTTCTAAGAGGGCAATCAACATGCAATTGCTGCAGGTAAAGCTGCCTGCAACCTTTGGCAAGATGACAAACATTGCGCAGGAACCGCAGGTGACTGCAGCTGTTCCCTCCCCCTCCATCTTAAGAACGTGTCGTTGGGGGTGGCTACAGCGGTCCTCCATCATAAAAAGCGTGAAGACAGGACAAATAACTCCCCCACAAAAAAACCTAGGTCTCCCCCAACAAACGTTTGAGACTAGCTCCCCTAAATCTAAAAGCTGGATCAAACTGCCACAAAGAAACACACACACAAGAAAACCCTTTTTGCTCCTTCTTCAGCTGCTGCCCTGATGATCTTTCTACCTGCTGTAGCTGCTGCGTGATTATTAATTGTACTTTTATTGCTTCTTACATATTGTATTTCATCGCTGTAACAGATTGAATTCCACAGAATTCCAAATGTAGTACAATCATTAGAAGAAGCAACAAAAATGCCTATTAAAAATCAATATGAATATTCAATGCCTTCTTTTGCCACAAATCCACAGATGTGCTGCAGATGACCTGAGTGAAACTCGTGGGCTACAGTTTGGAAACGCCTCATGGAGAAGCCTAAGAAAGAAAGTTGTCCGATGGATATCCAGCTGACCCCCAATGGCTTCATTGCGGTCACAAACCCATTAACAGGCAAGCACAGTTTTAACAAGGGCAGAGGTTCCAGGGCAGCAGGCAAGCAGACACAGAACTTATATACAGTTATGCTAAAAAGAGAGACAGTGTCTCCAGACACCGATCAATTTCTATTAATAGCCCTAGGCATTTCAGCCAAAAGACCTTCTGCAGCGGCTCTCTATCAGAGACAGATAAATATATTATACATATACTGTCTCTGGTAGAAAGCCTCTGTAGAAGGCCATTTAACTAATAATAAAAACTCATCAGCATCATGAGACATTGTCTCTCTTTTGGGTGGCTCATTGGATGGGTGCTTCCTGATGTCTTATGTGTGTTTTTCCACTTATACCATTAACACATCTCCAGGCAACCCACAGAGTTTACTGCATATTGTGGTTTTAAAGTTCCACAGCCTCCTGGCATGTGTTTGTATCTGCTAATGCCATAACAATAGTTTTTTTTAAACAAAACAAAAACAAAAACAAAACAAAACAGCAGCAGGTTAAAACAAACAAACAAACTTCCCTCTGGACTCTCAGCTGGGGACCAAATACAGCTAAATGCAATATTCATATGCAAGTGCTGGTTAACTCTGCAACCAAAGCTTATTTGAGGAAACCAGTTCCTAAGAACACCAGTCTTCCAGACTTTGTTCTCTCTTCTGAACTCCACCTGCAGAAGTCATCATTGGTACTGAGAAGGGATGGGGAACTTGCAGTACAACAGCATTTGGAAGGCCATAACTCCCCTCAGTCCCAGCCAGCATAACTTGTGGTCAGCCACAAGGGCAGTTGTAAACCAATATCCGGAGTGCCACAAATTCTCCACACCTGGTACAATCCTCTGCAAGTCCCAGCATGTCCAATAAAACTTTATCCCAAGCGAGCCTGTCTAGAATTGCAGTCTGAGAGAACCCTCATTAGAACAAAATGTTGCAGCTTTTCCTGGACTCCCTTCCACTCACCAAACTTCAGTAGATGACCCTTGGGATCGCTTCCAACTCTATAATTCTCTGATTAATATTTATCATTTTCCAGTGGACAAAAGCTGAGGGTTGCAACAGAAGAGGAAGTTCCTGTGACATTTAGAGGAATAAAATTACGAGGCAACAATAGAAGGAAGAAGGCAAAGATTCTTGTTCCCCATCCCACAAGCTGGAATACATATTACAGTGAAAGACACTCATCCATCTTTTGAGCAGTAACAAGCCACCAGGGGCAAGGATAATCCTCCCTAGCAGACCCATTTTATTTATTTATTTTACTTGTCATCACAAAAGCTTTTAACCCCTGAAGCAACGAGGGAAAGCCACTGCTGGGCAAGGCAGTGAAGATGGCGGCTCTGACATTTCTGATTTCTAAGACTCTGAGTAGTAAACACAGCAGCTAGAGTATTGAACAAACATTGTAGGGATTTCTGGCTCAGATTGGCTGGCTGAAGCCTGCTCCTCTGACGCAAGAAAATGTTTTAGCACTCAAGTTTTTCCTTGTGTAGTGTGCCTCTTACTAGGAAAAGCACTAAAGCCACATGAAATATACATCGCAGTCATAAATTGCTGCTTTCGTCCCCAGCGGCTGCAACTCTGCATGCACATTGCCAGCAAAGCTCTGACAGGGATGTAGCTGGATGTAGCGGTACATTAAATTTTTTATGCAGAACAGGATCAGGAATGATTTTTTTTTCCACAAAGAAAATTCTAGGAGCATTGCTCCTCCATCTCTAAGCTTGATGCTGCCAAAACTCCTGAACAGGCAAGACTACGTATATTCCATGCTGAACAAAAATTATAATTCTGTGCCACAGCCATTCAAATTCTGCCCCAAGAAAACCCCAAATTGTGCAACCTCTATAAATAAAATAAACTATGTGCTTCCTCATTTTGCATCATTTGTTCAGAAATTGATTGTTGGGTTTTTAATTGTGCATCGTTATTAAGCCATCTCTCTGGCTTCTGGGATTTCAGTGGGATTTCTAGCCCTTCTGCAGCCATAAGGGCTAGCAATTCGGAAAGGCTGGGAATGTCCTATTGTAAGAACACATCTGCCTGGTACTTTGGGGGCGGGGAGGAATCTAATTGGATGAGCTTCAGCTGCTAATTTGAACCAGAGAGAAGAGTTTGCTGGAATTCTGGGCATGATCTGTCGTTCTCATTGTTACAGGCAAGCAGAACTGGCTGAGGACAGCTCAGTCCCTAGTGTTTCATTGCTGCTGTTGCTTCTCCTTCCTCCCAAAATTCAAGGCTAAAACCATTGAGCAGGCCACTGGTTTTACTACTCCTTCAATGTGTAAAGAGGGACGCAGGTGGCGCTGTGGGTTAAACCACAGAGCCTAGGACTTGCTGATCGGAAGGTCGGCGGTTCAAATCCCCACGACGGGGTGAGCTTCCGTTGCTCAGTCTCTGCTCCTGCCAACCTAGCAGTTCGAAAGCACGCCAAAGTGCAAGTAGATAAATAGGTACCACTCTGGCAGGAAGGTAAATGGCGTTTCCGTGTGCTGCTCTGGTTCACCAGAAATGGTTTAGTTATGCTGGCCACATAACCCGGAAGCTGTACGCCGGCTCCCTCGGCCAACCCCAGAGTCGGTCACGACTAGACCTAATGGTCAGGGGTCCCTTTACCTTTACAATGTGTGAAGGACTGTAGTCTAAGTGTACCTTCTCATCTCTACCTAATTTTCTTATCAAGACACTGGGATGAAACCAAACAGAACAGCATTCTGGGGGATTTAGAGCAAATACTTTGCATGTAGAAAGTCCCAGCATCTCAATCCGTGGCTGAGAAAGAACCCTGCCTGAAACCCATAGAGAAATGCAACTCAGCATAGATAATATTCTGACCTAGATGGACCAATAGTTTTACCTGGCATAAGGAAGCTTTTTATGTTCCTGTTCTTGGCAACTACTCTGTTTTCTCAGAATTGAGTCAAAGCACTTTAGCATCTTTCTATATGGGCCAGCTTTTACAGTCCAGGCTACAGGCAATTGCTGGACAGTTTTACATTTGACATGGTTCATTCCATTTCTGTACTATAGACCTGGTTTAGATTCTGATATAGTCACCAGGTCCTCGGGGCAGAGTTGGTTAAAGATATGTAAAGTGCAGTGCATGCCAATCAGACAATCAAAAACCACTGTCTAGTCCAAAGTTCCACATAGACTCCAGGTAAGGAAATTAAGATTGCTGGGTGCCCAAAATGCTTTGGAAATAAATCCATTGTTTTGGATAATTGTTGACATTGCTTCAAAACACTTACAGCAGCCTTTGGATACAAGAGGAAGGCAGAGCTTGAAAAGCTGAGCAGATGAGGGGGCAAATTTCAGGCAGGCACCGAATAGATGGAAAGAATGCAAAACACACTCTTTTGTTTCTGGAACATGACATTCCCCGGGGCTCAAGAAGCACATCCACTCTCTGTTAAGAAATACTAGAAAGAAAGAAAGAAAAAGCTCCAGCTTCAGAAATGAGAGCGCCAGCTGTTCTCCCCAGGACATGCTGGGGAAAGTGGGGCAGCTCGCACTTCACCCTAAGTGGATTTGCCAATTGTGGGCTCACTTTTCAGGCATCTTCTGGAAAATCTGTTAGCTCATTAATGCATTACTCAATTCCCCGGAAACTCCCTTGCAATCTCAGTGCATGTTACAAAATGTGCAAGAAAGCAACAAAGGATGGAATAATGGGAAACAAGGAGGGATTATCCAAGAAATAAATAAAATGTAACAAGAGGCAACAGGGCAAAGACAGACTTCCAGGCCTGCATGCTACTTATGTCAGGCAGCAACTGGTCTGAGACCAGGGCTGGGGGACCTTTTTCAGCCTGAGGGCCACATTGCCTTCTGGGGGCCACTTGCCAGAGGTAGGTGGGTCCCAATGCAAAAAACAGGGGGGGGGGAATAGCACCAGATGTGATTCTTACTTTTGCACAGTAGTCTAGACTCCTGCCATACAAAAGCCGATTTTTCTCACTCAAACACACTCACGTCTCTCCATCCAGGCAAACAAAGAGGCTTAATCACAGTTCATAACCATATTCTAGCTAGGCAGAAGCACTTAAGGAAATTGCAGAGCAGCAGTTGTGAGGGGTGTGGTCTGGGGAGGGCACATGTCTGGGGAGATCTCTGAGGGCCAAGCAGAGAGATATTGAGGGCCACATTCAGCACCTAGGCATGAGGTTCCCACACCCACCAAGAGAGGCATATCTGCATGTCCTTAGAGGCATATTGTTTCCTCTTATAAGGTTCAAGAGGAACATAATTCACAAAAATCTTTCCTCAAAGTGCTATGCTCTGCTTCTACTTGTACCAGCCCAATGTCTGGCATATGGCACATACTCAATTCAGTGTGCCCTGAAAAATGTCCACAGTAAGAGAGAAGGCAATTTTCCTGAGGTAGCAAGATTGATTCCATGCTGCTTCACAAGAACTCCATGGGATGTGCAGCAAATGACTGCTTCAGGCTGAAGCTGAAACAAGGACCTAAGCAACAAGCCAGAGATCCAGAGAAAAGGCTGAGGTGATCACTGGTGCAACTCTGCTAAAGCCATAATCACGGGGCTGGAATGGCATTGGCACAATTCCTTCCCTGCCACATCACTTTTCCAAAGTACAGTTGTACCTTGGTTTTGGAACAGCTTAATTCCCAAATGTTTTGGCTCCCGAATGCCGCAAATCCAGAAGTGACTGTTCCGGTTTGCAAACTATTTTTGGAAGCTGAATGTCCGACGGGGCTTCCACAGCTTCCAATTGGCTGCAGGAGCTTCCTGCAGACAATCAGAAGCCACGCTTTGGGTTCCTAAGATTTTGGGAGTTAAACGGACTTCCAGAACAGATTCCGTTTGACTTCCAAGGTATGACGGGACCTCATAACACTCTCCTCCTGCTTTTCACAGAACCAAAGAGGGAAGTGCCAAGTCAGCAAGAGATAAAAGTCCTTCTACTGCAGTCTACAAACATCACATGTCAGCAAGGGGCTGTCAACAAAGGAATTCTGATACTGTGAAGTACAGGGCATCCCTTGCACATTAGGAGTCTCAGGCAACCAGTTTACCCAGGGACTTCCCCACACCTAAGTTGATGCAATATGCTCCGTCATAGAAGCTCACACGTATCATCTCTGCACCCCCTTAAAGCCTCACTATGGAGCACTGCACTGGGCAGGAGCAATGCCTTCCCCTTGGGCAAGCTGCCCAAGGAAAAGTAACCAGAAAGCCTTGGCTTGATCCCTTGACAGTAAGATACTTGTGCACCTGGGGGCAGCCCAACTTGGTCCTGACTTGCCAGGAACTCATTCCCAGAACACCTCTGCTGCTGAACAACCTCTTGCCTCCACCTTCCTTCAAATTCCCTTCTCAGACTTCACCTTTTCCATTGAATACTTCAACTGATAAGCCCCTAGTCCTCCGCTGAAAAAGCAGAGGCTCATGCACATGTCTTCTACTAATGAGTCCTCCTCCTAATAAAATCATTGTGCTGACAGAACGTTGGCCTCAGTGCCATGTTGGATTCTACCCTGTGCCTCCATTCACATCCATCCCTCCCTATTCTGGTCTCCTCCACCTTGCCTCCCTCCCTTCCCTATTTATTGTCTCCCTCACCGTCAATCTTTAGATTGCAAGCTACTTTGGGTAACGATCTCCCTTTTTGTTTGTATTGCTCTGTAGAACACTATGCACTTTGATGGTGTTCTATAAATAATAGGAATAAGATGACTGCCACTGGCATTATATATACCAGCATGGACATTATTAATTTCTGTAAGTGCAAGTACACTTGGTTATCACTAGTGGGACTCTTGCTGTCATACTTCTGGCAGTTTTTATTTATTTATTAAAAACTTCATTCTCAAGGAAAGACACAGAACCAATGCAAACAAAATGGATCTCAATTCCCCCATCCATACGAGGGAGCCAGCTATTCTCATTTCAGACGTCGGGTCCAAAAGCCTTTAACCTGCCTTTGGGGAAGGAAGCATTAAATTAACAGCTTCTCAGAAAACTCATTTATATCATCATTAACCATATCCAATATCTCCCCAGAAGTATGGACCTCCCAAAGGGCTGAACTTGCATCTTCTCAACACAGTCCTACTAATATGAACCAGGTCCCACCTGCTTCTGTTATTGTCATCATAAAGAAAGACCCATTTGCAGGCCTCTCCTCTCTGCCCCCAGCTCCCTGCACAAAGTTTTCACCATGGTTTCCTCACATCAATTATTGAAGTGGATGATTTATTTAAAGGAGCGCCTCTCCACTCTTCAATGTATGCCGCATTTGCCAAGGAAACTCCTGTGGGTCTAGAGCCATTTTTTTTTTTGCAGCCACGTGTGACATTAAATTAATATCTGCAGTGCTGCTCATGTGATGAATGGAATGAACTTGCTTGCACAGACGAAAAAGAAAGAGGAGGTGGGTGGGGGTGGGGAGAGTCAAAGAGAAGGGAGCAAAGCTGCCCTGGCACACGGCATTACCCAGGGTGGGTGGAAGGGTCCTGAACTTCACTCTGTGCCAATCGGATGACATTAAATTGAGAACTGGGGCTAGTCACATTGAAGTGTGCTCTCCTGGTCAGCAGGAAGGATGAGCAAATCACAGTTCTGACCCCTGTTTGTTCTCTGGCCACATCAGCCACCCACCCCTATCTGGCCAACATTTCCTCTCCATCCTCTGCTTGCTGGATTTTGAGGCAGGCTTTTTGTTCCCAAGAACCACATGCAGCAGTGGTTGTGTCTAGTACTATTCACCTTCCCCTTTCAACATATATCTTCCCTTCTCTGCCCCCCTCACTTAGGCTGTATCAGGGTTGATGTGTGTGTGTGGCGGGGGGAGTATGAAACCTTCATTCCTCAGCAATCCCTGGGCAGCAGAGATTGCTGTGCCCACAGCACAGGAACAGTAATGTTCTCCTCAGCACTCAGCTGATGGCTGATAAGCTGGGCAGCAGGGGATTGGAAAGGTCTCTCCTGGGGCTTGGTGGGCTCTGCAGCTAATGGCCAACGGCTGCAAGTTATCCTCATTTGGTGCAACATGTAGGTGCTATGAAATCAGGTTCCTTGCAGAACCTTTTCTATACTCAGTCCACACATCGCAGGCTCCTTGGCAAAGAGCCTTGCTTGGCATGTCACAAAACACCTCTACTGTGCAACCGCAGACTCAGATACAAAGTATGGACCAGCCTCATGTTCCAACAAGCTGTTGGCTTGATGTGTTGTGTAGCGGTTGCCTGTTTCTTTAGTCTTCCTCAAAGCTGTGGCAGATGTGCTGTCTGCAACAGCACATGAAAAGGGCTGATGGAGGCCGTTGATCCATGCAGTTGAGTCTTTCCCAGCTTGATGCTTCCTAGATGTTTTGGACCAGCCAGATTGGCCAATGATCAGGGATGATCCAAAGTATCTGGAGGGCACCAGATTGGACAAGGTTGATCTAGTTCCTTGGAAGACAGCTACCAAGCGGCAATGGACTTGACCTCTCACCACTCCATGCCTCTTTCCCAACCTGGTGCCTTCCAGATGTGGTTGGACTCTCATCATCTCTGACCACAGGCCATTCTGGCTATAACTAATGGGAGCCGGAGTCCTAAAATATCAGGGGTCAACAGACGGAGGATGGAGATGGGGAAAGCTGATTCAGATGGCTGTCAGAATTGCGAATGAACTGCAGGAGTTCCCTCCAAAGTTAGGGCAGGTTTCCCTGCTGCAATTTCTGGGAAAAGCTCTTTGCCTGGAAGTATCCCTGAGGGGTTCTTGTTTACTCCCTGTCTACATACTCTAAAACAGCTGCTAATTTGTACATGCTTACTGCAACTGTGTTTCCCATTTCCCCAAGGCAGGCAGAAAGTGCTTGTGTGTCTTATATTCAAATCCAAAAGCAAAATCCTCATCACATTTAGCCATTAATATTTGATCATTAGATTTGTCATCTTCATTTTGAAAAAAAAGGGGGGGGCTATATAAGAAGCAGCCCTTACTTCTCAAGCACATTTATACTGATTCTCACAGCTGGAAAAAGCCCAACTACTTATTCCCCAAGACTAATTACTCTAATAAATGTTCATAATTTGAGAAATTCACAAGCAGGTTGCAATATGGAAGAGGATCTGGCTGAATTAATTTATACTTCCTCCTTGCTAGACAAAGCCGATTCCAGCCATCTCCGACGATGAAATTGGTATGATCAGAACACTTTTCCTAATAGATAAATAAGGGGGGGAGGAGTCTTAATCATAGAATCACAGTATTATAGAGTTGGAAGGGATTCTGAGGGCAATCTGCTCCAACTCCCTGCAATGCAGGAATCTCAGCTAAAGGAGATACCAGAGTACGAGGAGGAAAGAAAGCAGTGCAATTGAGGCAGCAACGCTTTATAGAAAATACATAGCCTCCAAATTAATCTGTTCAGTAGGTAAATGATTCATTCTCTCTCCCCCCCTCCAACCGCTATGTGTAGCAGCACATATTCAAATTGTGTCCAGTACCAGAACTCGCATGCTGTCTGTAAAAAGTTACCCGGGAAAATACAGTCAAGTCCAGCTTCAAAACAAGCTTCTCATAACTTTGCCTGTGTGCACATAGATGCACAATCGCTCAGTTGCACAAGCAGCCCTAAGTGACACAGAGCCTCTGTTTGGAAGTCTGGGCTGAAGGTTATTATGGTGTGCCCTTTTTACACCCAGATGACCTTGGGAACCTGTGTAATGCAGGCTCAACCTGTGGAACAGTTAAATTCTGCTCCAGGGTTTCCTTTCTCATCTCAAGAGGAGCTTTTCAGCTGCTCAGCTGCCATTAGGAGCATGAATTTTATTTTCTGGAGTATGAAAACAAGAAGATCTGGCAGCACTAATGAGGATACTAATGGAGAGAGAAAATCATAGAGCCTCTCTGGACAGTCTTGGACAAACCACCACTATCTCTGAGAATGACCTACCTGGTAGGGTTGCTGTGAAGATAAAAGGGGCTACTGGTGCTCACTAGAGGAAAAGTGTGTTATAAATGTAATATTAAACAAACAGTGAAGTCATAACAAAATTAAGAAAATGCTCCTTGTGATTTCTGCTAAACATTGACCTGCTCAGATGGCATGATGCAGACCAGGACACACACACTGATTGACCTACATCACCAGAATCAGTCAAAATATTGAATTCTTTTTGAGGGAGCTAAATGTCCTTTGCAGCATCCCAAGTCCTCCCAAAGTGCATGTGAAAGAAGGTCATCAATGGGATCACTAATTAAATTCTGCTTTATGGTATTAAAAAAACACTATTTAGGGCAACACCGCACCCTATAAAATTAAGAAACAGAAGAGACCCTAACCCTATAGGAATTCACATGAATGCTGCCATTACAGACTGTGACCCACAATGACCCTTCGCATACATTCTGGGTGTGAGTTTTTTGGCCAGGCAAACTGCAGAGAATGACTTCTGTCTGAAATCCTGTAGGGGCACTGCCAGTCAGTACTGAGCTAGATGGACCAGTACTTGGTAGAGGGCAGCTTCCTATATTCCTGTACTCCATGTAGGGGGGAAAGGTTTTCTAACAGAAGCTGTTCCATAACTTTCCCCCTCCCCCCCCCCCGGGAGATTTGGCTAAGATTGAGTCTGTGCATCTTCTGAACACATTGCAAGACTTTGATATTAGGAGACAGCTTTCGACAGCAGGAGTTAAGCCAACTGGCAAAGGTTTGACAAAGGATGATGATGTATGTTTTAACTGGTCATTTATTTATTGCTTTTTAATTGACTATTTTTGCTTTTAAAATGCATTGCTGCAAGCAGAAAGCCTTAAGAGCCAGGCAAATGGAAGTAATCAAATGGTGGCTATCTAAATAACTTTTAACTGAGTTAAGATTAAAAAAGGATGTGTACAAAAAATGGAAAAGGGGGGAAACCACCAAAGAGGAATTCAAACAAATAGCCAGCACGTGTAGACACAAAGTCAGAAAAGCTAAAGCACAGAATGAACTCAGGCTTGCTAGAGAGGTTAAAAGCAACAAAAAGGTTTTTATGGGTATGTTCGTAGCAAAAGGAAGAACAAAGAAACAGTGGGGTCACTCAGAGGAGAAGATGGTGAAATGCAAACAGGGGACACAGAAAGGGCTGAACTCCTCAATGCCTTCTTTGCCTCAGTCTTCTCCGATAAAGAAAACAATGCCCGACCTGAAGAATTTAGAGCAAATGATTCAGCAAAGGAAACACAGCCCAGAATAACTAAGGAGATAGTACAAGAATACTTGGCTAGTTTAGATGTATTGAAGTCTCCAGGGCCAGATGAACTGCATCCAAGAGTATTAAAAGAACTGGCAGATGTGATCTCAGAACCACTGGCAGTCATCTTTGAGAATTCCTGGAGAACAGGCGAAGTCCCGGCAGACTGGAGGAGGGCAAATGTTGTCCCTATTTTCAAAAAGGGGAAAAGAGAGGACCCAAATAATTACCGCCCAGTCAGTCTGACATCAATACCAGGGAAGATTCTGGAGCAGATCATTAAGCAAACAGTCTGTGAGCACCTGGAAAGGAATGCTGTGATCATCAATAGTCAGCATGGATTTCTGAAAAATAAGTCATGTCAGACTAACCTGATCTCGTTTTTTGACAGAATTACAAGCCTGGTAGATGAAGGGAACGCAGTGGATGTAGCCTACCTTGATTTCAGCAAGGCATTTGACAAGGTGCCCCATGATATTCTTGTAAAGAAGCTGGTAAAATGCAGTCTTGACTATGCTACCACTCAGTGGATTTGTAACTGGTTGACTGACCGAACCCAAAGGGTGCTCATCAATGGTTCCTCTTCATCCTGGAGAAGAGTGACTAGTGGGGTGCCACAGGGTTCTGTCTTGGGCCCGGTCTTATTCAACATCTTTATCAACGACTTGGATGATGGACTCAAGGGCATCCTGATCAAATTTGCAGATGACACCAAATTGGGAGAGGTGGCTAACACCCCAGAGGACAGGATCACACTTCAAAACAACCTTGACAGATTAGAGAACTGGGCCAAAACAAACAAGATGAATTTTAACAGGGAGAAATGTAAAGTATTACACTTGGGCAAAAAAAATGAGAGGCACAAATACAAGAAGGGTGACACCTGGCTTGAGAGCAGTACATGTGAAAAGGATCTAGGAGTCTTGGTTGACCACAAACTTGACATGAGCCAACAGTGTGACGCGACAGCTAAAAAAGCCAATGCAATTCTGGGCTGCATCAATAGGAGTATAGCATCTAGATCAAGGGAAGTAATAGTGCCACTGTATTCTGCTCTGGTCAGACCTCACCTGGAGTACTGTGTCCAGTTCTGGGCACCACAGTTCAAGAAGGACACTGACAAACTGGAACGGGTCCAGAGGAGGGCAACCAAAATGGTCAAAGGCCTGGAAACGATGCCTTATGAGGAACGGCTAAGGGAGCTGGGCATGTTTAGCCTGGAGAAGAGGAGGTTAAGGGGTGGTATGATAGCCATGTTCAAATATATAAAAGGATGTCACATAGAGGAGGGAGAAAGGTTGTTTTCTGCTGCTCCAGAGAAGCGGACACGGAGCAATGGATCCAAACTATAAGAAAGAAGATTCCACCTAAACATTAGGAAGAACTTCCTGACAGTAAGAGCTGTTCGACAGTGGAATTTGCTGCCAAGGAGTGTGGTGGAGTCTCCTTCTTTGGAGGTCTTTAAGCAGAGGCTTGACAACCATATGTCAGGAGTGCTCTGATGGTGTTTCCTGCTTGGCAGGGGGTTGGACTCGATGGCCCTTGTGGTCTCTTCCAACTCCATGATTCTATGAAATGTATGCTGTTTGGGGTAAGGGCATGCATATCATTTCACACATATTATATCATTTCATGACCAGTTTTGAATTCCTGAATGGCCTGCTTCTTATTGGTTACAAACCCCAAGTTGTAGCTTAGGGTTTAAAAACTCAAACCCAGCTCTATCTTGCCAATTACTTATTCAGTCTATTTCCTGCCTTTCCTCCCAAAGGAGCCGAGGGCAGTAACAAGCCCTAACACTTAAGCTGGAAAGTTGTACTTTGGACGCAACTGAGGGGCTGGACTGCTTCAAGCATATAAAAAGGAGGAAATAACAGCAACAGGAAAATCACGTGGTAGATCATTGCACAAGCTGCATAAACATGCATCTAATCCAATGCACATTCATGCATTTAGGAGTTTGTAACTAGCTGTGGCTCTTCAGCATGCATTTATACATACATGGTGCAAGAGCTGTATGTGGCACACACAAAAACCTACATGAGGTTTTCATCATTTCTCCTACACCTAAGTGTTGTGCATGCACAAAACATTTCTGCCCAGTGCTGGTGCCTAGTATCTCAGTCCCTGCTCCAAACACACAGGACATTCTGCATGTGAACCACCATCATGGCTGAAAGCTCTTCAAGAATATAGTTGGTGCATGCAGGAATGTTACCACGTAATGTATTTGACGGTCTTTGGGCAACCACCTGCTTAAAGGAGTGGAGGGAGCCTCTCTGCTGCACAAAGCTCCTTTCCAACCATCTGAACCATCCCCTAATAGCCCATTTCCTCTGTCATCTACATCTCCTTTTGGTGTTCCTTTAGCATACAGTTTCAGCATTTTATTGCCTGGAGTCTTAGTAAATGAAACACAAAAATGTAGGAATCGAGGAAGACGAAACGCTTCCCAAGTTTCAGTGGAATCTAATCTTTGCTTAGAGTCATAGTGGTGTAGGCTTTAAACCTGCATATGGTGTGTTTCAAGGGGAGAGGGGAGCAGGAGAGAGAGGGATAGAGGGAAGGAGAATATTGCTCTCTTCCTGAACCTCCAGCTAACCATGCTTATTGCCCACACCTGTTTTCAATGCACCACCACAAGTGACAGACCTCAGAAGGCATCCAATAATTGGATTGTGTCATTGACACAATCCATTCTAGCCATGCTGCATGTGTTAATCAGCTTATCAATGCCAGGATGTCTATGTTATCGTGTGTGTGTGTGTGTGTGTGTGTGTGAGAGAGAGAGAGAGAGAGAGAGAGAGAAGTTACCATTAATAATGCAATTATCATTGTTGGTAATTCCTGCATTCCATTTCCTTCTGACCTCACCATTTATTATTCCTCTCCCATCCAGCCTTACAAAGAATTATGTGTGTACCTGTAATCCAGGAAAACAGCCATGCATCCAAAGAAGTGGCCTGTGGTCCATGAAAATTTGTGCCATTTAAAAAATGTTATTTTCTAAGGTTGCTACAAGAGATGAACAGGGCAATGTCATAGACATTAAGAATTGCCATGTGGGGTCAGATCAATGGTCCATGTGCCTCAGCGTGCTGTGAGTCCACAAAGGCCAGACAGATGCTACTGAGAAATTCATAAATGGGGAATGATACTGAGATTGATACAGCTATTTGTTAATCCCCCAACATATGCTAGCCAGAGGCATACAAACTCTATAGCGTGCCAGTGGGAACTGGGACCCATGAGTCTAATTAGGGCTGGCACAAGTCTCTGTTTGGCTTGTGAGGCCACTTTCCTCAAAGCACACCCACCCATATGTATGATGGCAGATATGGGGCAAGTGGAGGTGAGGTTGCCAGTGTAGCTGTCAGTGGCCAGAGCAAGGCAGCTGGGATTGGCTATGCCATAAAGTTCTGGAACTCAATAGCGTAGCTGACCCCTGCAGGTAGTAGAGCTTGAAGATTGTGCCAGTTAGCTGATTGGTGGTAACTTCCAGGCTCGCTTGGCTGGGCTTGGTTTGTGGCACGGATCACCTGGCATCACTATGACTGACAGGTCATTAGGCTCCACCCACCAATCAAAACAGCCTGCCAAGGGGGGGGGGGGACTCAATAACCTGGCCCGCTGGCTGGATCCACTTCCATAACCCTGTTCAGAAGGCTAATGCAAATGTTAAAAAAGGAGCAGGGACCATAGTTCAGTCACGGAGCACACATTTTGCATGCATGGCCTCTCCAGTTAGAAGGATCAGGTGATGTGAAACATCTTTCTTGAGAAGCTAAACTCTGCTAGTCAGAGTAGACACTACAGGACTAAGTGGACAAATACTCCAACCTGAATTCTGTACGCTCATATGAAAGAGCCCAATAAGGAATTAACTGTGGTCTGTGGGACTGCTTTTGTCTCAGTTCTTCTTCAAAGCAAACACCCACCTCACCCACTAAGACTAACCAGGGTTTCTGCTGCATCTGGATTGAAACCAGCTTCATACCACTAAAAAAAAAGGAGTTTGATAGAAAAGCTATCCACAGTAAATTGCCAGGAAGTTGTTTATTATGCTTTTCACCTCTGTTTTATACAGAAAAGGTCAAGATCTGACAGGCAGAGGCAGAGATTGCAATGCAGATTAGCCATTACTGCTCTTATACTCTGGCAGAGGGAGGGAGGAACACCATCCTTCCAGAAGGATGAACTTGTGGAAGGGGAGAGGGTTGGAACACACATAGCTGAAAGGATGCAAATTAACTTAACATGGTCTCCTCTGCCTTCATCTCTCCATCTCTTTTTTGCAGAGCAAGTGACAGCCTTAATCTGTCCAATCAAAGAAGGAAGTTCTAATGAAATGCAAGAGGGGGGAAAACAGTATCTACTATGCCAATCCAGGAAAGTGTGTGTGTTTGTGTGTGTGTCTGTCTGTCTGTCTAACTGAGAGAAAGATTACCTTGGCTCCTTGGCTCACCCTTGTTAAAGGAAGGTTCCCTTGGCAACCTGGTATGATGAAAGAGACGGCTATCGATGGCTATTTGCAATGCTTCTTAATACCAGTTGCTGGAAGCCACAGGAAGGCAGAGTGTTCTTGCGCATGAATCCTGCTTGCTGGCTTTCCACAAGCATCTGGTCAACCACTGTGAGAAGAGGATGCTAGGCATGGGCCATAGTTCTTATAGATTTTTGTGATGGTCAAGGAAGCAGAAGCCTCAGATCCAAGCTGGTTAGAATGCAAAGGAAAGAAATAATCACCCAGTGCCTCCTTTATTTCACAGCTCAGTGGAGATGTCCACTCAGATGTCCACTCAGCTAGAGCATGTGTTACAGCATATGGTGTTGGAGGCTTTCCTGAAGCAGGTAATACATGGAGGCAAAGTAAGGGGAAAGGAGATCTCCTCAGTGGTACCAGAGGCCCGCAAGATGTGCTGTTGTCACACCCTTGTGTCTCCTCCCTCATTTTATCCTGAAATTTGAATATTAAGGAAAATAAGATGGATGAACACCCCCCAACCGAGAAAGTGAGGAAAGGATGAACTGTCACCAGGCAATGGCAGTCATGCAAGATAGCAAGGTTTGTTAAGATCTAAGGAGACTCCATAAACCACATCCACACCCTACATCGGAGATGGGGAACCTATGGCTCTCAAGATACTGTTTGACCTATAGCTCCCATCATCCTTCATCACTGGCTATGCTGGCTGGGGTGAAGAACATCTAGAAGGCCAGGTTCCCTATCCCTCTCAGTGCTTCCTGGGAACAAAGGCCACCGCACTGTGTAAATGAAGAGGTGCAAGGGGAAGCCCTTTCCTCTCTAGCTTATTGTCATCATGGGCAGCACCCAGCAACCTCATTTTCCATATGAGGCATCAGAATGCAGTAGAGAAATGGAAAGAACCCATTCCATTTGCCACTGAGGACATGCACAGAGATGGAAAAGAGTACAATAGGAAGCCATAAGCAATTCCACTTTCTGCTGCATTTTCTGCCTGCACTTCAGAGCCTTAATGAAAAAGAGCCTGTATACAGTGGTACCTCGCAAGACGAATGCCTCGCAAGACGAAAGAGTTTTTCGTTTTTTGAGTTGCTTCGCAAGACGAATTTCCCTATGGGCTTGCTTCGCAAGACAAAAATGTCTTGCAAGTTTGTTTCCTTTTTCTTAAAACCGTTAATACCCAGGGTAACCGTGCTTCGCAAGACGAAAAATTCGCAAGACGAAAAAACTCGCAGAACGAATTAATTTCGTCTTGCGAAGCACCACTGTATACTGCCGCCTTGAACACCAAAGTCTGAATATAATTTGAAGGTGGACACTTTTTGCAAGACCGAGGCCTCTAATGACATCCTCCCCACAACTGTTCCCTTCTAGGTCTGCAATCGCTGGCTCCAGCAACCTCCCATCCAACCATTATGAGTGGAACCAAATTTCCTTTATATATACAGTGCAAAAGAAGTTTGCCAAGTGAAGGGATAGCTCAGTTGGTAGAGCATGAGCTCCACGCTGGGTAAAAGATTCCTGCATTGAAGGGGCTTGGACTAGATGACCCTTGTGATCCCCTCCAACTTTATAATTCTATGATTTTATTATCTCTTGTTCTGTATTACAGAGAGCAAAACTAACATGGTTTATCCATCTAATGACCACCTAATTCAAACTAGTGTTCTAACAACCACAAAACATCTCAGCCTCTCAAAAATAATTTCATAATAGTTGCTCAAGTCAATGTTTTTTAAATGTATTGTATTGTGTAATGCATTTTATGTATTTGGTATTGTGACTTGCTGTTATTTTTATTGATTGTAGTTTAGTAATTATTCAATGTAATTGTTGAGAGTGAATTTCTGCTTAATTATTGTTTGCTGATATTTTGAGAGTTAACGCTGTTGTGTATTATTATATGCTAATGGATTGTTGAATATTACATTAATTAATATAAATTGTTTATTTTAAAGTCATATCTTATTATGGCTTATTTGTATTGGATTGCATTGTTATATGATGTATGATCTTTGTTGTATATGTTGTTGTTTCTTCAGCTTGTAAACTGCCTTGAGTAGAAAGGTAGCAAAATGAACCTGAACCTGAAATTCTCTCACTGTCTCCAACACAAGCTAAGTTGCCTTGTGAACTCAACGGCAATTCTTTCTCAATATCTTTGAATCCCAAGCAGAACAAAGGCCATAAGGTTATCTATCATACATCCTATTTCCATGGAAAATAAATATAAAACTCACAGACTCCAAACAAAGTAACTGAGGGACAGTGCAGTCTCTATGCATGCAATGCTGCCATGTGGCCAGGCTCCAACATAGCCAATGCCCAAGATCTGTTACCACATGTGCACACAAACATACTCAAAACAAGATAAGGGATATTGTCTATGAGGCATCCTGTTTAACTATAGTGAATGGCACCAAAGTGACTAAGAACTGACAGATACTTAATCAGAAATAACAGCTTACTAATAGAAATAGGAACAGAAGGAGTGGAAGTTAACACTGACAGCAGAAAAGCTCCCAGAAAGAGCAATTTTGTTTCCCACAAATGGGAAAATGCACAAAAGTGAACTAGGATTTATATAATCTCACTGGTTCTAAACCTATTATGTGATTTTAAAGATCTGAGTCATGGTTTTGAAACCCAGGGATAGTCAATAACAGAACCTTTTGGTCACATCAGCTGGCTGGAAGTTTCAGCAGGTCTGTCAAATATCTGTTCTTCTCAACTGCCCTCCCCCCGGCCACCGCCCCCACCCAAAATTAACGAGAGGTTGTCACACTGGGGACAGCCAAAATATGCATGGCTCATGTGGATAAGCTGGATCAGGGCAATTAATTGCTGCTTATCTAAAAGCAGCTATTCATGCTGAAAGTTAGACAAAGGACTCTACACAAATGCATAATACATCTAGGCCTGAGGTCACCAACTGCGTGCACACAAATGTTATTATATGCAACTAACATGAAAACTAGGTGCATCCTTCTGGCTCACAATGGATGCCCCCCCCCTTTTTAGTGCTGGTCGAAGTAGTACCTTTATTCAGACAACAAGCAAAAGAGATAGAGCTTCAACCCATCACATGACTCCTGTCACATTACCTTTGCACATCGTACAATTACATCTATGCCCATCGGTTTCCTCCCCAACCAAGCCACCTCCCACTACAATGTCTAATGTAGGTCATTTGTTCAGCAAATTGGCTGCTATTATGCCTGTTGGCTCCCCAGTCCCATTGACAGGCTTTGCAACAGCAGAACCAATGCCTTAAGCCGTCTCCCCATCAAGTAGCACACATGCCCTCGGCTAAACAGCCTAGCCGCCTGCTTTCACAGCCAAGTCACTGACCAATAAGGCATTTGGTTTCTTACACCAACTGATTGCCGAGAAAGGAAAACAAGCCAACCCCACCTCATTGTTTCAGAGGCAGAGTCATTTTTTTCCTGGGGATTCGAAATGGACCACTAAATTGGGGGTGGGATTGTTGCTGCCTGTGCAGAAGAGCTTTTTCACCACACTTATCAAAAGCAGCCTGCACAGCAGGGCCACCTCTGCTACCACAATTAAACCCAAGTTTGACGTGATCGGATTTCTCAACAAGGACTGAGTCAACTACCAGAAAGGCATGCTAGCAATGGAGCCTTAGCACAGGGCCAGGCTGCAATATCCGGAGAAATGAAGAATAAAAACTTCCCTAATACTGCAAGCCATAGATAGAGGCAGACCCATTTGGCTAGCCATCCCCGGAGGCTGTAGGGAAAGCCAGTGCTCACAGCTGCTTAGAGGAAGCGATGCAAAGATGGACACATGTCAGCTGGATAGATTGGCGCAAATGAATGATGCACTGCCCATCTGGACAGTCCGCAGGCATAACACTGGAAGAGCTGCTCAGCGCATCCCCTGTTCCCCCCATTAAGGCTGTCAGGAGAAGAAAAGAAATCAAACAAATAGGTTGCAAAGCACAGCGAGATTTCTCCCCAGACAATTTTTGCCCCCTGTGTTATAGCATTCCATGAAAGCCACATAGCTCCTCCCTCTCCCACTGACCCTTCCATCTGCCTCATACCTCTATCCAAAAATTGGGACATAACTCAGGAATAAGATTGGGGAGGGGGGTAGAGAACCTCTATCTAGACACGGTATAATTCTCAAAAGGTTTTGCAGCAAGCATTCCCATTAAAGCAAGCAAATGCTGTGAACAGAAGGCCCAGCCAGCATATCAGAGCCTGCACAGCACTCTCACAGGTCCAGACTGATCCTGGCCGCCACAGCAAGGGCAGAAGAAAGATGCTCAGATTTGCAATATCCAAAAGCAAGTCTCCCTTATCATGCAGGAGCAGGGCTCACCGGCCTTTCCTTCCTTCAAAAGCCAGCTGCTGAGCGAAAGCCGGCTAGGCCAGCTCCCCAACCAATAACAGCTGATTTTCGCTAGCATAAACAGCAATAAATCCTGAGGTGAGAAGAGAGAGAGAAATTCTGAGATAAGCAATAACTGAGGTGAAAAGGACACCCCATAGCTATAGTCTGAGCAGCTGACTCTCCAGGGAGATTTTTCTGCCAGCTTGAGGCTGCAAGCCTAACCATGTCTACTCAGAACTAAGTCCAGCTGTAACCAATAGGGCTTACTCCCAGCTAAGTGATGTTAGGACCACAGTCTTAACTCGGAAGGCAAAGTCTGCTAAATGCCATTACTGCCCCTTGCCAGACTTTTTATGCCTTCCAGTGGTTTCTGTTAGCTTGCTTACCTGTCCCTCCTGCCTGTCAGCAGCTGGTTCTGATAAAACCTATACAAGTAGAGGGGAACTGGTAGAGTTTTCATACCGCGAGAGCTTCCCGAATAAAACTACTTGGGGAACAAACCCAGCAGAGGCCAGGCAGCATAGGAAGCACCTTGAAGCCTCAGGTAAGGGCTTTGGGGTAGCAGAAAGAAGCCCTTCCATTTTCTAAGCATAGGCTAGCAGTCAAAGGATGAAGATCTCTTTCCCAATATAACCACAGCAGCCTCTCAGCGGGTGTGTAAACGAGAGAGAGAGAGAGAGAGAGAGAGAGAGGCGGGAAGAACCATAGGAAATTGGAGGAGGGGAATGCACAAGCTGTGACCGAAGGAATATAGAAACCAAAACATGTAATGGAGGCAGCTTCACCAAAACAGCCCTCGAAACAAACCGAGTTTAGAGACGGGGAGGGGGATGATTTGCACTCGGTACCTAACCCACACCCTCCCGCGCACCGCTCCTTGGCGCACCAGCGTCCGCTGGGGCAGAAAGGGGCGTTGGAAGCCGAGGCGATGTGCTTTTACCTCGGACCCCCCAGCCCCAAACCACTTTCCTCCCTTACCTGCCCACGGTCTGGTTGGCGAGCTGCCGCATGCGGTTGAATTGCTTCTTCATGGTTGCGCCCTTGGCCAGAGAGCGCCGCGACGGGCTCGGGAAAGAGGAGGAGGAGAGGGAGAGCTGGGGAGATCGGTGGCTATCCCGGGCTGGGGGAGGCGGAAGGAGGCGGTTACATGGCCCTTCTTCTTCAAGGTAGAAGGTGGAGGAGGAGGAGGAGGAGGGGGAGGGAGACGAGGACTCTAGCACTGCAGCAGCAGCAGCAGCGGCGGCGGCGGGGAAGGAGGGGGGCAGCCCCCGGCCAGCACCATCGCCCCCTCCTGCATCCTTCGGGGGCGCAGCAGCAGCAGCAGCAGCAGCAGCAGGAGCGTCACTTTCTCCCTTTCTGGCTAAGCGCAGCCGCCGAGCGAGCACGCCCGGCCCCGAGTGCTCAGCGCAGCCTCCCGACCCACGCCCGGCCGGCCATGCTGAGGTCGTCTTTCTCTTTTCCCTCTCTCCCTCTCCGAGCTCAGCGGCGATCCCGACGCGCTGCGCTGCTGACAAGGCTGGAAGAGAAGCGGCGGCTCGGACTGCGGCTGCCCGGCCTGGGGCGCTGGGAACTGGAGTCTCCGCCTCCTGGCCGCCGCTTTCCCACTTGCGCCGGGTGGGGGCGCTGCGGAGCACCTTGCCGCGGCCGCGCAGTGGGGCTGCGGAGGGGAAAGGAGGCAGCAACAGCAGCGCCGAGCATCCATTCCTGCTCGGGGTGGGGAGCTCTTTCAACGCGAGCTCTGTTCACTAGGGGTGATGGTGCTGCTGCGAAAAACCGGTGAGTCTCACCACCAGCACCACCCGGTTGTTCATCCTCATTTGCCCGCGTTTCTGTAATTCAAGATAGAGCTGGCTGGATTGAGAGCCCCCACCCCGCGAGCACAAAAAAATGTTCCTGTTTCGGCCGCGGGGGGCATGGATGGTGCAGCTGCCCAAGTCGGCAACCATCATGGAAAGGGGAGCGCAGAGGAAGCTCCCCGGCTTAGACAGTGGTACCTCGGGTTAAGTACTTAATTCGTTCCGGAGGTCCGTTCTTAACCTGAAACTGTTCTTAACCTGAAGCACCACTTTAGCTAATGGGGCCTCCTGCTGCTGCCGCGCCACCGGAGCACGATTTCTGTTCTCATCCTGAAGCAAAGTTCTTAATCCGAAGCACTATTTCTGGGTCAGCGGAGTCTGTAACCTGAAGCGTATGTAACCTGAAGCGTATGTAACCCGAGGTACCACTGTATTGGCGACTTGGACCTGGTTCTGTGTCGCTTATTCTGATTGAACACTCAGATCGCCGCCTCTCGCCCTCTACGGACACATCTGGGCATCTGTCTATCCCTATAGGCTGGGATTGCTCAAGACGCTTTTTATAAAGCCCGGGGATTGTGTCCTCGGAAAGCGCGCTACTCCAACGGGGATTCTGTTTTGGGCCGGCTTCTGCCAGCGTCCGACTCCAAAATGCACAGTGTCCACCGAGCAAAGAAATCGCTGCTTCAACCTCAGCTGTGAAATGGGCAGGATAACATCTTATCTATTGTAAAGATAAGGGAGGAAATGTAAAGTCATTAGTATACCAGCAGTGATTGCCACACGACAGACAATTTAAATAATAAAAGGTAGAGCCCACCCCCACCGAAAAACAAATATTGTGGGTTTTTTTCCACATAAAGGATTTCTCTCAAAGGCCCATCTACACCCAGCAGCCTGTTCTTGCAGTGGCTAATTAGAAGCAGGACCTAAGAGTGACAGCAACTGCTGTCATGCAGAGGTTTCCTGCCTCCAGTGGTTGAGGCAGAACACAGCCATTATGGACAACAGCCATTGGTAACCACTACTGGTGGAACATATCCACTGTAGCTAGGTGACATTGTCAAAATTTATTGGAATCAAGTGAAGGTGCTTCAAAAATTCAGAAAACAGAACCATAGAATAAAAGAATTTAGATTAGATTCTTTTCTCTTTTTGTATTATGAAAAACTTTATTTTTTTTTAAAAAAACCCCCACTGTCTTAACAGCAGAAATAATCAGAATTAACAAGAGAATAAAATATTTTCATAAGCTGAGAACATATCTGCTGCCAATGGTGGTTCATGGCAGGTGACAGTTGTGAAAACTCAGGCACCATGTCCTGAGTCTGCACTAAGAAACAGCCAAGATGGACCTGGATGAGGTGCCATTAACATTCTTTCCATTCAGCTCAGGTGGTTCTCCTGGCCCTCCCCGTGGGCTGCACTTGAAACATGGGAGGTGATGCCACAGGCCTGGCTGGCTGGCACAGGGATAAAAAGGTAAAGGTACCCCTGCCCGTACGGGCCAGTCGTGTCTGACTCTAGGGTTGTGCGCTCATCTCACTTAAGAGGCCGGGGGACAGCGCTGTCCGGAGACACTTCCGGGTCACGTGGCCAGCGTGACAAAGCTGCTCTGGTGAGCCAGCACCAGCGCAGTGCATGGAAACGCCGTTTACCTTCCCGCTATAAAGCGGTACCTATTTATCTACTTGCACTTAGGGGTGCTTTCGAACTGCTAGGTGGGCAGGAGCTGGGACCGAAGGACGGGAGCTCACCCCGCCACGGGGATTCGAACCGCCGACCATGCGATCGGCAAGCCCTAGGCACTGAGATTTTACCCACAGCGCCACCCGCGCCCAGCATAAGGATAGCAGCATCCAAACTTCAGATCCAGGGTCAGGCCCAGTTGCATAAATCAAACACCCTCAGCTTTTAGAATTTCTCTCTCTCCTTCTTACTGTTCGAATAATTACTTAAACTGCATTGGAAACTGAAGGATACATTTAGCTGGATAAAAAACTATTGCCAACATTTACAAATAACAATAATTAGAGAATCGCTTTTGGACTTTTTGGGTGAAAAGGAAAATGAATTAATTTGAGACATTTGGGTCAGAAGACTGGGAGAATATTGCCTAACAGAAAGTAGATCAGTTTGATGTCATTCTAGTGTGAATAATTTCTTTTATGTAACTGACAGACAGAAATTTTGAAGTCCCTTGTATTTTTCTTCTTTTCTTCTTTTTCCTTCCTTTCTCTTCTTTTCTTCTATTTTCCCCCCTTGGTGTCCTCTGCCTTGGGCCTTCCACCACTCCACCCTGTTCCCATTACTATTCCCCCCCCCCATTTTCCCAGCCATTTCCTGGTTGTGGAAATGTGTGCCTGCACGGTCACGCACATATTGAACATGTGTGAAACAGTCATTACCTGTGCTTCATATCTGACTTTCTTCAGTATTTTTTTACTCTGGGTTCTTTTATTTGGCGTTTTCATGTGTTGCAAACATCTTTGAGATTTTTTCTTTAAAATATATTAAAATGAATAATAATAATAAAAGTTGCACCATCAACAATGGCATGGTTTTGGTCTGGTACTAATGCTTGTCCTGCTCCATTCTTTCTCAGGTGTATTGCCAGCTCATTTGCTGGCACAGCAGCTGAACTGGTTGAGGGTTCTGCTGGTACACCGGGGGGGGGGGGGGCGGAGAGCAGATGGGGTGGGGCTGGCGCACGTCCCGGAGGGGCAGGTGGGGGGGCAGCTGCAATGGCACCCTGGGGATTGCGCTGCCGGGGGCGGTGCGCTTTCCCCGCACTCCTCTTCCTCCGCCAGTGTCTACCAGGGCTTCCACCATATTTTATTTTCCCATCAGGCCATATGACTGAAGCATAAGGCTACAGCCATGCTGGTTGGAACTGATGAGAATTGTAGGTCTAAAACAGCTGGAAGACACCAGATTGGGGAAAACTGATGTATCCCTTGCACATGCCTGGTATAAATACAAAGTAGTGCTTTGTGAGCTGTTTTATTGTTTCTCTAAATGTGAGGGATTGGCTCCATCTTGGCTGCAAATCTTTGCTAGCTGCAGTGTTACATTATTTCTCCTGCTGCTTTTCCTGGGCAAGTTGCTCGTTGTACCCAAGGTTTTCTAGAACATCTTGTACCTATCATTTTCTCATGAGTATAGTGTCTCTTTTTCCTGCTCAAATTAACATATTTTAATGCTTTTTTTAAAAAAGTGCTAATTGCACGTAGCGTGTAAAGCAGAATTAACAGGATAGCTCTGCATATACTTGTGCAAATAGCCCAGGGTTCAGAGGGTGGCATGACTACTTTGCACATAAGACCATGGCTGCTGGATGGGAGAAACAGTGGGAAGTATTCTGTTTCCCAGCCAGTGTCCTTGCCTGTCACTTCTGAACAGCTTCCCTGAAAGAAGTGAGCTCAGAATGGGTTCAAAGGTGTGAATCATCACAGTGCTCCTTTTTAAAAAAAGGAATTTTCACTGGGGGTGTACTTTTAATATTTTGTAAAAATGCAAATTGCATAACAAATTAATACTAAAATTGTCCTAGAAGGTGGGAGATGCCTGCTGCCTCTACCCCATCACACTGACTAGAATGGATTTTGCTGGCTGGTCAGCCATCTCAAGCCAGAACTGCTTCCTCTTCATCCCCTTTGCGGGCTGGGAGATGATGGAAATTGTAGTCCAAAATGGCAAGAGGGTTGGAAATGTAATGAAACTGAAGGTACATTCTTTCACCTTTGGTGGACATGCCCAAAGATTAAGGCATTCTGGGAGATGATCTATAATGAAATGAAAAAGGTATTTAAATATACCTTCTTGAAGAAACCAGAGGCCTTTCTCCTGGGCATGGTCCGCCAATTGGTGCCAAAGAAGGACAGAACTTTCTTTATGTATGCTACAACAGCAGCAAGAATACTTATCGCAAAGCATTGGAAGACACAAGATCTACCCACCAGGGAAGAATGGCAGATGAAGCTGATGGACTACAAGAGAGAAGAGAAGAGTCGGTGGAAGCCGGAGAAGAGTCGGTGGAAGAAGATTGGAAAAAATTTAAAGTATATTTACAGAAACATTGTAAAATTAATGAGTGTTAGAAGGATGCTGGAATGAAGCTATATGGTTTTAGTAGAAATGTAACAAAGAATTAAGTAAAAGTGGATTGATAACGGGCCAAAATGAAAAAATTTAAGGTTAGACCATTAAGATAAATTATAGAACAAAAATTGAGA